AATAATTCGCACTCCCTGTATTAGACACGCCTTGAGAAAAGAGAAGGCGACTGGATAGATTCGGAGGTTTGCCAAATCTCGCAGGTTTCCCAGCGCCACAATCGCGTCTCGAACGACCGTCTAGCGTGGTCGTAAAGTTACCGCAAATCCCCACTAATCGTCTCACCGGTTGCCTAAACCTTGGATCTCCATCGCCCTTTCCCAGAGCTGAAGGGCTGCGTGGATGACTCCGAACGCGATCGCAACACTCGTGGGCGCAGCGCCCTTTGATCTAAAATACTGAGCGACAAGCCTCAGGCTCCTGAACCCTCACTTTCCATCATACTCACTCACGCTCTTTCCTCGGAGCCTGTGATTGCTAACCGTCTACCACGACGAAATTGAACGCCCTCTGACAAATACACCACACATAGTCATGGAGCATCAGGGCGCAGGTTTCGCCTTTGACACCAACATGGACTTCAGCAACATGTTTGCGACGCCGCAGCAGCAGTCGTACACGCCAGCGGATAACACTTCTGGTTTCTTCTTCGGTGACGAGGGTATCGATACTTCCGCATCATCATCTTTCATTGATCCGGCTGTATTCGAAACCAACCCTCAACAGTGCACAATGCAACAAAGTCTGGTAAGCTTGTTGTTAGTTTCGCCATATCGAATTCTTGCTAACCATGTAGCAGACCTTGGATGATACCTCGGCGACCCCAGCATGGATTGCACAGCTCACACCTGATATGCAGCTCCAACATACCGCGAAGGCATTCCCATCAACACCACTTCACTCATTTGATGCCATGCCTACGTTTAATGCGCTCGGCAAGCGGCCGCTGCAGCTTGAGATGCAGGACTACCCTCAATCAAAGCGTCACGCAAGCTTTGACTTCCCATTATTCCCAACACCTCCTGCAACGACGACATCCAGCTGGGGTCTAGAGGCGACCCCGTCCGTGGCCGTAGAAGGTCTTCCAGATGAAGCAGCCGATGTCTGCGCGACGTGGTTCCATAAATACAACGTGCTGCCGAGGTAAGCTCATGACCCTCCGACCAAGACTTTCTCACCAGACGGAGACCACGGCCAGAGGGAAGTCCGTCAATGCATTTATGGGGTGCGCGGAGCTCCGCTCTGTGGTCACCTTTGAGTCACTCACGCTCATGTATCCGCATGGCTGGCGATTTCCTTAGCTTCGATATCACGTAGCGCATACGTGTCTGTAGGACCATAGTAATGTACACAAATGCTAACAGCTCAAAAGCGACAGACACATCGACTCATTGAGCCAGCTCACCGGTGAGCCTGCTGATGCCATCCGAAGCTGGTTCGGTCAGCTCTTGAAGCAGGGCATGGGTGGCAGCCAGAGCGATTCGGCCTATAAGTCCCAAACGGCACTCATCCCACAAGAACGGCGACAGAAGCAGCAGGAATTCTTTTGGAACGATCAGACGTACCAAACAGAGCTTTCGGGAGCACATAGTGCTTATGGGAACACCATACAACAAGCACACGGAGAGACGATTACCCCTGGCTCGTCACCACATTGCGACAACACTACCGCCACCGTACAGCCAGTCACCACACGGGGTAAGAAGCGGTGCACACCCACCGAAGACCTAGAGCTGCTCGGTAGGGATCCCAGAAAAATATATCAGTGCACTCGGAAATGCGGTAAGCGGTATGGCCGTAAGAATGACTGGAAGCGGAATGAGGAAGAGGGCTACCCGTGCAAATCATGGGTCTGCAGCCTGTGCACGATTGAGGGTGTTGAGAACGTGCGACCATGCTTCAGAAAGTACCACTTTGTCCAGCATTTCCGCAATATCCACCCCGAGATGAACGCGGAGGACTTCGACGAGGCCAGTATCGTGTATTCTGAGACCGAATTCCCACGCAAATGCGGATTCTGCCGGCATCGCTTCGCAACCAGACAAGAACGGATAGATCATATTGCGGATCACTTCAAGCAAGGCAAATGCATGCTCGACTGGCGCGACGAGGAAGACAATGACAGTCTCGATTCCGCAGACGATGACGACGACGACGGGCCCGGCGATGGCGGATTCGGTGGCAAGCCCTCCCCTCAACCGCCTTTCCATCCACAGGGTGACGGTGGCTCCAAACAAACTGGTTCGGGCGGCAGCGGCGGTTCTGCCGGCCAGTCATCCAGCGGCGGATTCTTCCAATTCCAGCTCTCACAACTCGGTGAGAGCCAGTTGTATTGTGCGGACCAACTTATCAAACTCACTACACTTTCGCCGAACATCTCTCAGTCATCGACCTCACCTGAAATGGATACACCAGCATCGCTCGGCGTCTGGACTGATCAGCAACTACTGCAAGACAGCCACATTACGACAGAGGAGGACCACAAGAATGCTCTGGCCAGCGATGTGCTCTCCCGGTCCGTGAGCAGTGTGCTCCTGAACTCATCCTCAGGCAGTAGAACGGATGCTCGACTATCAGAACACCCTCACTGGAAGTATTCGAGGGCTGATGTAGCCGCTGCTGCTCCAGGTTCATCTGCCGCACCTCTCTCCAGCCCAGAGTATCCGGATATCCAGCCTCCCGACGCATCGTTGGACATAAGTACAACGATGCCCACTCAAGACAATACAGAGATGATACCATCCAGGACAGAGATACGTCCATCAACGACGTCATTCCTAAGTGTCAAGCTTCTGGGCTCCGGAGGCTTTAGTACAGTCGATGAGGTCGTGCATCAACAAACGGGACTCCACATCGGTCGCAAGACACTGAAAAACCGTGACCAGACCGCGATTGCGGAGCTCAAGAAGGAAGTCAGCGTTCTTCAGAAGCTTCGCCACCCTCATATAATCCGATTCCTTGGGGCCTACTCTAGAGGCGACAAAATGTCAATCCTCCTCTCACCCGTTGCAGAGACAACACTTGCAGGATGGCTGCAGCGAACAGCGCTGCAGAAGCCTGCCAACCTGCCAGAGACTATTACCAAGATGTTTGGCTGTCTTGCCTCGTCGGTGAGGTATCTCCACGAGCAGCGACCTGTTGTCAAGCACATGGACATCAAGCCTCAGAACATTTTGATCGTAGAAGGCGATCACGAATTTCCACACGTGGTGCTCAGCGACTTTGGTGTTAGCTCCGCAGAAGAAGTGAGCGACGACCATTACAAGCCGCTAACACGTCAATACATCGCCCCTGAAGTCTTTGAGGGCTTCACTCGCAAGCAGGCAGCCGACATATGGAGTCTTGGTTGTGTCTTTGCCGAAATGGCGTCTGTATCATTCAGCCAAGGCAACATGGGATGGTTAGCTTTCCGCAAGACATTCAACGGTCGTACTGGCAAGCACTACTGGCAGGACGTCTCCGGTATACAAGACAAGCTTGCCGCATTCCTGGCTGAGGCAAATACTACGACAGAGCAGACCGTTGTACGTACGCTTCAGACCATGTTGAGTGCCGATCCAGATGAGCGGCCAGACGCACGATCATTGACCATGATCTTTACACCCGCACCATGCTGTCTCAACTGGCCGAACGACAAGGCGACATACCCTGGTCCACGAGAGGAACTCGGCGGAGTAGAGACGCTTGCTCACCAAGGCGACGACGAAACCTACTGCCATTCGCACGCTCACGGCAAGAACAGCACCGAGTCAGAGCCTAGTCTTTCGAATGCGAAGAGCTGGCTAGACGAGTGTACACACACTCACGAAGCTTGTCATCATACAGTAAAGCGGGATGCCAGCACCCTACCCACACGTCTGATCGAGATTCTTCCGGGCAGTCCGAGTGGTGCAATTCGCGCGAGAATTGTTCAGACCGACAGCCTGAAGTCGTCTACTGAGTATGTCGCTTTGAGTTACGTTTGGGGCGACAATCAGCCAGTCCTCTCCAGCAACACGCTATTGAGTATGCGAAGTGAACTCCCTCTAGGAACACTCCCGATCACAGTTGCAAATGCGATTGCGACAGCACATCGTCTGGGCCACAACTATTGCTGGCTAGATTCACTATGTGTGCTTCAAGACTCGGAAGAAGATAAGGAACGCGAATGCACGAGCATGGCATCCATCTTCCGCAACGCGGCACTGACAGTCGTACTCGACCAGCTGACTGGCGAAGTGGTCATCTCGGGCACAACCGAAAAGACCTACCCGGCGTCCTTACATGGACCAACGACCAGCAAGAGCCCGACTCCAGGTCGACAGCCGGCTTCTGCCTTATTGCCAGCTGGTATCCTGACTACGCCCAACTTCGGCTGGGATACACGTGCATGGGCGCTGCAAGACCGGCTACTCAGTCGACGCTTCCTCCATTTGGGTGAACAGTTGTACTGGGAATGCAACACGCTCAAGGCCTCGGAAACCTTCCCTCGCGGTCTCTCAGCACTAGTCTGGGAGAAGGTGCATACGGAATCCGATCATGATATACCGTCTATTCCAATCGCTGCTGCGAACGGGAACAGCAAGAACAGCAACGAAGTTCAGCTGATGCTAAACGGCCTGTCTTCCTTTTTGGAACCAGGGAAAATCTCTCATGACAACCACCATCTCGAGAATCGAAAAGACGGTGCCTCCGATGCCCATCGTGCCCGCTCTTCTGCAAGCACCGAGCCGCATTACATACTTCCGTCAGCAAGTCTTCTGTACGATTGCCAATCGTTAAAGAAGCAAGGCAATAGTATGATCAATGAGACGGAAACCGATGAAACTCAAGGGTCGCAGTCGAGACTCATGTCTCGATTTGGCAGAAATAGGAGTAGGAATGGAAGTCGTCGGCTTAACAAAGCGTGCTTCCAGACAAAGACACTACCTGGACAGAACCCAGGTGGAGGAGAAGATGAAGAAACGAGTGGCGGAATTGCAATCGGGAATGGGAATGCTATGACTTAGGTCGGTGGTTTGCGCACACTTGTCTCTCTTCCTTGTAGGAAAGATTCGAGATTGATTTTTTATTTCTTTTGTTATGTCGAATTTTACGAGTGCTAGTTTATGACCATGAATCAACGTATTGATGCCATCTACCTCACATTCGTGCCATGCTGAGTGAGCCGTGATGCGAAGAGGACAGTCCAGTAAAATCTTCATCTGGTGGCACAAACTGCGTGCTTCTGCAACCCAAACATTCGTATACAGCATCTTCCCCCAAAGAAGGTCTTGAAGAAGGTCTTCATCACACGCCCACCACGTATCCCACTCTCACGTCTCCGGCCTGACCCTTCCCCTCCTCTCCCTCATACCCTCCACCCTCCTCCTATCCTCCTCAAACTTCCTCTTGAGCAAGCCCTCAGCCTCCTTCCTCCTCTCCCTATTCTGGAACCTATAAAAGTCATCCGTAGCCCTGTGATTCCTCTTGCGCTCATCCAACTCGGCCTTCTTCTTCTCCGCCTCTTCCAGCCTAGCAGGCCCAACACGACCGCCTCTTGTAACCGTCATGAAGCCTTCCTCGTCAGGAACAGAGCGAGATGTCTTGCGAATGCGGTTCCGCGCTGTTTCGAGGGCGTTGAATTGGGTGAGGTAGGCGTTTAGTGAGGCTTGAAGGAGGGTGGGGGTTGGGTAGATGAGGGTGTTGTGGGATTTGTAGCCTGTTGTTCTTGGGTCAGCGAAGTATTGAGTGTGAAGGAAATGTAGAGACTTACGCTCAACGCCTAGTCCTTCTCCTCCCTTCCACGATATACTCCTTCCCTCTTTAACAGCCTTTTGAATCTCCTTCAATGCACCCCTCGTGCTCTTCTTGTCCACAAAGACGACGACGGCGCCACTCCCGCTCTTTCGCACTTCGCTGTTCCATAACCGTGGTAACGCGCTCTCGGCGTCTTCCACCACACCCTCTGCTATCACCGCCGCATCATCGGTCCTCTTCCTCTTCTTGCCTCTCGAGGTAACTGAGTCGTCTTGCGCCACAGGCTTGTCGCTCTTCCAGCGCTTGTGCATTGGTTGCGCGGGAACAGAGGCATCGAACTCGACGCGCTCGACCATGGAGCCGCCTAATTGTTCTTGGAACAGCGCGCGGATGTTGCGCTCGGATGCGTCGACGGGTGTGTTTGCGATGAAGAGGCTGCGCTCGTCGTCGGCGGTGGGTATGCTGGGTGCGTGCGGTTTGACGTAGATGTAATGCTTTGCATCATTGCAGTGCGCTGGTATGCCAGACAGTGTGGGTAACGTGAGGGGAAGAACGGTGAAGTCTGCGACTGTTTTCGGCGTGGCTTTAGACTTCTTCGTCTTTGGCGGCGCTTCGGGTGCCATTGCGGGTGTGGGTTGCGACAGGCGGCGCTGTGTGGTTGGAACGAGTGTCGGTCAGCCTTCAAGAGGACTTTACGGGAGACGTGCTGCAGATCGGTCTCGAGCCCAGTATGCAAGAAATGCGCGGACTCAGTATTTCTGGACGCAAGTGCTGGTGTGGAAGTTTGTGTGTTCGCGCAACTCAAGCTCGTGGTGGAATTCCGTTCACGAAATTTTGGCAGGGATGTCACGGCCGCGTTAGCGCAGCCAGCCGCCCACGGCCTCCCTACCTTCCAGATTAGCAGCGAATTTGTTATCCATCACGCTTGAACAACGCCCAGATATGTGTTGATTCGAATTATACATAATATTCGTCTATGGTGACTATCGCTATGCAAGCAAATGAATTGCAGTTTCGAAATAGCACTAGATACATGCTAATGCTATGGAGAGCCATGCGTGAGCAGGACAAGTAAAGCAATAAAGTGGATATCAATGGGAATCATAATTCGTAACGACGGTGAAAGGCAATCTCCTATCAGGGTGTGGTGATCGACCGGGCATGGTTGCGTTTTGGCCAAGCCGAATAAGCAAGTGGCAAGACGCAGTAATCATGCGCTTGAGGTCGCAACGCCGGTTTGTAAGCGTAATCTGTGAGGGTGTAGTCCAGGATGAGATGGTCATGCCAGCTCTATATGTGCAGCGAAAGAGCGGTGTGGAGGGATGCGGAAGACGATTGGATGTTAGACTTCGGTCGCTCAGTTGAAACCTCCTGGAATGCTCTTCATCGGGGACTCTGGAAGCGAGTGGAAGGCATCGTCCTTGTCTTCCTTCTTCTCGTCATCGGGTGACGGCTCGTGGGCATACTTTGGCTTGAGCCTGTTGCCAATCTGCTCGAGTCTGTTGTCTTCTACGGAAGACAGAGAAGAAGTTGAATCACCGCGCATAAGCGAGGGGGTCGATTCCGGGCTATGCTTCGGTACGGTTGGAGAGTTCAAGGACCCGTCTGAGTTCGTTGAGACGCGGTTGCGGAATGGATTTCTGACCGGTAGAGCAGGAGGCATTGGCTTGGCAACTTGGACAACGCGGGCGCGAATGGCTTGTGGAGCAGCGGCCTGGTGAATCTCGTGGACGATTGGCTCTTCCTCAAACTCATCTTCCTCCTCCTCTTCATCTGATTCCGAATCGGAACTTGACTCGGAATCATGGGCCTCTTCAGTGGCTATGGAGTTCCGAGGAGAGCCGTCGGACTTGGGGTCGACAGCCTTGTCTGTCTTTGTTCCTGCAGCTGTAGGTGTTGCTTCTTCGGTCTGTCTGTCTAGACTCCTTGCTCGTGGCGGAGTAGCTTGCTCGATCCTGGTTTCGGGTACTTCCACTATGGGAGGGGTAGGTGTGCGTGCGACGCTTGTCCTTGGCGGTAGCGTAGGGGGGGACTTCCTGATGGTCGGAGGTGGCGGCGGTAGATCGTCGGTCTGGGTGCTCATATCAACAGTTGGCGTTCGGGGCTCCAGCACGCCGCTGATGGTGCTTGTGCGCCAACTCGTCGGCCGACTGCCGGCATAGCTCGAGCGGTCCATGCTTCTCCGGAATGTGGAATTCCTAAAAGTGTTGTAGATGGGGCTTGTCGGGCTCGGCTTGAACTCGAATTGTTCACTTGCCGGACGGCTGTGTGTGCCTGCTTCCCTGATCTCTAGACCAGCTTCTTGTAATGCCAGTACGCCATACGGGTCGGGGTCAACAGCGTCTGGAATACCAAATGTCTTGTCTTCTGGACCTGTAATCTCAAAGTCGGCAGGTGGCGCCTCATCTGGTATCAAAGTCTCGTCCACATCCGTATCGCCTTGAGCCGATTTGAGAGTCTCCATGAGTCTCCTTATCTCGTACGGCGGGTGCCTTACTTTGCCTGCCAAAATGTCCTTGACTCCTATCCGTTCGCCGTAAAAGCGTTCGTTCTCGTCTGTTCGCTCGATGATGATAGTTCCGTCTAGTTGGAGGCCAGCATAGAATCCTCGCGATTTGATATACGTGAAAAGTGGTGACTGGCGCTTGTGGATCTCCGAATCAAGTATACCGCCAACGCCGGCCGGGCCTGCGACTGCACTGATTTCGCCTCCCAATGTGCAGCGGATAGACTGGAAAGCCTCCATGGCCTTGTCGGAGTTGATGACAATGACACAGTCGTAAATGTCCACGCCCACGAGGAAGCCTACACCCACGGTGTGCATCATGATGCCTGACGGGGGTGACCATGTTCCATCGGCTTTGCGTGCGACCAATATGCCGGCTCCGCCAGATCCGGAGACCCAAAGGCCGGACCGCATGGTCGTGAATATGCATAGGCCTTTGGCATTCTGGATGACCTTGGAGGGTATCTTCTTGAGGACTCGTTGTTTTCCCTTGGGGACGTCGGTGGCGATGGGTCGGTCTTCTTCCTGGTAGAATCCATCCTCTGTAGGCGTGTTAGTACTTGGCGGGACGCATCGGAAGTTGACGTACTGCAGAAGCTTTTGAGGATCCTCGCAGCCTTGTCCGACTCGATGTCTAGCGTTGTAGGCCAGAAGGCTTCAGAGCCGACCTTGTTGGACAGTCGATTGACGGGCGCACCGAGCTTGTCGACCCAAGTGTAGACCTTGTCAAAACCTTGCTTGGACTGCGTCTTCGCGGTGGACCAGAGCGCCATGATGGCGGGCTATCGATGGGCAGCACTACGTCAGAGGAGGGCCGAGGGCTATGAGTGCGCAGCAAGCAGCATTACACATTAGAGATGAGAAGCATTCAAGTAGGACAACGCGCACGAGGAAAAGGCAAAGAGTAGGGTCAGGCGACGGAAGCAGCGGGTGCGGTAGACCAGCGGGCTCCAACCGTTTTTGAGTCGCACGGTACGTCAGCTGTAGGCTAATGCTGGCGGAGGCTGGCGACGGCGCAGTCTAGCATCGGGTACCTTAATAAGGAACCCTAGGCATTACCGAGTGATCTGACCCCTGCCCTCCACGACTCGACCAAAGACTTAGTGACGGTGATGGGATATTGATTTACCAGAAACAGCCCGTAGCGGGGTTGAACACGGGTGGCAGACACCCCATCTCGGGGTATGCACGTCGCCTGATTCGTTGCGAGGGCGCGCTTTCCATGGCGCCACCAGGAACGAGCAGAAAAAACCAAAAGTCAAGACAAGCGGGATGAACTAGACACGCGTCGTGAATCAGGCGCACGTGTCGTCGAGTCTAGATAGCCGGGCGGGTCTGCAATCTAAAAGCAAGCTGCGAACAAGACATCCATGGACGCAGGTGGCGGTCTTGCACGGCGCGCGTACTTTGTGAAGCCGGCAGAAGGTTTCGCCGGACGCCGGCCCGCGGACGCGCCAAGCCGAGCGCGTCGCTGGAGCTCGTCCAGAGTTTATGTTTTGCGACCGCGACAATAGCTAGACCAAGATCAATCAAATCCCTTCACCACGCAAAATAATTCATTACGGCGCATGTGCGGCGCAACGTGTGACCTGGGAAATTAAGTGGAGAAAACACCTTGGTTTTGGATCCCTGTTCGCCTGTTCCACCGCGTACCCAGGTAAACTTGCGACTAGAGAGCAATGTTTCGTGGACCACCGTCAACACCCGGCCGCAGCTACTACGACGACAGCCTCCACGCGCCATCGACCACACCCGCTGGCCCTCCACCCCTAGACGAATCGCACTATCCCTCCTCAACACCAGCTGGCCCGCCGCCAGGCATGAACCAAGGACTCTTCGGCAATGCACGCCCAACCTTCAACCCAAACAGCTATGACTACGCCAGCAACTCGCTGTTTGGTAGCTCACCGCCCAAAGGCAGTATGTTTGAAGGCAATGGGCTCGGCTCAATAGGCACTTCGACTTCCGGACGGCCCCCAACACAACGCGGACGCATCGCAACCTCTGGCCAGTTCCAGGCGCCCGCGCACACACTACACCAGGATGCGGAGGGCGAGTCGGAAGAAGAGTATACAGATGAAGAACAGGAAGATGACGAAGATATGGACGAAGACGAGGGCACCGAGGAGGACGAGCCGCTCTCACCACAGCGCCGCAACAAGACACAAAACAGGTTCTCCCAATCAATCGTCTCAAGAACAAGCGCAACCGACATGGAGCCAAGTCCAGCCTTGGTGCGGTCAGGCGCAAAACAGACGCGGTTCGATCTCCTTGCGCTCGCCAAGGGCCTTACTTCCAACAGCGACCGACAGGCTCTGCGCGAGTCCGACCAAATCGTATTGGAGACGGAGCGTCTGGTCGAGAAGGTCCACGAGTCTCTTCAATCAGACTCGCCAGATAAGCGGACTGAGGTGCTTGGCACAGTCGCTCAGGAGTTGATCGCAACTTGGCCAGATGCACACAAGTCGAGTTCGCAGGAGCTGTCGCAAGCCCGCCAGCTTGCCGCTCTTCTGCTGACTCTCCACAACCCCCCACAGATTGGCCTGAACCAGCGAGCCTCCGCCCTCTCCCTCGTAGCGCGAACCGATTCGAAACAATACACACCCATTCCGCGAGTGCTGCTCGACTGGCTGAACAGCACATTCTCTGGTGTGTCTGAGGTCGGCGAGGTATTGAAGGAGACCCGTGGATACTCGAGGCATTCCTCTTTCTGGGAAGCTGTCCATGTGTCTATTGTCCGGGGCAACTTCTCGCAGACTATGAGACTCCTTCAGGGCGCTCAGCTTGAGCACGCCGAGACGGCTGAACATGACGGACTGGGCACCTCAGGATATATCGGATCACATCTCTCATACGCAAATCACGCGCTTCGTCAAGCGATCGATCTCCTCCGGGAATGTCCAGCCATCGCATCAGAGGATTGGGATATCAAGGGGCATGATTGGAGCATCTTCCGGCAGCGCGTTCACCAAGTGAGTGCTAGCTTGGAGGAATTTGCAGAGGGCGAAAGTGTGAGCCGGCACTCTATCTCTCAGCCTTTCAAGGCGGCACACTTTGGCATATCGCAAACTCAGGCAAGCTTCCAGCTCAGTGTGGCCAGTCGCAAAGCTGAAAGTAAAGTGCCCTGGTCCGTATACGAGGCCCTCAGCACGGTTTACAAGCTCTTGCTGGGCGATGAAGAAACAATCCTTGAATTGTCAGCCGACTGGATCGAGGCAGTAGTGGGTCTGGGCGTCTGGTGGAATGGCGAAGAGGAGGATTCCGCACAGGGTAGTCTAGCGGCAAGCCGTCGCTCCATCATGCGGTCTCAACGAGTTCGCCCCGTCGACGTGACTCCAGTCAAAGCGTACTGCCAGCGCCTGTCTTCTGCGCTGGCGGCTGTCATCCAGAACAGCGACGAAGACTTCAGTGTCAATGCTGTAGACCGCTTCGAAGTGGGCGTAGCATGTATATTCGACGACAACATCGAGGGCGCTCTCCAAATCCTCCAGGGGTGGTCCCTCACCATGGCTTGTGCGGTCGCGGAGCTTGCCAGTGCAGGAGAGTGGTTCACAAGCGCAAAGGGCTTGATGGATCAATTCGACCAGAGTGATCTGATGGTCCTGAGTTACACTGAACAGCAACAGCCAAAGGGTGTAAGAAAGGACGACATACTTATTGCCTACGCCAATTTGTTGCCTGCCAGGGGCGAACTCGTGGCCAGAGACGGTCAGACATCCAAAGAAGGATGGGAGATTGCAGTGCAGATCCTCGGTAGACTGGACGACGGCATCACAGCGAACGAGCGCATCGAGCGCATACTGAACGACTTGCAGCTCGAGTCCTCAGCTCGTGTCGACAAGATCACGCAGCTTTGCCATAATTTGGGCCTGTCACAGCATGCTGTTGTCATCGCTCAGGTGAGTTATGAAAGAGGAATCCTCCAGGATACACGCTGATTGTTACAGAAATACGCCGACCATCTCCGCACAAACACCGAGAGCTATGGCGACACACTGCTCTACTACGCCCGTGCCCACGACGCACAAAAGATTCAAGAAGTGCTACGAGTATTAGTTGCCCACTGCCTCATCAAGTCGACCGCCTATCCGCCTCTAGATGAACTAGACGAATCACTCAACTCGCTCATTACTTCACCAAAGCAGACCCTGACAAAACTCGCAAGCCTAGACTCTGAGGCAGCTTCTCTCCTTTCGAACCACCTGAGCGGTTACGCAACAATACGGAAATACTACGACCTACGAGATGAAGAGGTGTTGCTGAAGCCTGGAGAGAAGCCAGCACACCGGCCCATGGCACGGAAACGAGCTGCAGCCAATGCGCTTATGGTTATCATCGCCAGTGCGGCATCAAGCATTCGTGGTGGACTGTACGATCCAGAGATAGAAACTGTGGTTCAAGTCGATGTTCTCCTACCGTTGCTAGGCGAGGCACTCCTCTTCGTCAACCAGCCCAAGCGCACATTGACGCTTCGCCACTTGTACGACCTCCTCGCAGCCATCGAGGACCTTGACACCGCACCTAGCATGATCCGGACACAATGTGAGGAAGTACTTGCGACTACCCTCCTCTCCGCGCACGACCCCAACTCCTCGCAACAACTACCGAACCCCCACCAGATGCTATCGAAGTCGACATCGAATTTGACGACAGCGTCGAGCCAATATTCACTTATAGGCTCGATCGATTTCGGCTCCGCAGACGGTCAGAGCGCAGAGGGCTCGACGGTATTTGTCAAGGGCGGCCACGTAGACGATAGCAAGCGTGGCTGGGACTGGCGCAAAGGCTTTCCCAAGGGTGCAAAGAGTCAGGATATCATTGCGGTGCTAAGATTGGGAGTTGCAAGGGAAATTGGCAGAGCTTTTGCTGAGGGAGAGGTCACCGCTTAGGTGTCTCGTACGGAGAAATGATACCACTATGTAATAGTACACAGCTTCTTGGCTTTGGCCACTATAGATGATATTTGGACATTGCATCGTTTAACATTGAAGTAGACAGTATTCCGTTGAGAGTATGGTTGAACAATCGTGAGCGTTATTATGGAGAAACCCGCTATACACACGTATTATGTAGTATGCTTGGATGGTATCCCCACTTGTTTCAAAGGGAAAAGTAGACAGTGTTCGCGGTCGAACCTTCCGTGTAAAGTGACTGCAATGGCTGAGATGAGCTTACCCGAACCCAAGCTTCGACGTCGAACACCGCCAACGCGTACCTCGGTTCCTCGTCTCCCCGCATCATCAACGCGACAAGCACGTCCTTTCCCAGACAACATTGGGGTAGGCGTATATACCACGCGCATCTACGAGCATTTAATTCCCCAACACATGAACTGTGCCTGTCGTCCGTCCACCCACTAAAATCAAATCAAGACTTTAACCCAAAATGCCCGCCAAACAGTCCCCTCGCCACAAACCAGACATTGTCCTCCCCTCCTCCTACAACGACCTGAAGTTCACCCAAATCCAAACTCGACACCATGAAAGAGAGCCTTCTGTTATCATCCTCACATTGTACAGGCCCGGAAACCACAATGCCTTCACAGACACCATGCGCGCGGAGATTGAAAGCGCATACGGCATGTTCGATGCAGATGAACGAGTAAAATGCATTGTCGTAACAGGAGACGGACGGATTTTCTGTGCGGGCGCGGATCTAGACGATGGGTTTGGGGAGGGAGTTAATGGGGCGGAGGCGGAGAGGGTGCAGGATCATCGGGATGGGTATGTTGAACATTCTCTTTGTGCTATGGGTTGATGATATGTTTCAAATTGCTGTTACGCGGTCGACAAGAATGGGACTGAGTTGGTCACATTGACAAGAACAGTGTGCTAACGGGAACATTTTAGAGGCGGACGCGTAGCCCTAGCTATCCATCATTGCCGCAAGCCTTCGATCGCTGCACTGCAAGGTTCTGCAGTGGGCATTGGCATCACCATGACGCTGCCTATGAACATCCGCATAGGGTATGCATCGGCAAAGATTGGCTTTGTTTTCTCGCGCCGTGGTCTCATCATGGAGGCGTGTTCTTCTTTCTTCCTGCCCCGGTTGATCGGCCATAGTCGCGCTATGCAGGCCGTGACGACAGGCAGCACCTATCTTGCTAGCCACAAGATCTGGGACGGCTTATTTGCGGAGGTGTGCGACAAGGCCGAAGATGTGCTGCCGAGAGCGCTCGAGGTTGCAGAGGATGTGGTGAAGAACACGAGTAGTGTGAGTACGTATCTGATGAAGGAGCTGATGTACAGGGATGCGGGGAGTCCTGAAGGTCAGCATCTGTTGGATAGCAGGGTCATCTACGAGTTGTTTGGATCGCCGTAAGTCCTCCTTGCTACTGATTGGTAGGGACAAGCTAATCAGCCATAGTGATAACACCGAGGGTGTGAAGTCGTTCATGGAGAAGAGGCCAGCGAAGTTCACGGGAACTATGGACAAGACAAATGTAACTGGATATCCGTGGTGGATGCCAATAGACACACTCGGAAGGCCAAAGGTAGCGCCAACAGGAAGGGCGAAGATCTAGTTGTGTGTCAGAAGAAAAGTTGGAATGCAACATGTACTGCTCAAGTGTATTGGCATGACTTCATTGTCTATCGTCCACCTCATTCCACGGTATCGCTGTTGTTCGACGTCCCTGCAAGTATCGCCTTCACGCGCGTGGCCGGCCAGCACCCCAAACTGCATCACGCGTACCGATGGCCGAATGGAGGTATCAGGGATTTTCATTCGTTCCTAATGTACTTCTTTTCGTGAAGCATGCATAACCGAGGGAAACCCATAACATCCCTACCCATCCAGACCGCACTCCGTAATGAGAAACACGCTTAGAAGAAAGTGGATGGTCGGGTAGCGGAGAAGACCTTCTTGCCAACCTTCTTGTTGATGCGGTGGGGCAGCGGGAACTTGAGGTTCTTGGTGAGGAGCTGCTTGATGTATGGGCGGCGGAGGTCGTCGGCCTTCTCGACCTCAACAACCTTGAGAATCTAGATTGAGTGTGAGTGATTTGACGCAGGCGGTAGAGTCGATGTGATCATACCTGAACGGACCTGAAGCGCGATCGGTGACGGGCGGCCATATCCTGGTACAGAGCATCGACGGCGGCGACACGGGACATCTCACGGTACTCCTTGTACATGTTGTGGGTACCGGAGCGCGAGTCGTACTTGAGCCAGATACCGAAGTTCTTGACCTTCTGGGGCTTCTTCTCGTGGATCTGAACCGGGTCAATTTGTTGTTGCGCAGTCTTCTGGTGTCTCCACATACCTGGTTTACAGAGACGATCTCACCGTTGGCCTTCTTGATCTTGCGGAGCTTGCCAAGGAAGTACCAGAACCGTGACTTGGCGACAACCTCGTTGGTCGCAAAGATACGCATGCGGTAGATCTTGGGCGCGGGGTTGGCCTCTGAGGGCAGATGGCGCCCGATGATCTGGTATTCCTGGAAGCGTGCTGAAGCATCGTCAGTACTGCTTCAATGACAATATTCATTCCTAGTCCAGCAACTGCAGCGGTCGTGATTGGGGAAGGCGGTCGGGTTAGGGCAGTCGAGTACGGTCGTATCCGAGTTTGTCGCATGCGGACGATCTCGCGGGCTTCGCTGCCATCGCCATAACTTTTCGGCGTCGTTGGCCTGTCCGCTGTGCATGCACACCACCAAAGCTCCTTCCCACTCGGTTCCAGCTTCGTGTCGTTTTATCGCGATGGTGAGAGACGGTCATGGTCGCGCTGGCCTCGTTCGAAAATTCCATCGGCTGCAATTGCTGGACGGGACGGTGTTGCGGACAAGGAAAAATTGCTTACCCATCTGCGACTGGTTAGCGGACGATATGGGTATGAGCTGGCGACGTAGACTGACCTTGATTGTGCTGTGAGGTTAGTACCTTGAGTTGAGAAGTTCAGTCAGGTCGTCTCCATCGTGGATTGACAAGCGAATTCGACATCACCTTGTGCGCGCTAGCCGAGTTGAGCCGGGGCCCACAACAACTTGGCGGCAGGCGCTACGGGCGTCGGCGAACAAACAGCCCAAACACCCGACAACCTCGAGGACCGTCAGAACACCCGCGAGTTGGTTTTCAGCAATAATTCACAACATGTCAGAGGGTTGAGAATACCAACTGAAGCCGCGCAAACCTTCAGTTCCACGCGGCATCCGACAACCCATATCCCCAACCGAATCCCCCAAAGCCACAATGCAAGCTGCACTCGCGCCTTTCCATGAGGCATTAGCCAGTGGCCTTGCGCAACCCGTCGCAGACTTCTTCAGTCCAGTCGCACCCGCGCATGACCCCGGCCGGCTATACGATTTTTACCGCGCCTCCAGCGACGAGAAGATCGAAGGCGATGTCCTTTATGCGCTCAAACAGCGAATGAAGAACAAAGACGCCTCTCCCTGGGTTGATATCATTGCTACTTATTGGCGCGCTGTCAAAGAGATCATCAAAACCGACGAAGCAGCGAACCAGGGCAAGTTGAATGAGCGTCAATACATGGCAGTGTACGATACGTGGAAGGACCTGACGAGCATCTTCATCAAGCACATATCTGGTGGACTGCTACCAGCGTGGGCCATATTCACCCTGTACTTCACTGCGAATCACCTTAGGAAGATAGCAATCAAAGCAGACGAACAATTGGCCAAGTCAAAACCAGCAAATCTCAACACCGGCTACTCAGACGACATTGTGAGCACAGCACCTCAGAATCAGAAGCTTGAAGAAGCTGCACGAGTATTCAACAGGATCTTTGCCCTATGTCTTGGTGACAGGAACCCGGATATGTCACAATCGCGAAAGTGGGGCGTATATTGCATAGCCAACCTTCAGTTCAAGACATATTTCAAAGTAAGATCCATGGCAGTCTGTGTGGTGTAATGATAGCTAATGCGCATGTATCCAGTTAAAAGCAATTAGCCTATCTAAGAACGTTGTACGATCGATCGAAGCACAGTCCGACCTACCTACATTCGAGCTCTACCCGCGAGCGCATAGAGTCACATACAAATACTATCTTGGAGTGCTGGCGTTCCTGCAGGAAGACTACGCCAAGGCAGAAAGTAGCTTGCAGCAGGCATGGGAATCTTGCTGGTCAAAGTCGCAACAAAACAAATCGTGAGTTCGGTCAATCTGGCGGAAAACTCCTCGCAACTAACAGTACAGGCTCATTCTCACATACCTTATTCCTTGCCGCCTAATCACTCAACACAAGGTTCCTACCGCCAGCCTACTCGCCGAAGCCCCTCGTCTGGATCGCATTTTCGGCCCCCTCGTATCCTGCATAAAACGAGGCGATCTTACGGGCTTCGACAAGGCCCTGGCAGAGGGCGAGCCCGAATTCGTTAGGCGGCGCATCTTCCTTACTCTGGAGCGGAGCCGCGACATCGCTCTGCGTAATCTTCTCCGAAAGGTATATCTCGCTGGTGGCTTCGACGATCTCAAAGAAGGACAGACGGAGAAAGACCGGATACGGAAGTCGCGAGTACCGCTAGCAAACTTTGCCGCCGCGCTCAGAATGGGTATTGCAGGCGAAGGCAGCGGCCAAGCAGTGGAGGACGATGAGGTTGAGTGCCTATTAGCGAACCAGATATACAAGGTACGTACGCTATGGCCCAGCGTTGGGCTTCTGCAGGTCTTACCCGGCATTGAGGCAGCCTCGTCACGGATGGCACACCAAGAATCCACTCGGCTAACACAGATTGCAGGGTCTAATGAAGGGCTACATCTCGCGCGAACACGGCATGGTAGTCATGAACAAAAAGGGCGCATTCCCTGGAACAGGGGTCTGATGCCTAAAAAGGTCGGCCTGCTCCCGTCTACCATACAGATCAAGTCCTTGCTCTATCACAATCACGAAACACGGCAGGTCACTGTCCAAGCTGGGAGCAGATGCGCGGTTGTATGTGTAAGCAGCCTCGATGCGCATGGAACGACGAGTGGGGAATTGACGATAGAGGAAGGCAGGTCGAAATCACCAATATCTCAATAAATGCTACCGATACAGCTCAAACCTTGATTCCCTGGTATTTCCTTTATCCAACCCCTCCCTTGCATGGTTCGTGAGACGAGCCGGCTCCTCGAAGCGGCCAGTCGCTGGTGCAGGACCCCAAGCCGCGTCTCGCACAGACACGCTGTCGCCCTCTCAGCTGATATCGCGCCGCAGGCCCCCGCCCACACCCAATCCGCCGCCCTGTTCATCTTTACCCCACTTGCACTACCAGCCCAACGCGACGCGACGCGACGCGATACTTTGCTTCCGCCTCGCTTCGACGTTCAACGATGGTACTCCTGGTCGCATGTTGCATGAACTTGCCGGCTGAATAACTGTGACTGTACCAGCACGTACCAGCACCGCCTCTAGTCGTCCGCGCATGTGAAGCCTTTGACAAGATGAGTCAACGGGTATCGATCGGCGCTCCATGCCCAGTCCTGCCTATCCACTTGGCTTTGTCTTCGGGCATCGTTAGCAGCCACCAGATGCTGCATTCGTTCTCCATCCCGCTTTGTATGGTTCATCCCGGGCTGGCGCCATGTGTAGCGTTCGCCAACGCACCTCAGCTCACGGCTCATCCTTTCTTTACTTCTTGCCTCCTGCTTCCGCTCGCAGCCCACATGCTTTAGTCGCAATGTGCCGTGCTGCTTGCTCCGCAGTTTACCACATCTAAAGCGATTCGATAATAGACTTCACTCCGCGTATTAGGTTATGCGCGAACTTGGTAGCGACATTGCCTCCCGTTTTACTGTCGTTCTTATGGTTCTTGTGGTATTTGCGATACTGCTTTGGAACTTTCTTGCCTCCGACTCGTTTTGCGCCGATGGCTTGAGCCGAGTGTCGAGGTGGTTTTTCGGGGAACATGGTGGTGGTTTTGTGTTGAGTCGTGTCGCGTAGTGTATAGGATTAAAAACAAACTGATAAGTATCGCGGGTTTGGCAATTATCGGAATCTATTGTATCGTCAAGTCCACATGCGCTTGGTTATCACTCCAACTATATGTACTTGGAGGCCGTGAAGTGTGTACTGCTCAGATGCCGAGTTGCCGGCCAATGATATCAGCCAAGCCAGTGTGGAGACAGGATCAAGGCTGAGCAGCATGGTCGCTACGAGCAGTTGGAGGCCTAAATGAATTACTGGGCCATGTTCCATCGCGTCAGGTTAGATACGGTGTTTAAGAATGTAAGCGTAAGTATTCGTGATATTGAATGCTATCATCAATCGCTTGCAACATTGTACAAAAGATGCGACCATATCCTGTTACAATTTGATGCTGCTGTCCTGCAGATATACTGCAACAATTGTAGAAAAGCAACTGGCTTCCCTAAAGGAAGGTCAAAAACGCGACTAAGAGCACAAAGCGCGACCATTCTGGTAACATGGACAGTCTGGAAGTGTTTTCTGTCTTGAAATGCAGAGAGGAAAGTTGAACCAATTGCGAGGAAGGCCCGAGCATCTAGGCAATTTTGAGGCCGATAGAGAAGACGCGAAAGACAAGGAAAACCAGCTCAGGCAAAGAAATAAGTATAGTACAACAATGGCGTGAGTGAGTGCCAGAAAGGTATATCCAGACCGTAACGCCGTGCAGAAACAAACCCATACCGAAGCAGAACCCAGGGAAGAGAAGGCATAGCCGCGAGGCTGGAACGCAAGGTGTATATACAGGAAGGGCAAGGAATAGCAGATGAAAGGGGTCATTAGTCGGATGCGATAAGGAAAGCAAGCTTATGTGGGAAGCTTCAAAAGATCAAATGCGATGGCAGCAACTTAGTGCGGCGACTTCCCGGAAAGGTCGTCCATGTGGTTGACCATGGCGACGAACAAGTCGAAGAAGAGCTTGCCGCCATTCTCCATCTCGCTCTGCATTGTGCCGCTGCGCTTGAAGGTGTGTCGGGCGCGGATGATGAGAGCGAGGTAGTGTGCGCGAAGCTTCGAGTCGTTGTCAGGAGTGTTGGCGTATGCGTAACGGGCGGAGGTCAAGATGGTCGAGCATTGGATGCCAGACTGGAGGCCTTGCTTCTTGAGCGCAAGCTTCTTCAGTTCTTGGAGTCCGTACTTGTCGGCTTGACAGTAGATGACGGTGTCTTTCAGTATCGGTCCAACCGAAGACTGAACGATGGCCTCGTGTGAGTTGTTGGCAGCGCCGCCATCTTCCAGATTCCAGCTGTTTCGCTTCTTGTCATATTCCATGCGCGGGTAGTAGTCACCCTTGTAGAGGTACTCGAGAATCGATGAGAAGACTTCGGGCTCTTCGTCGGGTAGTTCGATGCGTTTGTTGGTAGACTGGAAGAACTGGCCGCTGCAGAGAGTCTGGAACCAAGGAGAATGGGATAGAACGTCTTCATGCGCTGCAAAGAGGCGCTGCTCGCGGCCGACAGAAATGGTGATGATGGCACTGATGGAAGTTGTCAGTAAAGTTGATTAGGCGTTTATCGTGAGAAAATAAACTCACCTTCCTAGCGTTGGAGAAGTTTGGTTCGATTGTGGCGATGATGCCTGGGCATGCTGTGCTAATCGTTCTACTCTCCTCGGTGAGTCCCTGAAGGAGGGGTTCTTCTTGTGTGACTTGGACTTGGAGGCGCGATGTTTCGAAAAGCTGCCTTCTTGATGGCGCGTGCGGTTTGATGAGAACATGATGATGCGATGATAAAATGCTGTGGTTACGATGGATGACTCCGGTGCGAAGAGGTATCGCTGATACTTATAGGTGCAGTGGGTAGGCAGCAAGCGTACGAATACAAGTAGGCAAAGCAGACGACTGCGAAATCTCCTTAGGCAGAAACGTCGTAGGGCAAATGAGACGATAGCACGCAAGTACTAGGCGACTGCAGCCGTGTATATATACCTGACTCCTCACAGGAGGCCACCATCTGGCCCTCGGCCAGGGTGAGGGTGAATGGCGACGCGATTGGACGCGTAAATGGACCTAAACACGTAAACGCGATATCACATGTTCCACTATGCTTCTTCCAGAGTTAAGAGTCAGGACGGCTGAGCCCCCGGTCCTGGACCAAGTAACACTTGTGCAAGGTTGTGAAACAAGGGCGGAACAAAGAAGGCTGATGGCGCTAGTTGTGCGCCGGTGGCATGGCATGTTCTTCGACCGCAAGCAACTGAGTAGGCTCAAGACATGCTAGCAGGAGCTGAGGACCGACGCTTCCAGTGTCTCAAACCGTGCTTTTTGCTCGAGGGATGCGACGAGCATCCGCACGGCACAACAAGGTGATGAGATGACTGGGCTCTCTGGAGGGTTGAAGCTTTGGCCAGGCACCCAAGAAACTTTGCAAGAAGCAATCGACGCCGCCGCGGTGCAACAGCCAGCGTCGGCTCATCGCTTGCATCCACGAATCAACGAATTGCGGCCGTCCGCCGGAGGCCCCATCTAGAGGCCGTTTGGCGTTCCCCTGAGGGGCAAATGTCGTGTTGGAGGACCGATGGTCGACAAGAGGCATAGCGCGAGGCTGTGATCCGGTTCCGCGCAATGACAGGAATCGCGGCTGGCAAAGGCGATGTCAGCGACCATGACACGGTGCCTGATGCCGTGAAATTATGCGTCGCTGATCATTGAATCTCGGACGCGAGGGGTCGCGTCGGTGGAGCGCGCCCAGGCATGCACAATGAAGCGCCCCTCGACGCGTCCACACGTTACCTCCAGGGCCGCCAATTAAGCCCGCATCCGGCATAGCGCGCAACGCTACCAGGGGACCCAACGGCCTCGCAGTTTCACTACGCTTGCAAACATCATAAATGACGGCAGCAGCACCCAGCATGCTTCGGCGCATCAGTTGTGACGCATCGACATGCGGCAGAGCTTTCCGCCGTCGCAGTGCTATTCTTCGTCGTTTCTACCCCTCTTCATTACGCTCGAATGCCGAAACGTGTACCGCATGTTGCACCGTTTAAGCTGTGTGAGCTGGCCTCATCTGCGGATCGAGATGATTGCCAGCAGACATTGCATCGTCAGTTGTCTCGTCAATTCACGTAAACAGGCTCTCTGCTAGGTCTCGTTCGCATCGTTCGCTCCGCCGCTCTATTTGGGATCACTCGCAGCCCGATCTAACTGCGCATACAACACTTGTTCTACCATATCTGAGGTTAGCAGGGGGCAGGCCTCGGCATCTGCCGTGTTCCGTCCGGTTGTCAGCTTACGCCCCTGTACTATCTACCTCAGTGTACTTTTCGTTTGAAGGCGGCGCACCGCCAGGGATTTTGATCCCTCAATCAATCGATGTGGACGCCAAGGATGTCGCCGAAGCTCTCCCAAGCTCATCTACTTAAGCCTCACCAAATCTCCACAGGGAGTTATGTGATTTGTTATTGACCCAAGCTGCGAGATTGATGGAAGTCCACATCGGCAGGCCTTTGGAACAAGCGCCATGCGCCTCCATACACGCGGACACTACCGGATAGTCTGCCGCGCTGTACATTATATGAGGTATCGCGCATCTCCTTGCGCATGTCTAGATGCGGATTGTTGCGGCGCAGCTGACGAATACCACCATCTCTGGTGTACTGGACTGTAATAAACGTTGATGTCCTACAGTTTCATTCAAACATATTCAAGCTTGGCAAACGCCGCTTGCGCCCGGCAGAATCCTACCGACCGCCAGGGGTGTCATAGCCGGTATTACATACCCAATATCGTCCAGTGGGGACTGTCTGCTTTGCAAGGGATCAAAAACAACAACGATGATCTTCGTGTTGTCACCGGCACTGAGTTGTATCCTCGCTGTGGATTCCAAGAACTCCCGCTCGTTCTTGACCTATTTTCCAGCTTTGGACACTTTCAATAGAAGAGACGAGGTACTGCGAGGGTCTTCATCATCGCACAGCGAAAACCTGTCTTTGCAGCCTATTACGAGCGACACTCGATGTCAAAGTAAACCGGAGTTGAGCTCACAGTCCCAACTATGCGCCGTACATTGCATACAAGGATGCTGACCGCTTCCTGTTGACTGCCGCTCACCAACGCGATCAGACGCACCTCGGTCCTTGGAACACTAAAAGAATGGGTACTGTGACCACTCATGGCCACCATGAATGGCATGTTGTAGATCCAATGATCACGAATGGCTGTCTGTTGAGATCGGTGGTAATGATATTGGAACACCCTTGCACAGCAGTATTTCGTCGGTACATGTGTCGCATGCCAAGGGTGTTCATTACAGCAGAGTTTTGTGGAATTTCGCCCCACGTCTGACTACCCTCTAAATAGATGACCCAGCAAATACAGTAGCATGGCACAGTCGGTGTTGGTCTGCATCCGAGAAGGAGGCTGATCATGGTGCTCGATATAAAAACGTTAAGATCCACACTTAGCTGAATCGCCAGAGCTCAATCGATGGCAGGCATTGCGGTCGTCAAGGCCCTTGTGGCATCTCTTTCTCTGTTCTCGTCCGCTTCAGCATCTCCTTTCATTCAGAGGCAAGACACTCTCACCCTCGACGGTGTCCAGAAGCAAGCTCTCGCCAATGCTTACAAGGTCCTGGATGGGACGCTGTCAGACGGTCTGACGAGGCCTGCAACATGTAACAAAGACACTGTTGCTGTACGCAAGGAGTTGTAAGTAATTCCGGGAAATGGTAAGGCCATGAAGCTAACACACGGTAGTGGCGACCTTACGAAGGAAGAACGGAAAGCATACACCACGGCCGTTAATTGCATCATGAAGGCTCCTTCCAAGCTTCCTGCTGGCAAATATCCTGGAGCAAAGTCTCGGTATGATGATTTCGTCGTGGTGCATATGAACATGACACCGACCGTTCACGCCACCGCGAATTTCATGCACTGGCACCGCTACTACATATGGGCCTACGAAACAGCGCTCCGCACAGAATGTGGCTACAAAGGTTACCAGTGAGTATCACTCTGTAGATTTTGTGTAAATCATACACTAATCTCATATACTCTTATCACAGACCCTACTGGGACTGGGCTAAGTACTCCGATCTCGTAAACAGTCCCATCTTCAACGGCGATGAATGGAGCATGGGTGGGAATGGTGATTCAATCGGAGCACATGCAGGTATGAGCCTAGGACCGGGTCAGACGCTTCCTGGTGGACCGGGAGGAGGCTGTGTCAGTAAAGGTCCCTTTACCAACTTGACCATTCGTCTTGGTCCTCTCATGCCCACCATGGACCCCAAACTCAACATCAAGCCAAACCCACGCGCCGATGGCTTTGGTGACAATCCACGTTGTCACCGTCGCGACGTAAGTAACTTCTTCACCCAGAACTATCTCCGGCCTCAAGATCTTCTATCACACATCACCAGCAACAAAGCCATTGGTACCTTCCAGGACACCCTCCAGACCAACACGACGAACAACCTTGCAGCGTTGCACATTGGCGGTCACTTCTCTATTTGGGGTGACCCAGGCGGTGATGTCTATGTGAGTCCAGCCGAACCAGCCTTCTGGCTGCATCATGGGCAGCTGGACAGGCACTGGTGGATGTGGGCAATGTATCAAGAAAAGGAGGTCAAGTCTCGCACAAGCATGTACGAGGGCGGCACCCATTGGCAGATACCCAACAGTCCCAGAGGTAAATCGACAGATCAACAGGAGTTGGATGTTGTGGCGCCGCCAGGTCAGAACCACATCGCAAGCAAGGAGTTCTTCTCTACTACCTCGGGGCCGCTGTGCTATGTATATGCTTAGAAGATTGTAATTAATGCAGTCAACTTTCGTGCATCTATGATTTGGGACTATCATGAAACGCGTGCATTGGTCCTACTTGCCTCATTCGATAGAGCTGGCCGTTGTCAGTTCCTAGAACAATACATCCCGATGGACACGTGATGACGAGGCCCTAGCGCGACGCGTCAGACCATCCGATATCAGAAGCGACTGATGACATCGCCAGTCTTGAGACACCCACCAACCCCCACTTCGAGAATTGACGACCGATACCAATGCCCAAACACCCGCGAAGATGTCGACCCCGCAAGCGAAACGTCGCCGGCTAAACGAAGCTACGAAAACGCTCCAGAAGCCGTTCAAATCGCCGTTCCGCACACCATTGAAGCCCAGCATAGGCGACGACCCGCCATCCTCAGATCCGCCTGAGGTCCACACTCCTGCGCTTAATACACCAAGGGCAACCACCGTTCCCGCCAGAAGTACTGCCCCTGCAGACGATGGAGCACAGCAAGCGGCCACCTGTGCCGCCTCGATGCAACCGCCCAAAACACCAGCAACGTCCAAAGTGACACCACGCGCCTCGAGACCTCTTGTATCACGTCCGATCCTATCTACACCGTCACAGGTCGTATCGAGGAAGACACCGTCGAAACCCTCAGTCGCACGCGAGATCATGCAAATCCGCAACGAGATCCAGATGCTTACACAAGCTCAGACCCTCGCTACGTCTACGAAAGACGACGATTTGGTCGTACTGGTTGACAAATGGCGCACAGCAAGTCGCGCAGCGGCGGAAGAGCTGTTTGGTAGCACTAGAGACAGGGTCAACAGGATGGGCGGGGTAGGCGCATGGAAGGAACGTGAGAAAGAATCCAAGGAACGGCAGATGCAATGGGATAAAGAAGAGATGGAAGCGGAACGTGAGAAAATGGAGGAGGCTAAGGAAAGCGGTGAGGTCTCTGAAGAGGCGTATGATCGCTATGCCGAGATGGATTCGGAAAGGGAGAAGGGAGAGGAGAAGGAGACATTCAAGGACGCAGACGATGACGTGAGTGCACGGATATGTATATGCAAGTCGCCCTCCTAACGTTAATGCAGTCGTTCACGATGGACATGATGCTCAAGACCCTTAACATCGACCTCAAGCTCATCGGTTACAACAAAGAAGCGCAAAGGTGGGATGGTTGAGGGTTTAGGTCTGAAAGCCAACAACACTCTTCGCTACACCCCGACTCTTCCAAGTCGTAAACTCACAAACACGAGCAACTGGAGGTTGCGCTGTTCATTAGACAGTGACTGGCGCTGCGATGGCAAGGCTACGTACGAATTGTAAGTCAACACCTAGACTTTTGATGTGCTACATGACTCATGCTATCAGAATGATTGTTTACAGAGATACCCTTATGGAGTAAATTTACTACGCGCTTGATTCCAGATTACTATACATATCGCACATCATTTGCGGATGACAAATACAATGCTAATGACGTCATTTCCCTACACAGTACGCCTACTAGCATATTTATCCTCCGCATATGTGCTTCCTGTGTGACCCTTGTTATTCTCATCGACTTTTTACCGTCAGTCACAACAAACATAGGCCCGAAGTTTCACACCAAGTGAACAATCCATACAGCCCATCCTCATACTTCCATTCCTTACCATGTCACTCAAAGACCAAACTGTCCTCATCACAGGGGCTTCGATGGGCATCGGCGCAGCCATTGCGCGTCGACTAGCCGCTGAAAGTGCAACAATCATCCTCTTTGCACGCTCAGGCGACAAGCTAAAGGCCCTCTCAGACGAACTAAAAAAAGAACACAACGACCTGAAGATCTTCACATCAGTCGTCGACGTACAAGACCACAGATCCCTCAGCACCGCCGTCTCAAACATCGTTCAGCAAGTCTCTCACATCGATGTTCTAATCAACAATGCTGGTTTAGCTATAGGCGCCCCATCACCTTTCCCCGACCTCAAGATCCAAGATATCATCACAATGACTAGCACAAACATCAATGGATACATGTTCGCTGCCTATACGGTCTTGAACGAGGGCAAGATGAAGGAGCGTGGCAAGGGAACGATTTTAAACGTTACCAGTACTACAGGGTTAGAGGTACCACCGTTCCCAGGCGAGGCTGTGTACCATGCTAGCAAGGCGTGCCAGGAGGCTTTTACCAACGTGCTGAGGACGGAGTTGGTGGGTACTGATATTAAAGTCCTTGCGTTACGGCCCGGTGTCGTAGCGACGAACTTTCACGAACAACGGTATGGCTTTGGCCCCCTCTTCATTATTTTGACGCTGCGATGGAGTTCCGAGCTGACAAGATGCGTACGTAGTGTTGGAAACGATAAGCAGAGTTACGACACTTTCATGTCCGGCTTTGAACCCCTTGTTGCGCCTGATGTCGCGGAAGCGGCCGCCTTCATGCTGAGTCAGAAGGAGAGGGTCAGCGTGAAGGCGTTAGATATCGTGCCTACTGCACAGAGGAGTCTGCCGGTTTTCGATCGAGAGTGGAATAGTAGGGATGAGGGGAGGAAGGAAGAAAAGATGACGAAATAAATAAGAGTGATATTGGAAAGACGATTGGGCCCAGCGAAGTTCACTCTGGCTTGGACTAGCTAATGGCGTCTGGCGCAGCGATTATAGCTTCGAGCTGGGAGTCAGCGTCTTCTGGACGAGCTCAAGGACGCGCTCGGCGGTTCCCCTGTAGAAGGCATTAGTATCGCACTGTCGACACATGAGCTTCAGGCTACTTACCAAGATGATTGATAGCCCGCGCCAGCATGTCCATAACAATGCACAACGGGTACCGTCCACTTGCCCATTTCCGTTTCAATTCTTGGGCCGCCCTTGCGCGATGCTAGATACTTTCAGCCAACCTCAACAGACGACTTGCACGTTTGTACTTACGCCTCAAGCCAACATTCCGCCCAATGACCTGTAGATCCTCCGGCTTACCCAACTCAGGACATAACTCACAGCACCGCTTTATGATATCCTGACCGAGTTCCTCATCCCACTCTTCACTCCAATCATTGTCCTGCCTACTGCCACCTAGAATCACGCCGCCGCCTAGCGGACGAGGGAAGACATATGTTGTCGTGGGATCGATTCTCTTTGGAGAACGGAAAGACCTAGTTCGGTTCGTCAGTCAAACCGAATGCACAAGAAAATAGTCAGGTCTGGGGCGGAGGAAGGCAAGTAAGATAGCACTGTCGTACTTGACCCGTTCCATTTCATACATTCTGGTGATTGGCGTTTTTGGTTCGGCGACCAGCAGTGTCTGGCCGCGTGTTGGGTACAGATTCGTATCTTTGATGTCGGAGAGTTTGAGGGAGCCGAGACCGGTGCAGTTAACCAAGAGAGTAGTGGATGGGTGGTCGCTTAGGACTGCTGAGACGGAAGGGTAGTGTCGGCGCACAAGGGTGATGCCTTTGCACAGAGCTTGAACTTGGAGCCTAGTACAGTGTCAGTCTCTTGGAATATGGCGCTGTGGCTAGAATCTTGCGTCTTGGGGAATGCGGCCAGGATAACATACCACTGCAAATACACCTGCGTGTTGATCCTAAACGTGCTTGGGAACTCGAAGCCAAAGTTCGCTCCCTTGGGCAACTCACTTCCACCCAACTGCCTCAATCCCCCGACTAACTCATCATACCACACCTTACCCGTCTCCTCTGTCAGAACACCCGCCTCTTCAATCGACTCATCAAAAATAGCCCACATACCCATTCTACCCAGTCCTGCTTCGTTCCCTCCTCCATTTACCCCATCAACGCCTTCCATCTCACCAGCTTTCAGCGTCTGGCATCCAAACACGCTCTTCCCGTCGATAAGCTGACCGAATTGGTGGAAGGTAACCTCGTCATATTTCTCCAGCGGTCCGTTGTCGTGGGCCATGGAGGACCAGTTGGCGCCCGCCCAGGGCGATGTGTATTCTATCGAGCGGTCTCCGGGGAAGTGCTTTGCTACTACGGTTATCTTGGCGGTCGGGTACGTGTGGGATAGGACGAGTGAGGTTGTTAGACCGATTACTCCGGCGCCGAGGATGAGGATGTGTTGTTGGTCTTGTTGGGGAGCCATGATGGGTGGTTGACTGTCTAAGATAGGTTTCAATACAGGTGATGATTGAGGGTGCTGGTGACGATGCCTGGACCGGATATGTGTTCGTTGTTAAACTCTAGTGAAATATGGAATACTCAAGCGATGCGCAAAGCTGGGACAGTATAAACAAGTCGTCTTTCTTATACGCTGGGTCAAACGGAGTAAGATTCACTCATACCTTGGCACGCTATCCCGAGGCTCACCAGTCTAATCCGACGGCAAAAGGTGACTGGCTTCTACACGGTATTGTAGAAAACCAAATCGGCCCGAAAAGGGTATGGCACGTAATCAATTTGGCGAGCCACAGTGAAAAGGCGACAGTACTGCTTGATTAGTACAAGTGTTGTCAAGTGTCGATCGGAGATGTTGAACGAGATGCAGATAACGCACCGATGGTGTTCCGATCGGAATGAGCGATTCCGGACAAGCGCACAAGCCATGCCCGGGTACGGTCCTAAAGATCGAACTGCTCAACTCGTTGCACGCATGGTCCACGAGTAACGGGTCAGTCGAGTCTGATAGAGATAAAGTAGGGTATCATTCAAAAATAAGGAGAGATTGTATGGACAAGACTATGAATAGAGTCCCAGACGCAATATTATGTACCGAAACTTCAACCAGCTTTTGCAATCCTTTTCCGTACACCCAAAACCCAATAGGACCTATTATGCTGACTGTTTCATAAACCAATCTGAGCTCGCATCGACCATGTAGTTGGTAATGTTCGACTCGTTTCCGAACCCTCCGTCTGGTAATTGTATGTTGCCGTCAGGCGCAGGGTAGCTCATAGCTCCATCCATCGAAACGGGAAGTCGAGGCATGTTGAAGAAGTCGAACACATCGAGATACTCCAGCTCATTCGCCGCAGGCGTTCGAGCTGGAGTCACTGATGGTATCTTCAGATTCTGCTTGTTGCTGAGCTTGGGTTGGCGGGATATGAGAAAGTCGAGATCGAATGCACAACGTCGCATGTCGGCGAGGATCTTGACTGTTGAGGGTGTCACGCGTTCACCATTCGCACCAGCGGGAGTCTCCTGACTCTCTTGATATTCGGAAAGTACCCGTGAAAGAAGGCTTGCATAGCGCGTGCCCACTTCCCAGTACTGACCCATATCCTGGAGAGTACTGACCAGGAGGTTGATGGATTGGTCGACCCGGTGATCGATGGTGGATCCGTGGACCAAGAGAACACGTGCAGCCACCCAGAGCGAGAATGCGAATGGCGGACCAAGTTTGCTTAGCAAGCCGTTGTCGCGTACGGTAGCACACAGGGCCGTGATGTTCTCAACAGCACTGAGACATCGCTGGCTAGCGCTGAAGGACGGCGTGAAGATGGGTGATCGATGGGTAGGATACGCCGCGGATGAGTGAAGACGAATGACAGTGCTGCGGGAGTTAGTATGTTCCTGCAGGTAAAGGGAAGACAAACTTACGTGTGGAAGGCCGCGTGGAGCATTACCAAACCACTGTCCAAATTCTGTCCCATACCCGGCTTTGCGAACAATCTCGCGGAGTTGCCGAACTCCTGCGGAAGATTGTATTTCCATTGCTCGATGGCATTATCAAGCTCACGATACTCACTTTGCCAGGTTTCGACGTCGGACAGGGATGTAATGTCTACGGGCTTCTTGAGGAATTTGTGGATGCGTGTAAGGATCCCTAAGATTTCGACGTAGTATGAGAAGGAGCCCAGGTTTTCTGGTCTGTTCATGCTGTAGTCAGATCGTGTCGAGGTGTGAAACCATCGCGTCTCGACAGGAACGTTACGCGCATACATGTCGTCGCGACATGGCAACCGACGGTCGATCTCCTTTTCGTCGAGAGCGAATTCAAAAGCCGTGGCAACAGTCGCGTACCGGTCTAGAACGTAAATCATCCAGAAAAGCCGGCGTCGGCTCTCTTCCTCGATCCAATCCTTGGGCTCCGGCAGCGTCATGGCGCGCAAGGTGTATATTGACGCAAACTGTGGGGCGACGCTCGGTGAGTAGCTCTCGACCGACAGCCCTAGCTGGACGACTGAGCGCGTAATGAGAGCCAGAAGGTTCCAGCCGGGAGGGCCATTGGAGCAGCCAACAACGTCCAGAGCGAGGATCACGAGCGCCTGCAGCGACTTTACGGAGCTGTTTTCGATGCCATACAGTAGGACCTTCTCTTTGGAGTGTTTATGGTAGCGCGTACGCTTCTCGGCAGTCAAGCGATGGTCGGTAGAGAACTTGACAGTCGTTGCGACAACTGCATGTAGTATGATTCGATCCGCCTCTTCTAGCGTCGCGTCTCCGAAAAGCGAATTCAGCGTGCTCTGGCGGTGAAGGATGGGACACCAGGTATTGATGTGCTTGAAGAAAAGATCGACAAGACCATACAGAAGGTCGTACGGTGGGAAGTCTGCATCCGTGTGACCGAGATTCCTCGACATGGCCGGCTGGTATTGCTCATTATATGTTGTATAGGCATCTCTGGACAAGCCACCGCTCATGCTGCCCACGTCCTCGGACTGATAGCCATTCCCTGTGACAGAGGGGGTGGGTCTGTTATCCGTGACGCCGTTGCCATATTGGTTCTGTATTGCGCTCTGCGAAGGGAACGTGGGCTTCTGGATGAAGAGGGCCGTCTCGGGACGCGGTATATGGGGAGTTTGGATGACGGGCGGGCTTCGGAACGCGGCTACCTCTTGTGGCGACGGGCCGGACGTGGCGACTTGGGTGCTGGAGAGATGGTTGATCTGCGACTGCTGCTGGACGAGGAGCGCTTCGAGCTTGTCTGTGGAAGGGACGATCGTCAGCTGTGGTCGCGATTGCCCTATAGCGCTTCTGGCTGTCGGACAGAAGGAGCCGCCCGCTTAGTCAAGCTGCGCGACAATCATGGCTTCCATCAAGTTCCACCGTCATGACTGTGGGCGCACGAAGTTTGACAGTGCCAACGGCAAACCTCAGTCTGCTTATCCAGACCTCGGCTACTCCAGAACAGGGTCGTGAGGATGCGCAACTTACCAAGTCTTGACTCGAGCTCTCGTCCGTAGCCAGCGCGCAGGCCGGGCTTCTTGCGCGGAAGGTAGACCTGATGCGATTGAGTATGGGGGTCATGTCAGTGGATAGCGCAACTGACGCATGCTGAGTGGTTTTTCAAGCACCAGGAACAGGCGGGCGCGCCTCTATCGCATTTGACTTTTCGTTGCTCTGCATATGGTGAGCCTCACAAGCCTCATGTACTTCATGCGTCACACTTACTGCATGTCTCACAACTTACAGAAAGCGGCCGCTTCCGCTTGTTCGACGTGCCGCTTTGGCTTCTGTCGTGGGCTTCTTCGTCGCTGGAGCGTTCATCACCACTCCAGTCTTGCGCATCACCAGGAGAATGGTTGGAGAGCTTCGCAGTGCCGTTTGGACTAGCCGCCTGCTGGTGGGTTGTACTGGCGTCCATGATGTTGGATGCGAATGCGATTGGGGGCGTGCAGGTTCGGAAGAGCTACACCGAGGGTTCTACTCTTGCAGCCCCGCCTACACGCTCTAGTTCCCTACCCCAGATATCGTATTTACCGGCAAGCGCTCCCTCCGCATCCTTCCATTGGTGGCATCGAGTGGGCCGCTGGCTTTTCGGTACAATACTCGTCAGCAAAAACACATGCTTCGGCCTTGTCCACATTCCGACCTGCGTGCCGAACGCCTCACAGCGACGCCTACTCACGCGTTTGCGCTCCACTTCTTAGCCCAGGTATCGATGGCTCTTCCCAAGTCGTCGCAAATCGCAGCGAGATGGACCGAGGGACCCTCTTGATCAGACGCGAAGCCTGGTACGCCGCTATCCCGCGGTTTAAATATCATTTCTGGCCTACCGTGCACTTATCTACCCCTCCTCTATACTCTGTGGTTTTTTGCTTTGTCGAGTTCACCCTCCTCTCTCTGACGTGATCATGCCTTCCACCGAAGAATCTGGCGCAGCGCGCTCCTTCCCGACCATCAAACACGTGCGAACATTCATAACACAAGGGCCCGGCAGCGGCGGAGACTACCACAATGTCGCTGGTGGACATTGGCTCATCGACAGCAAGATATCCACTCCCATGAGCGGGTATGAGCAGTACCGAAAGTCAAGAACCAGCTGGGGTATCAACGTCCTGGGTTCTTTCTGTGTAGAGCTCGAGGCCAGTGACGGCACCAAGGGCTTTGCTACCGGTTTTGGAGGACCGCCAGCATGCTGGCTGGTCGCTGAGCATTTCGAGCGCTTCTTAATCGGTCAAGGTGAGTGTCCAGTTTGCGACGCCACAAGTGTGCAGTCTAATAGAGTCTAGATCCCAGAGACACAAACCACATGTTCGAGCAAATGTACCGCGCGTCCATGTTCTACGGTCGCAAAGGTCTTCCAGTCGCCGTCATCTCAGTCATCGATCTCGCTATCTGGGATCTGCTCGGCCACATCCGCAACGAGCCCGTATACAAGATGCTCGGTGGAGCAACCCGGGAAAGGCTCAACTTCTACTGCACCGGTCCTGAGCCAGCGGCGGCGAAGGAAATGGGCTTCTTCGGCGCCAAGGTACCATTACCGTACGGCCCTGGTGAGGGTGTCGAAGGCATGAAGAAGAACGTCGAGTTTCTCACCAAGCATCGTGAAAGTGTTGGACCAGACTTTCCTCTCATGGTCGACTGCTACATGAGCTTGAACGTACCTTACACCATCGAGGTTGTAAAGGCCACCGAGCACCTCAACTTGAACTGGTGGGAAGAGTGCTTGTCGCCTGACGATTCGGATGGTTTTGAGCAGATCAAGCGCGCTCACCCCCGCATGAAGTTCACCACTGGCGAGCATGAGTACTCGCGGTATGGCTTCCGGAAGCTCATTGAGGGTCGCAACTTGGACATTCTCCAGCCCGATGTCATGTGGGTTGGCGGTATGACTGAGCTCATCAAGATCTCGGCCATGGCTGCTGCCTACGATATTCCCGTTGTACCTCACGCCAGTGGACCATACTCGTACCATTTCGTTGTTTCTCAGGCCAACTCGCCTTTCCAAGAGTACCTCGCGAACTCACCGGATGGCAAGTCTGTATTGCCCGTATTCGGCAACCTGTAAGTGTCCCTTTTCGCGTGCGCAAAGTGTTGTGCTAATACTGTGCAGCTTCACCAACGAGCCAATTCCCACAAAGGGATATCTCGACGTCAAGACTCTCGACCTTCCAGGCTTTGGTCTTAAGCTGAACCCCAACGCCGGCTTGATCGACGCCACTCGCATACTGAACCCTGCGCCACAGAAAGCACTCAAGCCTGCTGAGCCTGAGAAGGCGGAAGTCAACGGACATTAGTAACATGGTTACACGACATCATGGCGTTGCAGGAGTTGCATATGACTTGCTTTTTGGATAGCCTGGTGTTCATGCATTGCGCAGAAGCGGCGTAAATATTGCTCATTGTTTACTCAACTGGTGGCTTCTCGATGGGATCATGTAGTTACGAATGGCAACAAACGACTGGCCATATTACCAGCTTTACGATGTAGTCGCAGCTCATGAAATACGAAGGATACACAAGAAGTCTAAAATTAGTGACGCGGGCGCCGACGATCTTGGGAGGCTCGATCGCACCCATGTGCAGCAGGGACGCACGCCGAGTGGGGCAACACGAGGCGTCAGTGCTATGCTGCAGTCGAATCTTCATAAGGACGCGGTGAGCCAGCAAAACTGTACCTTTCGACAAAGTCAGCGTATATATCAGACATACGCCTTTGAGATCAATTGCAACATATTTCTGTATTCCACGAATTACCCCGCCAATACCCCGCATCATCATGGACGCCATTAAGGATACCGTCAACAGCGCGCTTGAGAAGCTCAACATCACCGGAGGCGCACCCCAGGGTACACCGGCGAAGGAGCCAACAGAGGAGCAGCTGAATGAGCTCAAGTCCAAGTACCAGAAGGCCGGCCAAGAGCAAGTTTTCGTAGGTGCAGCCCGGGCGTTGGTGTTGCAAGTCTGGGAGCACCTCGTTGGACTGTGTGAGCACTAGATGGCTTGCTTGACCCCACGACGCACCCCAGGACTTGTTCTCATCACATATGTATGTACTGACAGATTTGACTAGGCCTTCTACGACAAGCTCTCCACAGCTGAGAGGGCGACCCTCTACGAGCAGCTGAGCAACTTCAACCCCGACTACATCAACGAAATCACCGAGCGAGCCCTCCACCCCGCCGAAACCGAAGCCAGCGAGAACAAGCTCGAGCCCCTGCCCGAGAATGCCACATCCTCCGTCCTCTCCTCCTCCCAGGAGGATCTCGACAGATGGTACGACAGCGGACTGGACCTGATCGCCGAGAACAAGGTCGCGGTTGTGCTCATGGCTGGTGGCCAGGGCACCCGTCTGGGCAGCTCAGCGCCTAAGGGGTGCTTCGACATTGGCCTTCCCAGCAAGAAGAGCCTGTTCCAACTGCAGGGCGAGAGGATCAGGAAGGCTGAGATGCTGGCCGCCAAGAAGCACAACAAGGAGAGCGTAACCATCCCATGGTACGTCATGACCAGCGGTCCTACTCGCGGCCCTACCGCCGACTTCTTCGAGAAGCATAACTACTTTGGCCTGAAGAAGGAGAACGTCGTCATCTTCGAGCAGGGTGTCTTGCCATGCATCTCGAACGAGGGCAAGATCCTGCTAGAGAGCAAGTCAAAGGTACGTCTGTTCTTAATCTTACAGTGCTGCAGGACCACGAGGGCATGCTGATAATGATTAGGTCGCTGTCGCACCCGATGGCAATGGCGGTCTCTACCAAGCTCTCATCCAGTCCGGCGTCGTACAAGACATGGGCAAGCGCGGCATCCAGCACATCCACGCATACTGTGTCGACAACTGCCTCGTCAAGGTCGCCGACCCCGTCTTTATCGGTTTCTCCGCCTCAAAGAACGTCGACATCGCTACCAAGGTCGTCCGCAAGCGCAATGCCAAGGAGTCCGTCGGACTTATCCTGCAGAAAAACGGCAAACCAGACGTTGTCGAATATTCGGAAATCTCCAGCGAAGACGCAGAGGCCAAGGACTCCAAGGACTCCAGCCTGCTCAAGTTCCGCGCTGCCAACATTGTCAACCACTACTACTCATACAAGTTCCTTGAGAGCATTCCAGAGTGGGCAAAGAAGCTGCCCCACCACGTCGCCCGCAAGAAGATTCCTTTCGTCAACACCGAGACCGGCGAGACAGTCAAGCCAGAGAAGCCAAATGGCATCAAGCTGGAGCAGTTTGTCTTTGACTGCTTCCCCTTCCTCACTCTGGAGAAGTTTGCCTGCATGGAAGTGAAGCGTGAGGACGAGTTCTCGCCCTTGAAGAACGCTCGTGGAACTGGAGAAGACGACCCAGATACCAGCAAGGCGGACATCATGACCCAGGGGAGGAAATGGGTGCAAGCCGCCGGTGCGACCGTTGTCAGCGAGGACTCCGAATCCTACGTCGAAGTTTCACCATTGATCTCCTACGTAAGTTCTTCAGGCTACTTCGAAGTATGAAACTATATGCTAATCCGAAACAGGGTGGCGAAGGCCTTGACTTCCTCAAGAATAGGACGATCAAGGCGCCTGCGGTCATCGAGTCTGAAGACTAGAAGACCTGCAAAGTTCGATACAACGCGCTGTAGCCGCGAGACCTTCTATTCGGAACGACACACTTGAGTCAGAAACATGGCTACCCGCGGTTACAACAGACTCCTCGCTACTGTTGGCATTGAATAATACATAGACACGAATGCTTATAAATATATCGGCCAATTGCCTCTTCGGCGCCTCTGACATATCTGGACCTCCCAAAGGGTGATTACTAACTGACTTGTGGAGAAGCTAACTTTGTGTCCTAGCTACACACATGCGACTGCAGCTGTGGTGTCATGAAGCGGGGCAGAAACATAGATCTCGAGCTGGCGGCAGTAGCGGAGGAATTGGAAAAGATAGGTCAGGGGCCGACGGCATGAGGAAAGCGCCTTTGCTGCACGACGATAGGAGACAGAACTCGTCTAGGGTGAAGAGGGTAAGGTTGCAGTCGGTTGAAACGTCGCATGATGCAATTGGGGGCCGTTTGGGACGCACTTTCGACCTCGGGAAGAACCAGATTGCGCATTTCGCTAGCGCACGGAGCAGGGACCACCGTCATGGGAGATGCATTTTGCCCGTTGCCCGAACATTCCACGATCCCCTCATTCTCTCACCACAATTACCACTGGCAGGAGGTTGAAGAAGTGTCGCAGCGGGAAGAAGGTCTGGAAAGTTGAAAGAAAGTAGGTTGCGCCTGCTGAGGATTCCTCCGTCTCGAGGGTGCGCGCGAGGTTCCGCCCTGGCGCGTGCTTTGTCCGCATTCCTTACCCCTCGACAACAGCCCCTCGAAAAATCTGCGACTGACGGGCGAACCCAGGTGAAGAAATTGAAGAAGTAAACGAAGCAGGTACTTGCGCCCCGTCACTCCTGCTACTTGCGCGCGCAGTCCCCGAGCAAACCAGGGGATCAAGGCACACGTCGCAGCAAACACTACACAACCGCCCCTCATTCGCGACCCACTCCCTCTCGCTGCTCAGACAACCACCGATCACATACTTATACGCTGCCCAGATATACGCAGAAAACCATCGTCATGTCTTCTCTATCTCGTCGTGCGTGCTTCAAGTGCGGAAACGTCGGCCACTACGCCGGTAAGCCATACCCGCGCATCTGCTCGGCGCGCGCTGCAGTCGCATTGCCGGGACATGCATCGCGAACATCGTCTCTTGATGCGGTACCTGCATCGCGTGACCCCGAGCAATGTGGCAGCTTCCATAAGGGAAATGCGACTAACATGGATGCGCAGAGGTCTGCTCTTCGTCTGAGAGGCTCTGCTACAACTGTAAGACTACACCCAGACACCACTTACGACTATGGACTAACTTTTGCGCAGGCAAGCAGCCAGGCCACGAGTCCAACGGATGCCCGCACCCGCGCACCACCGAGAGTACGTCACCCCGAGTCCTGGCGCATTTCGAGAATACAGGCGGCTGTACACCGAGAGAGTGAAGAGCTGACAAAGGAACAGCCAAGCAGTGCTACCACTGCCAGGGTCTTGGACACGTCCAGGCTGACTGCCCAACTCTGCGCCTGAGCGGAGCCGGCACAAGCGGACGCTGCTACAGCTGCGGTATCGCCGGCCACCTTGCTCGCAACTGCCCCAACCCTGGAATGGGTCGCGGCGCCGGTGCTCCCCGTGGAGGGTACGGAGGAGGTTTCCGTGGCGGCTTCGCTGGCGGCGCTCGCCCGGCCACCTGCTACAAATGCGGTGGACCTAACCACTTTGCCCGCGACTGCCAGGCCCAAGCCATGAAGTGCTATGCCTGCGGCAAGCTGGGTGAGTAAAATGGGCGCATTACAACGAACAGCTGCTGACCACAATAGGCCACATCTCCCGTGACTGCACTGCTCCCAACGGCGGCCCATTGAACACTGCCGGCAAGACCTGCTACCGCTGCGGCGAGACCGGTCATATCTCCCGCGACTGCACACAGGCTGAGGTCAATGGCGATGCCCCCGTTGCTCCTGTCGCTGCTGCCCCCGTCCCGGCCGCTGCCCCCACCCCTACAGTCGCTTAGACGACTGCGAGCTTCGTCAGAGGTCCACCATGAGTAATATCGCGGCGGACACTGGCTTACCTGACATGCATTTCCATGTCTTCCCTTAGTTCGTCATTTTATCACAATCGTTTTCCTGGCCAATTTCAGCATCATATCGGCATATCTCACGCATTCACGAGTCATCAACGGATACGGCAAAAGTTCTTCACGATTCTTACACTGATACCCCACGAACATTGTATCCCTTACTTCAACCATTCTACCATTATTTCGACAGACGACGGCTTGGCGATTTGGACGGCGGCCTGTTTGCATGCAAGTGTTTTGGATCGACTGCGGCTTCGGTAGAAGCGTTGTTGATGCGAATGTGCTTGGATAAATCGGGCTCGCCTATGGAGCTGGAGGCGGCTGTGGTGGTCTGGTGTGGAAAGAGTGCCCCCTAGGGGTTGAGGGGGAAGAGTGAAGGAGACTGTGTGTGTTTGTCGGGAGCTGAGTCGGTATATCTGTCTATTATCACGTTTACACTCCATTGTGCTTGCATATGATAGGTGTAGATTGTATCATCTATTTCGAATATATGCAATCTCATGAACGGTTACTTTCCGGGTTTTTGACCTCATCGCTGACACCGGGGTGACAGCTGTAAGCATCTACGCTACGTGATCCTGAGAGTGGTAGCGATATCTGTTTCTGGACATACTAGAAGGCTACACACATTACCGTCTATTGCAATTGTAGTCTACCTATGGTCGATCCAGTGCACATGTAGGTTCATCTCAGTGTTCAAGGCTATCGTGTTGATGGTGGCTGCCTCTTCCTTCCTCTCAGCATCTCACGTTATGTTGAGCCTAGCGCTCCTTCCCGTCGTGCCTTCCTCGACGACCTCGCCTCCGCAGGACCTTTCTCTCATCTCTCATCGCATTCTTCGCACTCTCGTTCTTGCAATCATCACTCGCACAAGCATCATTCGTAATTCGCTCGTATCGTTCACTTTCATCTCATCCCGCGTCAGTTATCACCAGCAGTTACTATGGGTGCTTCTTCAGTTGCCAGCGACGACTCGAACAACGATGTGAGTCACTGCCTCTTTCCGCGGTGTGTGAGATCCTGGCTAACCATGTATAGGATGGGTTCATTGTCGATATTGACACAATTCAGGCGCACGGCATCGGTGCTGTCGACATCTCGAAGCTCAAGTCAAACGGCTACTACACCATCGCATCGGTGCATTCGGCTACTCGTCGCAACCTACTAAAAATCAAGGGCTTCAGCGAGATCAAAGTTGATAAAGTCAAGGACGCCATCACCAAATGCCAGGTACATCGCAACACCAAGCCTTCACTTGCGTATGCATCACTGACATCCAACAGCCTTCCGGAGGAGGCTTCCAGACCGCACATGAACTCGGACATCTACGCAAGCGTGTGATTAAGATCTCCACTGGTAGCAAGGCACTCGATGCAGTCCTTGGAGGGTGAGTGCACGCCACAGTCGATCTTCCGAGCATTGACGCTGACGATATATAACAGTGGCTTCCAGACCATGAGCATCAGCGAGGTATTCGGAGAATTTCGCTGCGGAAAGACTCAGCTATCACATACCATGTCCGTCATTGCGCAGCTGCCGAAGGACATGGGTGGCGCAGAAGGCAAAGTGGCATACATCGGTACGTTGGATGTCGCTGCTTTCGAATGCCGCTGACCACGATGCAGATACCGAGGGAACCTTCCGGCCTGAGAGGATAGCCCAGATTGCAGAGCGTTTCGGAGTAGACCCTGAGACTGGTGTGTACTCTTCTCACATCCTTGATGGCGTCCCTACTGACAATCTATAGCCCAAGATAACATCACCTATGCCCGCGCTGTCAACTCTGAGCATCAGATGGAGCTTCTCAACAAAGTCGCCGAATTCTTCATCAGCAACGAGTACCGACTACTCATCATCGACAGCATCATGGCCCTGTTTCGTGTCGATTATACAGGTCGTGGTGAACTGAATGAGCGCCAGCAGAAGCTCAACCAGTTCCTCTCCAAGTTGACGCATGTCGCTGAAGGTGCGCGAAAGGTCACTCTTACTCTTCGATCTCTGCTAACATTGCCCAGAGTTCAATGTCGCCGTGCTATTGACAAACCAAGTTCAGAGCGACCCTGGTGCAAGCGCTCTCTTTGCTGGCGCAGACGGTCGCAAGCCGATCGGTGGCCATATCCTCGCTCATGCTTCTGCTACTAGGATTCTGCTCCGCAAGGGTCGCGGTGAGGAGCGTGTTGCCAAGATTCAAGACTCTCCTGGTACGTCATCTTTCGTTGCTGTTACTCTTGCTACCACCGCTAATGCACCGCGTTAGACATGCCTGAGAAGGAGGCGACGTACATCATTACCAACGGCGGTATCAACGATCCGGAGAAGGTGTGACAGATATGTAGTGATCTCGCTTCGGTGCATCTATGAGGGAAGATCTTCGGACACGTGGTGGATTACGAGACGAAGTAATGTAGTTCTTGATTTCTCGATTATGAGAAGCTGTTGCATGCCAGTCAGATAAAAATATGTCGGTCGAAATTTGTTTGTGCTCAGATAGCTGCAAGGGAATGTCTAGAGATTTACCTTTTAACAAAGTGCTCACGTGAACGTCACAATATTGGAAGATCAGTGTAAGACCCTGAGATAAGAACCTAGTACTTCGCCGTCGCATTGCATTAATCTACGAACAGCAAGCTCAGAGCTTTATAGTAAGATTGTACCTGTCTAGACCCACTGCAACGGCAGTAACAGCAGCGATGTATGCGACGAGTATCGCCATGGACTGCATAACACTCATGTGTAAGGTCGGGAAAGTCATGTTGACCAAACCTGTGAGTAGATTCGCCACAAGGAAGACTGCGAGACCGTTGCGATTGAAAGCATAGAGCACAGTGCTAGTCGCGTCCCGGCTCCTCCGTGACTCCTCACTTTTAGTCGTAGCTTTATACAAGTTCGGAAAGAGGAAACTCTCGATGGTGTAACAGATGGTGATTTGGTAACTGTTGAACGAAGAGACCCAGAGGAAGTAGGGCAGATTGGCTAGGCGGCGCGATACGGGGAGTCGAAGACCGTAATAGTTGGTTGAGAAGTAGAACAACACTGTCCAGAGTATGGATGTCATGATCAGCTTCCCGAATGTGGATTGCCGAATCTTTGTCTGGAATGGGGCATCCTTGGGGATCTGCTGTTGCCTAGGTAATGCGGAGGCGCCCAGGGATTGGCCTGCAAGGAAGATGGCGAGGTAGCCAAAGAAAGAGAATATGCCTTCTCGGTTCTGAGAGAAGAGATCCGTACGTGGGGCTATTAGTATGAAGGATCCGAGGGAAGTCCAGTCTAGAGCGATCTCGTAGACGGCAGCCAGAGCAAAAGAGAGAACGGCATAGGAAGGGACCAAGTCAAAGGCCGTTTGAAAGAGAGCAGCGAACGGAGGGAGGAAGCCCAGGGTAAAGAAGAAGTTCCAGTGTACACCATATTCCGTGACGTGCTCGGCGTAGTCCAGTCCTTTTACAGAGATGAGCCGAATGATGCCTAGGACCAGCAGTGGGATGGCATGTCTGATTGATGCTGTCAAGCGCTTTGATAGTGGCTGACGGCCAGCTCCCTCCTTGAGAGAAGCCCGGACAGACACTACACCAGCCGTAAAGACAAAAGACCCCACACCCATGTCCATGAGCGACGTACCCCAATTCTCCACCTTCGCAAAGCGGCGAGGAAAGACGCGAAAGTCAACTGCCAGGATAGCAACACACGTTATGACCATCATGGCGCCACGATAATTCGTGATAAACGGCTTAACGGGCAGCGCATCGAGCTTCGTGTCCTTTTCAGACTTGTCGATCTTCGGTGGCCGAGGAGCGTCCTTCAAGGCGGCTGGTTTCTCAAAGACGTAAAGCGTGATTGCTGGGAGCAGCAGAAGGAGGTTCAGGAGCCATGGCGAGGAGGAGTATATGGTAGTCGCGAACAACGTGGCGCCGCAGTTGAGCAGGAAGTCGACGAAGAAGGCTGGCGGCGTGTACGGCGTGAAGAGACGCATGCGCGACTGGATGACAGACCAGAGTAGAATGCTCAGCTATGTATGCAGTTAGTAAGAGTGCATTGCTTGAGTAGTGGGTGTGTGTACGGTACAGGCATTGCGAGCGAGACGCTGTTCACGTCTGCTACAGAGCTCCCGGTGTGTCCAGACACCCAGGCCTCCTTCATTTGCTTGTATGTCTTCGCCATGATGCTAAAATGAGCGTTGTGCGAGTTGGTTGTTCACTATGCAATGCATTGGTTCGATGTGTCTGACGCGTCTGGCTGGCCTCCTCGCAAACAGAACGTGGCCCGAGCTTGGATGACCTCACACATCGCGACTTCCACACCTCTTCTTCTATACACTACACCACATTATGTAGAGGTCATGGCCACAATTCACGGACCAGTAGTTCGAATTGGTTTGGATATCATGGGACAGGGTGCGAATTTTATCAGGTATCCCAGAAAGAGTAGGAGGGCACTGCACGTGTCTGGACTTCCTCTTTCACCATCACTGCTCTTCTATGAGTAGAAATGTCCGTGCGCAGAACTGCAGATCTGGCAGCTACGATAGAAACTTCAGGCGCCTTCCCACCGCTCTGCGACCGCTCCGCGCCGACACGTGCCGGAACCTCTTTGCTGTGACTTCCTGACAGCTTGTCAAAGCTGTCAACACATGCTAGCATGACGGCCGCTAACAAATCAAAGATACCCAGCATCCGACCGGCTTCGTTTGGCGTAAGAAACTCGCTGCCTGAGAGGACATTGTCGCCGGCAACTCGCGCGACGACGACGCCTACGGGCACTTCACGCCTCCCCCGTCGTCCTCAAAGCGAGAAGCCGCTGCCAAGTCCGCCTGTCGCGCAGGTCGTAGACCCCAACTCGCCTCCCAAGGCTGCGCGCACCTTGGTGGATGCCTTCACGCCGAGCCCAACGCTGGAGAACTGGCCCATTCTCGCCCCCGAGAACATTCCTCCTCGTCTGAGTTCGAAGAGGAGCTCGCTCCCTACGCAAAGCGCAATCAACTTTGGCCGTCAGACTCCCTCCAATGGCAGAGAAGGCAGTAGAGTGAAGCGGCTATCATGGCATTCGACCGCGTCGGGCTCCAGCTCAGGCACCGGACCCATTCTCACAATCTCTGCCGATGCGGACGCAGTCATTCTCGGTCAGCGCGACTCCATCCCGGCAGTACCCGCTATCCCTGCGGTACTACCAGAGAGTTCTTCTCAGCCGCGTTCTCTAGGTGCTCTTGCTAGCCGAATTACCAGGGCGACAACGTCCAAAGCATCGTCGAGCATTGCGACTGCGTCACCAGTACACAACACGGCAGAGCTCACGGCGAATGGAAGCCCAGTTGTCAAGATCAGTCCCATTCGATCGATGCAGCCAGCGAGGAAGCCTAGTCTTGACGCTCATTCTCCCCAGCTGCCTTCGTCTCCGTCTATGATCTTCCCAGACGCGACGACTGTTAAGAGCACACCCGAGGTAATTGCAGGGGCTGAACGCAGTGTATCGCCGATGTCAAATAGGTCCGCGACGCGTACACCTGAGCCCAGGTCTGTACCGTTGCTTCGAGACTTCTCTGAACCGCCTGTGGATTCCTGGGACGCTTATCGGGTATGTGAACTCTACCGCTTGACGTGACAGTGCTGACAATAAAGTTAGGAACAGCTTGAAGACCTTTCGGAGCCTGCGATTGCGCCAAAATCTGATGACTCCCTCAATGTCAGCAAAGTCAGGCGGACAGCACCAGCACGTGAGGACGCGAGTCCCTCACCAAGCTCGTTTGACCATTATACTGTTCAGGACGACTCAACCGCAAACGCCAGTGCTGCCGAGTTGAGTTCTTCGTCTCTGCCTCAAGCTGAGCTATCACGCGACACGGTCCGTACCCAGGATCCTCCTAAGCCAAGGACCGCGGAGACTGCCAGGTCGATCAGTATTGGCAACCCATTGGGTCGCGGAATACCTAAAGCTCGTCAGCCTTTTCGCCGCCAATTCACACCTGTGGTCTCCTCGTCACCTGCAGAAGATATAACCCCGGATAACCATGACAAGAAGACTGTGACGAGCAAGGTCAAAGCCAAACGCAGTATTCTCAACCTGTTCAACCGTGAGAAGACGCGCACAAGATTACCAGAGCCGGCGGCATCCAAGCAAGGATTCATGAGTAGCACGCAAAGCTCGCTCGCTAAGGTCTTGCGCGATCCCAAGAGCCTCTCGAAAGTCCATCTGCCTAGAAAGACTGAACCGAAGCTGGAGACTGAGTCTGATCATGTCTTTAATAAGAAGAGTTACCAGCCAGGCATGTTCGCTGCATTTCCCAGCGGTAGAGCCACCCCGGCCGAACAGCCATCGTCTGGAAGGCCGAGCCATGCAGATGAGATGCTCCACGACATCGTCGAACGCATAGATGCGCAACCTGAGAATTCACAAGAGCGTCTGCGTCACGTGGAGATTGCAGAGGTATGTGAAGCCCTCCGATTGAAAACCATTGTGGAGGAAGAGCTTGTCCTGACCGTACAAAATAAACAGTGTATCATTTCGGCCGCTGATAGTTCTCGCAAAGCCAACATCAGCGCTATGGAAGCGAGGAAGAATGCTTGTGAAGCGGAATATCATGCAGACCGCGTCACGTCAGAATTCACACGCCTGCGCGAGCTACTCGACACCACGGCGATTGATGCTCAGTCCCTGAGATATATCAAGAGTTTCCTAACTAAGGTTGAACGCAAACGATCGAGAGAGGAGGTTCGTCGAGGATTCATGCCGGGATTCCATACAGCATGTTGAGGGTATTTGGCATTCTTGACTGTGCCCGCAAACCGACGGTTAACAAAGAATAGCACGGCGGGACGACTGTACCATACCCCACGATTGCGCCCTTTTACGGTCTCGCGATGCTACGAAAGCATACGTTCATGGACCGACCCGATGTTTTGCCCACTATTTCGCAAGAACATCATCTAATGATTGGAAGACGACACGGCTGGACACTGAATTAGTTGACCGGACTGCACTTACACATGAGCACGTAAGGTGCGCCATTGGGAGATACCCCGATACATAGATCGGTCGAACTGAAAGCATAAACTTTGTATTGTACATGTCCTTCATATCGTGTGATATCATTGCTGAGACCGTGACCACATCAGCAGTCGCGCGTCAACAGGCTGGAGTGGAGTATGTAAAGCAATCCTCCAGCATTTCCAAGTAGAGACACATTTCATGCAATAGCCATGGTCACCCGAAAACATGGCGCCTCTGCTTCCAAATGCAAGACCTGTCACAGCCCAGCGCAAAACCGACGAGGTATGTCCATATCATCCAGCCTCAGCATCTCGCGCATCCAATATATTGTTCCTTTACATTCCACCACCAAACATGCCGCCACCACCGCCCTGCTTTCCTTGCGCCTCACCCTGCATCTTCTCGCTAACCTTGACATTGACCTCGAAGAACTTGGATACGCAGCGGTCGAGGCAGACGGATTCGCCCTTGTTGAGATCGGCTTCGCGGTACGATGTGTCTATGCATTTGGATGTGCAGGATTTGACGAGGCTGGAGCAGTGAATGTTAGTAAATGCTGTTTTTAGAAAGATTGAGGGGAGAGGAAGGGGTAATGAAGGGTTCTAGACGCACCGGCTGTACATGTCGGAAACCATGTCGATTTCCGCTTCGGCCTGTGCAATCTTTTGCTCCGAAGAGATTTGGGGTTTTTGACCGAAGAACATTGACATATTGGGTGGTGGTTGTTTCTCTGCTTCTTTGGGTAGGTGAGAGATGCGCAATTGGCGGTTCGGTGAGATTGGTAGGTATGGTACGGGTGCGTCGAGGTTTGTTGGGGTCGAGTGGCCGTGGTGATGGATTTGGACATGGGTGACGGCGGGCGATGATGTCGCGCGAGCAGGAATTTGGAGCTGGGTGCGCGATGGGGGACGTGCGTCGTCGGAGGCTCGATGACGCGGTATACCAACCGCCAGTTCGTCTCTTCGTCTCTAGGCAAACTTCAGATACCGCAAAGCCCACTCTCACTGCTACTACCAGTATGCCTCCTCACAACCCATCTCTGGTGTCATCTCTTTGTTTCCGCCGCGATGAACTCCAGATCGCGTATCCGTAAGCAGCTGATTTCGAAAAATCATGGCTTCCTCACAGGTTTTCCCTCTGAGTTGCGAAATCAGATCTACGAGTACGTCTTCGAGGACTTTAATCATGCTATATTGGTCACGCACACGGCCGCTTCAACGGGTGACGGCAGGCCAATGAACGCATCACCACGTATGGGAACCAACGATTCCATTCTCTTTTGCAACATACCGTCTGTACAGCTGCTTCGGTGCTGCCAACAGATCTACCGGGAAGGCATGGATGTGATCCTGAACGGGACGACGGTCATGTTCAAAAATCGGCGTGACTGTTTCCTCTTCCGGGACAGGGATCACCTGCCATTTGTACGTTCCTGACTGAAGTATTTTGGATCTGAGGCGCCGCTCTTGCAAACAGTCATTGTTGATCTGTCTGTACAGACCCATCACCATCACAACGACGACTACAAGCGTATAGATCTCCTACCTTTACTAAGCATCATGGTCGGCTTGTCGCCACCAGTATTGGACGTCGAGTTCACGTCGAGCCCACCATCACCGTCGATCCCATCGCTACCGGGGTATATGAATGATCGCCTGAGGTTAGGTCATCTCAATTGAAAGATCCTCCGGATCAAGACGTACTGGAAGAAGCGTTGTACTTCCTTGTGGCACGAGATCCATTAGATCTTCGTAGACTTGGCGATCTAGGCCGCCGTCTTTCGTGCACCACAGTCAACAGGTCTGTGACCAAAGGTAGGATCTGATGGCGCACCATCACTGGTTGCCTGGCGCTCAAGATGGAGTTCAACGTTCCTGAAGACAGTTGGGCAATACACAAGAGACACATCCAATCGACCTCCAATCTCTTTGCCCTCCCACCAGATGTCCTGGAGACAATTTGCGAATACGCATTAAGCTTACTTGAGAGCATAGTTATCGTCCTCGGTTCGAAGACAAGCCTATTTCCGGTATTTCCACTGCTCGACCTTGTCAAGAGGCGTTCAAAACTCCTCGGCGTTGTCGCGCCTAGTATCTACACTTCGAACACGTTCACATTTCTTGCGAATGTTCATAAGAAACGCGCAACATATGGAGATATGTCACACGCTTTCTTTTTGTTGAGGACGGACGTGCTCGGCATCCGGACGACCGTCACGACAACTCTAGAGACGTTTCGCAAAGTCAAAGAAGAAGCAAAACGGAGACCTGGAAAGAGATTGGCGAGGCCGAGGTTTCACTATGCTACCCACGATATGAGCAATCCAACAAAAGCAGAAGAGCGCGGTAAGTATTACGCTAGGTGGCTCAAGCATCTAGTGCCTGTGGGCGAGAAAACTTGGGAGGGTGAGATGACTGATGACGGAAATCGAGTTCCGGGTAGCTTGATCAGGGTGTGGGATGATCTGAGGATCGCGCTATTGGGTGAAGGTCTGAGAGCTGCGTGGTGAGTGACTGCGTCACCTTGATGGAAATCCACTTTTCAAGGTGAGAGAGGCGTCACCGCATGTGAGGCCCCATGCGGTAAGAAGCCGCCTGTGTGAATAAAAGCGCAATTGGCGTCACCTCTACTTCCTAAATCTCCCGTGGGTCACTACTGCTCATGATCTGCTCCTCACACGTCCTCTTATCTCTTTACACACTACACCCATCTCCCTCGCAACCCGCGTTATTTCCGTATCGATGGAACCTCTGAAAAGGCGCGATCATCCTCCAATCCTGGTTTTAGGTGACCAGGGCTTGGGCAAGTCACTTCTCCTCGAAGCACTTTTTGGCACGGACGAGTCCAACAGCGATTTCAACCGTCGACAACAAGCTATCAATTCGCGTATCACTTCAATGCGTAACAGAACCAAGAAACCAATTGATCGGGTGCCGAAGACAGCGGCAAAACGAACTGGTTCTAAAAACAGACGTGCGATCAGGGCATTTCCGAGGACGTACTCTTCGCCGGCCGACCCAAGCGCGCCCTCTTTCGTTACCTCGCTCCCCTCAGAAGTCAGAAATCGAATCTATGATCTTGTTGTCGCCTTCTCCCCGGGGGATTTGGAGATATTTTCTGGACTGCGCACACCCATAGTAGCTGTCAGATCAAAACTCGCACTGGCGCGTGGACTACTTTACAGCTGCCGTCAAATCCACTACGAAGCTGCCAGCACTTTCTATTGCCAAGTCAAGTTTGTCGCTATGGCCTGGTCTGGGCGTGATTTCTTCACGGAATGGTGCGAGCAACTAGGGTCTCACATTCATCTGCTGAGGAAGGTCACGATCGATTACACCGCTTTGGCGTTCGAGCTGTCAGGACATCACTGGGATGGCAGATCAAAAGCCTTTGACGTGCTCCCAGTATTACGGCTACTATGGGCAGAGTCTGGAGCAATGTTGCAAGTCTCGATGAAGCCGCCGTTTCCTAGTGATGGACCTACCACGTTCGAGAATACATTCCGATCTATTGCTTATGACGACCAACTGAGTCTCAGAAGATACTCAGCCTCAGTACATCTGCTTGCAGCAGTGAACATGGGACAAGACGGGAAGTCGGGCGTGGTCATCTTCGCAAGCACATCACCAGAGTTGGACGTACAGCGAACTTTCACCTCTTCAAATGAAGGAACACTCGTCACGATGGAGCAACACCCACGTATCCGAAGTCTTCTAGACTTACCAGATCTTATCTATTGCGTCATTATTTCCTACGCATATCCTGCTGGAACCGAGCTCGTCACCTACCCGCATGCTACAAGACTGCCGCCTTGGACATCATCCATGTTCCAGATCAACCGCAAAATGCGGTCAGACGCTACAGAACATGCATTTCGAACTAGTCGTTTCGCTTTCGTTCTTAACTTCAAGGGTCTACAGTCGAAATTCGATGACCTTCCCCTCATGTGGCAATCCAATATTGCAATGGTTGAATTCAAAACTAAACCTTGGCACTCTATCTACGATGTCTTCCGCCGGGCTAATCATTTCAAGCTGCTGCTAGAATTCGATGTTCGATCGCATACAATCAGCCTGGGAAACTTTCGCATGAATGTCATAGAGCTCCTTCATGCCACGTCTCGATTACCTTCGTTCATGATCATAACTGTACGACTACGCGCATCACTCAAGGGAGATAGGATCATCGGCGAGCACTCGTTCACAATCAACCAGCTAAGACTAAGCGTCTTCATCGCTCTTTCTCAGATCTTCGAGCATGAAGAATACAGAGCACATGCGCGCTGTTCAGCTATTTACATCAACGGCAGGGGACATCCCGTTGGATACGTCTTCCCCGTAGATGGTGTCATCAGGAAGTTGTCAGACCGGACCGGAGTGTTCACAAACGAAGAGGTGGCATTGGGAAGAGCGGAAGAATATCTGCGCAGCTTGCGATATGAGCCGCAACCATTCCTGGTCAAGTTCCTACCAAAGGGCTGCGTGATGCTTGGCGAACTGTGGGATCGTGTCGGACTCATGATCTGGCCTGTATCTGACCAGCCCAGTGACCCGTAGTTCCAAGTACAATCGTCCAGCTAGTGACCCCGTCTCCTTCCTTCGGAGCGAGGCTTTTCATGTACGTACCAAAGGGTTAACAAACATCAAGACGATGGCTTCAATGCAAAACAAAATGCTACAATTATCACTTCCCCGATCGCATGACGTGAAGGACACACTGTCCAGGAGCAGGAGATGTGTCTTAGTCCGAAGTTGGGAGCACCAGGAGTTGCCGACCTCGGGAACGCGTGACATCATCACCTCGCTCAGCGCCCCGCGTGTCTTCACTCATCTCACCAGATCGTATATCCCACCACCAAGCCACTAACTTCCTGCGAAACCGTTCATTTTGTACCGCGCATCTCCGTGCCAATGCTCCGGGAGATGGAAGAGTGGGGTTGCCGTTGAGGTTTTAATACCCTTCAGGCAGGTGCTGTCGATCTCCACCCAATCAGACCAAGACCCACGATGATGCGATGCCCAGCATCAACTTTGTGATAAGATGCCGCCACTGGTCCTCGGTAGTATATCTACAGGCTTTTGCATTGAGTACGATCCAGTTTGTCGGGTATCAGCGTATTCATCATGCAGCTTACCACTTTCTTCTGTGCCGCTGTCTTAGCGGTCACCACCATCGCGAATCCCATCTACGCCACGAATGGCACCAACACGACTTATGTCGGTCCAGAAAACGGTCACCTCGTAATTGTTGGAGGAAATCTGCAAAGCGAGAGCATCTACCAGCGCATCATCTCCCTTGCTGGCGGCCCCGACGCATCGATCGTTGTGGTACCCACGGCAGGCGGCGAAGATACATACGACCAAAACTTCACGACCGCAGTAGCATTCCGAAAGTATGGTGCCAACAACGTGACGGTCTTGCATACATATGACCCCGCTGTCGCTGATACCGACGAGTTCCTTGCTCCCTTGTTGAGTGCGAAGGGTGTCTTCTTCGGTGGAGGTAGACAATGGAGGCTCGTGGATGCCTACGCTGGCACGAAAACCGAAGCTGCATTCCAGGACGTCCTTGATGCTGGAGGTGTTATCTCAGGGTCTAGTGCTGGCGCGAGTATCATTGGCAGTTTCCTTGCTCGTGGTGACACCGCGAACAACACCATCATGATAGGTGAGCCTCTGGTTACATGCCATCAGAGGAAAGAGCTAATAGGTTTTGCAGGTGATCATACTGTCGGCTTTGGATATTTGAAGAACTCCGCCATTGACCAGCACGTCCTTGTACGCAATAGGCACTTCGACATGTTTGAGATCCTGAACGCCTACCCGGAGCTACTAGGATTGGCAATTGACGAAGACACTGCGCTGGTGGTCAACAAGAACGAGATGGAAGTCATCGGCAGCACGTATGCATTGGTATACGATGGTGGTTTCTGGTCGAGAGAAGGAAGCTGGGAGAGGCCCTTACCGCCGTCTAACGCGAGGTTTTACTTTTTGCGAGAGGGTGACAGGTATGATCTTGGAACTAGATCAGTTATCGAGCCGGAGAGTGCTGGCAGCGGCGACAATTTGTAACGCAATGTTACAGTGGACTGGAAACAAAGCCGTGCATATATCACATTGAGCATTTGTCCAAGCCGATGGAGACTTGATCTGATGCAGCGTCATAATCGGTAAGCTCGGACTATAGACATTTTAAACTGGCAGTCCTTCTCAACAAGATAGGCATTCGCGGACGCGCAAGCGCCATGGGGTTGCGTTCAAAATCCCCGAGCAGAGACCGCAAGCTGGGTTGATACTGATAGGTGTGTGGGGGTTAGGGTGCTGTTATATTCGAAACGTGCCTCGGCAACTTTCGGATCTGCTGGGGCAAAGCGGAGAACATAAGCTGACGGCGACGAGCTCAACGACGCGATCTCTGGCTTGGCTACGTTATCTGACATTCTCGTATCTGTTGATTCTCCTGCATATTAGAGTTCGTTTGCGCGCAGAAACATTTGCATCTTCTCACGCCAACAATTGCGCGTCGAACATTACGTCATCATGTCTAAAGGCTACGAAATCATCGCCATCCTCAAGCCCAAGCCTGGCAACCAAGACAGGGTACGCGTGAAATTGGCACCCCGGAATGTACAAACAACTAATGCTCCTCAGGTGGAGGAACTACTCAATATCGCAGCTCAGGAAGTAAAAGCCACTGAACCCGGCACCACACGGTATCACCTACAGCGCGAAACCAAGGGCGACGCGCCGAACTTTGTCATCTTCGAAACGTAAGTCACGCCGAAAAGCCTTGGGAAGATTCAGAACTGATAGGCATCAGATATGCGGACAAAGATGCTCTGATGTTTCACGCCAAGAGCGAAGGACTGAAGAAGCTCCAAACGGCGGTCAATGGGGAAGACCTACTTAGGGAGCCGATGACGGTTATGATCGTTAAGGATGTAGGCGGTTTCAAGAGCAAATTGTAGGCTGGATGGGAAGAAAACATATTAGACAATAATGAAGGAAGCGACTACATCACCAACCCTACGAAATGAGAGTGTGGTCTGGATGGATTGTCATGTCGAATCAGTCGACCTTCACTAATGACTAGCTAGGTAACGACCTTTCTTGAAACCATTACCAATATCCATGCGGATTGAGTGCATCCTCTACTTCAGGTCCTTGCGAATCGGTATTTGCTGTAAACTCCCATGTTGAGTCTCTCGGAACGAAGAAACAAAGTTCAGGCTGGCCTGGTGCATAGTACCGAGCTCGCAGCAGCGCTAGGCGTCGTAAGGCAAGATCTGATACGCCTCGTCCGACTGTCCCAACTCGGAAGTCATGTAGTACTTTTGAAACTTGTCCTTGGTGATTTGCTGCATCACCCACGCCTTGTCACGCCTGAATTCAGGCTTCACATCCAAAGACGAATTCTCCCCCTCCGCCTCGAAGAAATCCATGAGGCAATGTTAGTGATAGTCGGCAAGGGCATGAACATGTTCCGGAACGAGCGGCTTCTTGTCTTTGCGCATGACGACAACAGAACCAACGTCATCCTGCCACTCTGGTGGTGCGAGGCCCCAGTTGAAGCCGGCGTCTGCACGCTCGGGCTTGCAGCCAATATTGAGAAAGGTACACGCGACATTGACCCAAGACGTCTTACCTGACGGGGTCTCCGGTCGCTTTTTCTATTTGGCGACACTTCCTGGAATGCGCTGGACAGTGAAGGGTAGTTCGATGTGCTTTGAAACATCGGTGGCTGCATGAAAGAACGAACGATAGGCTGGAAGTTCCATAGGCTCATAGCGAGGACGGCCTTCAACTTCGACATCACCATCGCAGTTGATTCGTACACCGACTACGCTACTCAACTCTTGTTGCACATCATCGATCGTCGGACCAACATCGTACTTGAAGTAGTATGTGTTGAGCTTGTGTGCGATGATCCGAAGGTCGGAAGGGCCGAGATCTTGGCTGTAGCACGGATCTTGACTGAAAGGGACGTCATCGAAGGCATCAGTCCCATACGCAATCATTGGACCCCGCCAGGCGTGCAGGTGAGCAGAATGGGAGTCGATGATCTTGTCGATGGCCATGTTGTGTGTCGATCCATCGTGGAGAAAGTTCTCACGGTAAGACAAGAACAAGTTGTATGGGAGAGGACGGGCGAGCGCGTAGTTATGCCGGATGCTCATATTTGTCATACCAATGTTCTCTCCGGACTCTGCTTCCTTCTCGTTGATGGCGGCTAGCACACCGGGGCAAGCTGTGAGGCAAGGGTGTCCGTACTCTCCATCCTTGTCCATAGTCTTCAGCCAAACGAATCGTGGCGCCCCTTCATCGGGATGGAAATAGATCGCGCGAGTGTACTTTTCGCCAGGTTCTTCGGCTTCGGGTCGATCTTGGAATTCCTTGACAGATTTGCAGAGAATCTTGTGAAGAGACCACGCCTTCTTCTGGCACTCTTTCGAGCAGTACCAGCTTGAGCCGCATCCAACGCAACGCAGTGGGCCCTCGTTGTCGCACTCGTCGCAAAGCGTCATCACTGTCTCAATTGTTCGTTCAGTATCGAAGTGGGTTAAACGTGTGGGAAGGAGCGGATGTCAAAAGGTGGAAAGAGCTATTCGTTGTAGCAAACAAAAAAAGTGGTCCAAGCGCAGGCTCGACGGGGAAGGTAAAGATGAAGACGGAAGTAGATTCACATGTCGCAGTTGTTTCAATAGAGATGGCAATGATTTATTAGATTGCTACATACATTTCATGTATATATAGGTATACGAAAGCTCATTTACATGGTGCTCTGGAAGTCCGCAGGCTCAGCACCATACTCGCTACCGTAACCTCCATACCAGTAATCACCAACGTACTCAACGCCCTGAGCAGTCTGGTTAGGACGCTGAGGCCACATGTCTAGCATTGCTTGCTCTCCGGTCAAGGTAAAGTTGACGCTCGCAAGCGGATGGTTGTCGATCATCATGGTGTAGTCACCGGGGTACAGGACCTTGTTACCCATCTCGTCAACGCGAGCAAGAGACGCGAGAGTGAGGTTGAGAGTTGCAGTAGCGGAAGAGCCTCCAGCAATGTTGTGAAGACGCTTGTAAGAGACGAGCGACTTCTTGGGGTGGGGAGCAGGACCAAACTCTCCAGCAATGTAGCCAAGAGTGACGTAGTCAGAGCTAACATCGCCGTCGTTGGAGACCTCGACATCGACAGATAAGAAGGGGCAACGCTCGAGGAAACCTCCGGTGCTGTTGCAGTTCTGCGTGAGGGCAGAGATGGCGTAGCTCTGCTGTAGCTCGGTAGTGACTTCAGCGGAAAAGTTCGTGTAGTGCAGACCGTGACCGAACTCATAGACGGCGGAGCCATTGTACCACTTGTAGGTGCGACCGGGGTTGTTCTCACCGGGACGCATGTTCATGTCCATCATGGAGACCTGGGCGATGTAGTTGGAGGGATACTGGGTCGTAGGTAGACGTCCAGCGGGAGCAGTCTTTCCGGTGACAATGTCGATGATGGCGGAACCTCCGTCCTGACCGGGGTATCCGGCCCACAGGATGGCAGAGATGTTAGGGTTGTTGACGAGAGGAGTGTTGTCGATTTGGCCTCCTCCAGTGACCACAACGATGACTGGCTTTCCGGTGTCGGCAAGTAGGCTGATAACATCAAGCTGAGCTCCAGTCCATGTAAGATAAGTACGATCGTCATCTTCCGCCTCGACACTGTTGTCAATGCCACCGACGTACATTAGGACATCGCTGGTAGAATACGCGCCATAGAGGTTGGACCAACGGTTGGTCGTTGGGTCGCCCTGGCCACCGGGGTTTCCACCAGCATAGTTGATGGTAACATTGAGCTGCTCGAGAGCGTACAGAGGAGAGTGAAGGTATGTAGCAACACCGGCGTAGTTACCAAGGAGCTGATCGGTTGCGTTCGCCCAGTCACCGAAAAGACCGATTGACATAGACGAATCAACAGAGAGCGGCAGCGTACCGTCATTCTTCAGCAGAACGATACCCTCGGCAGCGGCTCTACGCGCAAGTGCCTGCGAAGCATTGGTGGCGACTGCGTCGAAACCGAGCTGGCGGTATGGCTGCTTGTCGGCAGAGTCGAAGTATCCAAGACGAACGAGCGAAGAGTACTGACGGACAAGGGCCTGATCAAGGACAGCTTCGTCGAGCAGACCTTGCTGGACGGCAGCAGGGAGGTGCTCCTGCATGTAAGTGCCGCACGTGAGATCGGTACCGGCCTTCAGGGAGTCGTAAGCAGCGCCTCCACGAGATGATGACCACTGGTGGGGGAGGTAAACGTTCTGAACAGCATCACAGTCGGACGTAACCCATTGCTCCTCATTGGTCCAACCCCAGTGCTCACGGAGAATAGTCTGCAGCAAGTAAGGGTCGGCACATGGTGGTGCACCGTTTACCGCGTCTAGAGTTCGTTAGCCTTAAATATTCGTTGGACGACTGGTAGGTGCCAAACTTACTGTAGCTGCACATAAAAGCACCCACGTTGGCTTGAACACAGGCCTGGAATGGAACAAGGTAGTACTCAACAAGATCCTGCTGAGAGATCTCCACGTCGTTCTGGTAGCGAAGGTTTCCATTCCAGTCCTCAACGTCATAACCTGCAAAGTGCTTGCAGGTGGCAACAACACGCTTGAACGGATCAGACGCGTCACCCTGAAGCCCGTGGATCAAGGCCTGGACGTAGGAAGAAAGATGGTAGGAGTCTTCACCGGGTGTCTCCTGTCCACGTCCCCAGCGAGGGTCGCGGAAGGGGTTGATGTTGGGTGTCCAGAAGTCAAGACCAGTCCTGTTCGCGTTGTTGAAGGCACGCGCTTCGGTCGAGATGACCTTTGCAACTTCGGTGATGAGTTCATCGTCGAAAGCCGCACCCATCAAGATGGGCTGGGGGAACGAGGTGGAGTAGCTAAACTCTCCCTCATCGCTGAAGTTGGTGTAAGGGCCAGCAATGCCATGAAGACCCTCGTTCCACCACTGGTAAGGTGGTATACCAAGACGAGCAACGCCTGGCGAGCCACTGCTTGTAGCATTGATCTTCTCCTCAAGGGTGTAGAGAGATACTAGGTTTCTCGCACGAGCTAGTGGGGCTGGAGGAGGTCAGTACAGATAAAACGCCATATAGGTGGGAGATGAGTGTACCCGCCGAAGGATCGCAGATGGTCTCATTGCTCAACCGTCCACTGGTGCAGTCCGGGAACACGTATTGGGCGTATGCTCCTGTCGCAGCAAAGGCCAACACTTGCAGCGCACGCGTCGGGGTGAACATGATGCCGGTTGTCTGGTTTGGTTCGGATGGTCCGGATACAGCTCGTCGTCGTCCTTCACTCCATGTCTTATAGCAGAGCAAATAGCCGTAGTGACCGACCCTGCGTAAGCAACGGTTGGTAAACACCAAAGCCCACGATTTCTATACGTCATGGTCTCGTCGGCCACGCGGTTGAGCAGCGGTAGCAAATCCACTTATTTCCGACCGCCGAGCCAGTCTTGTGTCCGAAGCCACTCCCGATGCTTGTCCCAGAGGCATACGGCAGCCAAGAGTGTACCCGAGCCGCATGCGGAGCCCCATGGTACTTGCAAAATCTGTGAGGGGTTCGCGCTAAGTGGATCTCCCTGCCCTCCGATTGGCTGCGCGTGGCTATGCATTCAGGCTGAATGTAAATCTACAACTGTAAGCATCACACCCGAGAAGCGGTAAGTTTAAGCACGGCAGCTACACCTACAAGGCATCGGTGAAATACTGGGATTGCAGGATAGGCTCGCATAAGCATCAGCCGAGGACCCGTACGTGACGCGCCAATGTGGGCTGACGGAAGACGGAATGGAACCTTGATGGTATTTGCTTATGCCTCAATAGCCATGCTTTCAACCTTGGAAGTTTCCCCAGGTTCCGTCGTTGTCGCGCGGCAGTTTGTCAACATGCATCAGGCAATAAGACTTGACTGTATGACAAACCGTAGCACATTTCCTGATTTCTCATGACACGTCGACCCCAATCCGCTATCCGCCCTTTCCGAATCAATACACACTCACATACGTTGCGGCCAGGAAATCTGAAGTGGCCCATACTAGCGACCGCCACTGATGTCGTCTATTGGCCCGAACTGGTAGCAGCTGCCTCGCTTACGATGGCCAATTGGATTTTTTAACGGTCATCGGCATGCCATCGCGTGGTTTGGCCTCGAAAACAAATTCCTGGTATGCGCGGTCACCGAACGTCAAGTCCAGATCAAACCACTCTGTTCGAGGCGTCTTGTTGGGTTTCAGGTCGGCACAAGTGAAGTCGAAATCACGTATCGTCAACAGGAATACGATCACGAACTCGTCCATGGCCAGCGGCTGACCCAAGCACGCACGCGGTCCTCTCTCGAACGGACGCCAGGCGTGCCGCGGGAAGTCTTCTCGTGTGAACCGATCTGGATCGAACTTGAGCGGATCTGGAGGGATCATTAGCCACCGGATGAGCGTCAAACAGAACGATTGATAGATGTCACTTGCCTGGAAATATCGCTGGATCCATATGCATAGCTAGTTGGACAGGCAAGACCATTTGATCTTTGGCTGGCCATTCACGACCCTGATACGTAAGAGTATCGATGCCCTTTCGCGCGGTATTTCCTATCGGATAGAACCTCAGAACCTCCTTGATTACGTTATTTGTATAGGTGAGCTCATTCAGCTTGTGCGGCTCCCTTTTCAGCATTTCGTACGTCGCTTCGATACCAGGGGTGAAGACACGGTCGTGTTCTTCTCGCATCTTTCGTACCACTTCCGGGTGAACACTAAGCAGCATAGCTCCGAAACAGATGGTATCCGACGTGGTTCCAAATCCAGCGATCAGAAGAGTCTTTACTTGTGTGAGAGCATCTTTGATGAAATTGGGGTCGAGCTCCACCACGTCACCCTGCCGCTCTGCAACATAGTCTCGTAAGATGAGATCCATGATGCCTAGTCCTCGCTTTTCCGAGAGATCGAGCTTATCGCCTGCAAGTTACATGTTAGCCACATTGCCAGACCTTGATTGGTCTTCTTACTCACGTTTTACGATCTCGAATCTCTCTTTGATAAGTCCTTCCACAATGGCATCAAACTTACTGCGCTCAGCGAAAATCTTCCTGTTGACGAAGAAATTGCGGATGTAGTTGAAAGACTCTCGCGTTGTCATGAAATCACGACACATGTTCTCAAAGTGCTCCAGAGCAGGGCTGCCTTTGGTCTGCGCATCGAGAGATCGGCCAAAAGTCGTAGTGGAGATGACATCAAACGTCAAGTGCTGGGTAGGTTCCTCGAACTTGAATACCTCTCCCGATTTGGCTTTCTCATGAAGGACTGATCGAAATTTCATAACCTCATCGGCAATCATCGCCCTCATATTAGTGATGTGCGAGATGGCAAAAGCAGGGCTTAGCATCTTATGGAGATGCTTCCATTGCGGGCCATTCGTAGTAACGATGTTGCCATTTCCAATCAAGGGATCGATCATCAGTGCCTCTCCCTCATGTTTGGGGTGGTTCCTAACGGCTGTCATGTGGAGTGCGAGATCCGGATCTGTAACTACAATCTGCGCCCATGAGGCTGGCCACAGATCGAGATAGAAGACACCCGGCATGTTGTATTTCCTGGCGATCGTAACTGCCGCTGCCTGGTAGTGCACATCACTGGGTAGCGATTTGAAGGTCTCGCCTAGCAGTTTTAGATGGCCGAACAGGAAGCTATGAGGCGGTTTAGGCTGATGTACTGTCAGTGCTGTCTCGACTGTAATCCATGACGGATACTGTCCACCTACAAGGTCTTTGTAGAAGCGCCGCACTTGGATCAATCTCATTGCGCCATATGCGAGCGCTGCAATGATGCCAGAGAAGAGTATCGTCACCCATGGTAGGTCACGAAGGGCCATTGTGAAGAGCAAAGGTGTTAGATCTGCTAATACTGGAGGATTGGAAGTAAATGAGGTGGTGCTGGCCCAAGCCACCTTGGCACTTGCGGGGAGTAAATCAGCACTAAGCAATCATGTAGCGCTTGGTGGGATGTCTCTAGCTTGTGTCAAAAAGGCGCATGTTTGTGTAGTACGGCGGTAAAAGCATCACTTCCGCATCATCAGAGGCTTGCGACGTTGGATATAGATCTCAGGGTGGGACAAGACAGCGTGTTGGTTGCTTGCGCCATGGCCACTGCCGCCACCACGTATTCTGCAAGTATCGCTTTTAATACCGCATTCGCAGCCATGGCCAATGTATGTCTCTTTCGTCTCTTCCATTGCCATTGCCTATCACGCGTTTTAGGCCTCCTGATTGCGGCACATGCAAAGGCGAGCAAGGCGTTATCTGTAGTGCAGACGCTACGGCGCCTTGCGACGCGAAACGTCATGACGGTGCTCTTCCGACGACCTAGGTAGGCGCGTCTCTAGCGTGATGAGGCAGTCAACTAATAAAAGAATGTCTTTAATAAGCACCGCCCAACGAATCGAATTCTGCATACACTCCTTTGAACAACGATTCGCATCGGGCTTGTTGCTCTATTGACATCTAGAAAAGTACTGCTACTACTACTGCGTCTATTCCAGCCCGTTCTGACCTCAATATCTGAGTATGCAGGCTATGCTGTTTCCACGAAGTAAATCTAGAAAAGTAATGTTGAGGCATCCCGTGTCCGCGCACAGCCCCATAGCAATCGCGCCACGAAAAACGCGTAATGATCGCACCGGCGCGTTGCCTGCTCATCAGGCCTCCAACCTTCGGACACTAAACCTGCCTCGTATCTTAAACTCGATCTACGGTCTCTCATCATACGGTATCTTCTCCTTCGCTGCGACTCGCATCTCGTCGTTCAGCAGCGACATGAGCACCTGGTCCGTGCTCTTCTTTAGCCACGTAGCATCGTGTGCGAGTGCTGTATGAGCACCAAAGTTGGTTTCTAGCAGTCCTATCTTAGCAATCGTTTCTTTCGCTGAAGTAAGGTCCGTATGCAAAGACATGCTCACTGCCCCCGGGCCTTGGAACTCCGCAATTACTTGCGTGCCGTCCAGCAAATCCCTGACCAGTCAGTAAACGCCCGATCATGGACTCCATGCACGTCAGCAAACGCCTGGTGCAATCTAACGTACCGCGAATGACAGCCTAGTTCACAAGATTAGCGAGGCCAGTGGAGCTTCCATACACCAACGTACAGTCGCTGCCGAGTATCACCCACTCGCCATCTTGCAGTCTTGCAGCAGCAGCTAAGTTACCTGGCATATGGCCGGGTGCATCGAGGATCCAGAAACTGCCATCTCCAAAGTAGTCCAGCGCTCTTTCGAACGGGCCAAAAGGCTTCCAAACGCCTGATAGCTCATCCCATTTTTCTGTCGAACTCTCCGGGTCGAAGAAACGACCGTCCCACTGCAGGCTTGGATCTTTCATGTGTCCGGGCTGACATGCTGCTCTTGTGCCGGGACCAAAGTACGCCTTTGCATTCGGAAACACATCGCAGATAGGCCGCGAGTGGTCCCAATGAGCGTGACTGCAGGCTTTTCAGCGAGTTTCATTCATGCCACTATTGCATCCATACCTGAATAAAACAGTGTCGACGTCTTCCGCAGCGACGCCTCTTTGCGCCAGCTGCTGAACGATGGTTCTCCTTGGTCCAACGTGATTGACGATGTCCAGCATGAATTTGTTGACCCAAGGGGTATAACAACTTCGGTCCTTCAAGATATGAGTCTGAATAACATCCAGGTATCCAGCCCCGACATTGGATTACGCACCTCATCCAATCCAAGATCCCAGAGTATATGCCTTCCCTGATGCGAGATGTAGAACGCCCAGTTGTACATACGAAATGTGCCGCTTTCACCAGCATGCAAGCGGCTCAAATCCCCCAGAAAGCTGCCGCCGTCGAGGAGAGCAAGATCGACAAAGGCGTCAGTATGAGGGAGGCCGGTCTTCATTGTTGGTGTCATCTGTGCAAGACACTGGCTGCATGAAACATGTACATCGACCTAGGGAGTGCTCTATCTAGCCGAACATATGCTTGCTGATTGCCGAGCTCAGATGTCGAGCGAATCATGATATCCTCATCGATGCGAGGCGTAGTCGCTGTGTTACCCCCACATTCCGCACCTGATGTTTGGATGCGGGTGATTGCCCCACTACTCAACTGGCAGGCACAAGTGCGGGGTAAATTACCGGGCCATCATTGCCCCCGACGTACCTGCTTCAAGAGAAGCAGCTCCAAGGATACGTAACTTCCTTCGGCCAATCCAAACAGACACTAGGGGATAGTAAACAATCTGTTAGTCTATGAGTGACGGACGATCCTTTACTTCCTACCATACCTCCTCACGCAACAGCCAATATGTCGGCAACTCTCAAGCACCAAGACCTAGGTGAACTAGAAGGAAAGCCTGTAGATGGCGCAGTGCAGTTTCTTGGTCTGAAGTATGCTTCGGTAAAAGATCGCTTGGCTGCACCCCAGCTTGTTGATAGCTATGGATCGGGAACTACGGATGCCACGAAATTTGGGTACGTCAACTGGTAATACGAACTACCATTCACTAATGAACTAGTCCTCCTCCAGTATCCCCAGTCAGTGCCATCGAAAGCGAATTCGGCTTCATCCAGCACTCCCTACCACTCCCAGAGGTTCCGACGCATTCCGACCTTGAAGGCTTGAACCTCAACATCACTGTGCCGACGAACAAGGATGGGGCTATTGATTCCAGCGCGAAGTTGCCTGTCTTTGTTTTCATACACGGAGGCGGCTTTGCTGTTGGAAGTAGTTGGTACCCGCACTATGATCCAGCTCCCATTGTGAAGATGTCTGTCGAGAGAAAGAAGCCCATAATCGGTATCACCATCAAGTAAATCTTGAAACCTGAAAGAAATCAGGACTTCTACTAATAGATACAGCTATCGACTGGGTTTCACGGGATTTGCGACCTCCGAAGAACTGCGCAAGGCAGGCTACAAAGCAAACAACGGCCTTCACGACCAGCGTACGGCTATGCAGTGGATCAGGAAGTTCATCGGCGGATTTGGGGGTGATGCTGATGAGATTACAGTTTGCGGAGAGAGCGCTGGTGGATGTATGTGTGTGGCGGTACTGATCTGGAGCGCGACTAACGTATCCAGTGTCTGCGACAGTATTGCTCTGCTCGGAAGAGCCGCTCATGAAGCGCTGTCTTAGTACTGGAGGGGCTGTGCTACTATTCAAGCCCATCCCCGATTTTGTGGCAGAGTCCTCGTATCAAAAGGCCATTGAGGCATTCGGCCTGACGGACAAGTCGCCAGAGGATCGTATCAAGGCCCTTCTTAGTATACCCTTGGATGATCTATGGCAAAAGGTGCCACCCACAGCACCAATGTTACCTTCAGTCGACAAAGAGACTATGCCTGGCTCGCCAGACTTCCTTACCGTCTCATCCCAAGTGGACAGCCCGGCTTTCATGATGCCGGGTAGGAAGTGGTGCAAGGCCTTTATGATCGGAGAGTCAAAGTTGGACGTAAGTTTACCATCGTAATTTTCGAAGAGAATGAGCTAATCCTTCTCAGGCAAACATCCTCGCATACGTTAGTCTCGATGCTCGCAATCCAGGTATCGCGCAAAAGTTCATCGACTCCTGCAACGCCACACTATCCGCCAAGCCAGAGGTCGCGGAACAGCTTCTCACATCCTACAAGATAACCTCCACAACTCCTGATGATGAGGCCATGCTTTCAATACTGCGTTTTGGATCCGAGATATCCTTCTACGCGCCCGCTCGTGCCTTTGCCCAAGGCTGGCCCAACACGCCAGACTCGAAGTTCTTCCTCTACCACTTCAACGAGGGGATACCTTGGGAAGGTCGCTTCAAGGGTGAAGCAGGCCACATTCTAGATGTATCGTACCTCTTCCAGAACTACAACGAGCACCTGGACGATGCGCAGCAGAAAGTAGCAAGAGAGTATGGAGAAGACTTCATCAAATTCGTCAACGGGGAGGACCCTTGGCCGCCTGTACAGACTGATAAGCTGTGTGCTAAGGTATACGGGCCTAGTTCCGATGGTGTCACGAGTAGATGGGTTCCAGATGGCGATCCAGCGAAGATTGGAAGAGATGAGAGGGTACTCAAGTTGGGAGAGGTGGCAGGATTCGATGCCATCATGGAGGTCTTCCAGAACTTCTTCCAGGGGAAATAGACGGTATCAAGACTACATGAGGGCATTAGGACGAGTTCGCAATACGATTATCTACATTGAAGATGATAGAAGCCTCAGTCCGCAAACTCCCACGTTTCATCCTTCTTCCTACCTTTGTCTTCATATCCCTGCGGTAAAACGCCCCCAATATGCAAATATATACTACTCCCATCCCTATCCACGCACCTTTCATCCTTCGCTGCCTCTTCCCAAACGTCCAAAGCCCTCTCAGCCATACTAGGCCTCACCCCAACCTGACTCGCGCTCTCGATACCCAATCCCAGATCCTTGAGCATCATCTGCGTCTTGAACCCCGGTTTATACCCACTGTTACTAGGGACCCAATACTCTTTCTGCACATTGGGAATGGGCATGACGTGATCGCACATCCAAGATTGGCCAGTACTGTTCTTGATCACGGAGTACAAAGCGGAGGGGTCAAGGCCGTGAGATACGCCTATTGCAAGGGCTTCAGCGGTGGCGAGGAGAATAGTGCCGGAGAGGTAGTTGTTGCATATCTTGGCGGTGAGGCCGGCGCCAAGGGTATTCAGGTAGAAGGCTTTAGACGGTGGACCAAGCATGGTGAGGGTCGTCGAGATTCGAGATTCTGGAGAAGCTGAGGAAGTTGGTCTTTGCGCTGGTGGAGGGTGGCCAACCAACATCGATAGTGTGCCTGCTTCTGCTGCTGGAACGCCGCCGGATACGGGGGCGTCAATGTATGTACCCATCTCCGCTTCTTTGAGCTTCTGGCCCACCTCTTTTGTGGTGTTGACGTCGATGGTGCTGCATTCTAGCATTATCCTTTCTTGATCTTCCTTCGCTGCAATCACTCCGTCTTTCTCGTCTAGATAGACCTTCCTTACGTCTTCTCCTCCTGGTACAATGGAAATCAACACTTTCGCGTTTTCCGCTGCTTCGCGTGCTGTTGCGACGACTTCTATAGGACCATGTAATGAGTATTGGGCTTTGAAGCGGGAGCATGCTGAAGCGTTGATGTCGTTGATGTAGAGGGTTGAAGACGGGTCTATCTTTTTGCGAATGTTGGCTGCCATCGCGTAGCCCATCGCACCGAGACCTTGTTGTTGTTAGTAATAACTACTAAGATACTGCGCAAGAGTGCTTACCGATGAATGCGTAGTTGTCCGCCAACGCCATGCTTTCATATAGTCTTCTGACTTCAGATGGTATGGTGGTATAATCAGCACTCAAAGACCTATTCTGTTCGAGGTACTTGAAACTACAACGCTCGTCGTCTTCTTTCCCGTGTGCTCATTTGATCGGCTAGCGTCGTTTGTTGCTTGGTGTTTACCAAAGCCCCACATTGTCCCCTCACTTTCCCCAATTGCCTTTCCCCAATACAACAACCTCGGCGTACTACTCCGAACTCATTCCCATTGAACACCCGTAAATCCGTGACAACATAGTATGGTAGTCATGTGAACACAGCACGACAGGTACCCAGTTACTTCACACTCAGGTTCCAAAATCGCAGCACAATCCTAGATTGCTTCATCTCCAATCCATTACACCATGTCATCAAAGCCCCTACGTGTAGGCGTTATTGGCCCTGCAGGTTTCGGAGGATCCTACCTCACCGTCGAATTGCTAAATCGCGGCCATACCGTCATTGGCATATCACGCAACCCCGAGAAATTAGGAAAACATCCACGCTACATCCCCAGGCCAGTAGATGTCGACCAAGTCTCTATAGAGGAACTATCGGAAGTTTTCGAAGACCTTGATGTAATGGTCAGCGAATTTGGACCGCATACAGCTGGTCCTGGGGCTTTGTTGTACAGTACGTTTCAGCCAATTCAAGATACCAGTAACCAATGACTGATGAACGACAGTGCCGTTCCTAGAATCTGTTCGCAAGATTCTGCTAGCCTATAAGCTACGGCCCGCTTCATACTTCATCTTCGTCGGCGGCGCAGGCTCCCTTCACGTTCCTGACACTAATCTCTCCTGCGTCGACCACCCAGACTTCTTCCTCGCCTACCGCCGCGCCATCTCCACATCACTAGCGCATATAGCATACATGGAAGAACGCCTCGGCATCATGGGTACCTCACTGCGACGATACCGCGAAGCCAGATTAGCAGAAAGCTCCGGAACGACCACGGAAGAAGATAAAACTGTAATCGCGGACTACGAGAAACAAATCCGCGCCAAAGACAACGCGTCCGACTTCATCAAAGCAGGGCGAACAGCGTACATGTTCTTCGAGGACCGGAGGAATTTTGACTGGAGTTTTGTTTCGCCGTCTGCTTTGTACCGTCCGGGGAAGAGGACTGGCAAGTATGAGATTAGCGTTGATGATATGGTGTTGGTGGGTGAGCAGCAGGAAGGCAAAGATGTGTTCGAGGGGCGTTTGACGGGGATTAGTGTTGCGGATATGGCGATTGCGATTGCGGATGAGATTGAGCAGAAGAAACTGGTGTGGAAACATTGGAGTGCCTGGGGGGATATCAGTGAGGATATGCCGGCGCCGGCGTATGTAGGGTTGGATGCTGTGGAGGGGGGTAGTAGATAGACTTGGATCAGCAGAAACTTCGAACGAAAAGGAAGAGATTGGTTGTTTGCTCGCTCAGTGTTGTAAATTCTTCTTTGGTATCTTTTTTACTCATCTCTCCTACACGCTCATCTCCTTCAAGTTCTCACTGACTTTGAATGGCGCTTCTGTCTTGCTTCTAATCTCGTCCACAGTAACACCCTTCGCATGCTCCTTCAGCGTCAATCCCTCAACGCGATCGCAGTCGAACACTGCCAGGTCCGTAATGATAGTGCTCACGCACTTTTGTCCGGTGAGAGGGAATGTGCATTGGTTCAGGATCTTGGGGTTGCCCTTCTTATCGACGTGTTCCATTGTGATGACGACTTTGGTTTGTGTAGGGTTCGCGACTAGGTCCATGGCACCGCCGATGCCTTTGACCTTTCCAGGAAGCATGAAGTTCGCGAGGTCTGGAAACAGTCAGTGGGGGGGAAGCATATACATGATCGCAGTGTACCACAAACCTCCATATTGGTTCACTTGCATGGCACCCAGCATGGCGACGTCTATCCGACCTGATCGAATCATGCCGAAAGACTCGTGGCTTCCAAACGTTGATGCTCCTTTGATCAGAGTCACAGTCTCTTTTCCAGCGTTGATAAGGTCGGGGTCCTGAGCTCATTAGCCACACTGTCAACACCTCTCTGTTGTTACGTTCTTACCTCCTCGCCAGGCTTAGGATACCTTCCCATACCCAAGATTCCATTTTCAGACTCCAAGACGATCTCGGTGCCCTCGGGCAGGAAGGCAGGTGCTGCCAGCGGCATGCCGATACCGAGGTTGACATACATGCCATCCTTCAGTTCTTGTGCTGCGCGCTTGATGATGCGCTCGCGCTTTTGTGATGCTTCGGTCGAGCCTAGTACTTTTATTAGCCACAGTCATCTCATGCCATCAACTGCATGAACTTACCGCCCTCCAGCAGTGCCTTTTTCTGCTCCTCGGGGCTCTTCCAGAAAACCTTCCGCTCGATCTCCTTGCCCACTGTGCTCTTGATCACCCGCTTGACGTATATGCCTTGGAGATGAATGTCTTCCGGTGCAATTTCTCCATCCTCAACGATCTCATCAGCCTCGACGATCGTCATCTTCGCATTCTTGCCCATGGCTTCGTTGAAGTTGTTCTGTGCCTTGCGGAACTGGCAGTTGCCGAGACGATCAGCTTTGGCGACTTTGACGAAGGCGTAGTCACCGAAGATGGCTTCTTCCATAACATAGGATTTACCGTTGAACTCGCGGGTTTCTTTGGGAGGGGCCATTTTCGCGATGGTGCCGTCGGTGTTGTATCGTACAGGAAGTTCGCCAGTTTGTACTAGAGGGTGTCAGCTGTGCCTTTCTGGTTTCATCTCAAAGTGTGGTTTGCATACCTATTGTTCCATAAGCCGCTGGTGTGTAGAAAGCCGGTACACCCGCAGCACCGGCTGCGCACTTCTCTGCGATAGTGCCTTGAGGGGTCAACTGCAGACTCAATTGACCTTTGAGATACATTTGCTCGAACACCTTGTTGTCTCCAATATAACTTGCAATCATGGTGCCGATCTGCTTCGTCTCCAGAAGCTGTCCAAGTCCGACACCGGGCATACCGGCGTTATTGCTGACGACTGTGAAGTTTGTAAGATCGCTTCGGTCGCGTAGAGCGTTGATGAGCGTGTTTGGGACTCCTGAGAAGCCGAATCCACCGACCAGAACTGTGGAATCGGACTTCATATCCTTGATAGCTTCTTGCGCGGAGGAGACAATCTTGTTGATGGCGGGACGAGAGGCGCTGGCTGAGAAGAATCGCATGCCTGTCGCTGGGCCGCGGCGGCGCGCCGAGAATAGGAGAGAACGTTGCATCGTGAGATTTCTAGTTGTGAGTCGCGAAGTATCGAGGAAAACAAGCTCAATCGATAGGCCTTGAAGCGTTCAGCCCAGCTTGAGATATCACAAAAGGTCGTTGTTGGCGTTCTCCAATTCCCAGAGTGTAAGCACAGCTCAACCAACACCAAATTCAAGCGTCAGTTTCTCCACAAACCTCAAGGCACAAAGATCGCGTGTAGAATTGTGGTGTATGGCGGAGATGACGCTCCCCACACGAGCACCACGAGGGCATGCATGATAGCAAATAACCGATTGGGTCAGACCGATGCAAATGCCGTGCCGATGGCGGATAAGAGCAAAGCTCCACAATCGGAGGTGGATGAGGACTTAGCCGGCCAAGATGCGGAGGTTGCGGCCAAAACGCACGTTCATTGGGCCTACCGACACGCGGAAAAAGGCAACGTGGAAAACATTTCCAAGGCCGAGTCACGATAGCTGGCTCACGTGCTGACGCGCCAACGCGTGCGTGAAAGGCTGATGGTCGTTGACGAGCTGCAGGTATATTGAGCACACTTTCGCAATGATGAATTGGTAGATGTGTATTACTATGGACGCTGCATGACAAACTCATCAAGTCGATTAGTACAGGTCGTGCACGATTCGCTTCACTGCAGGATATGTCAGCGAAAGGATTTTCGGAGAATAGGCGCGACAACTTACAGCTAGCAAAGTCCTTGTGATCTTTGCTGTGTAGCGCACGCGATGCGATAGCCTCTTCTTCCGCATCGCCAGTCGGCACGTTGTACTATATGACGTTAGCAATGGCCACCTCGGCATGCTTCAGCTACTTACAGCTGTCAATGTGGTCTTGTGTCCCAGCTCTTCGACCAGTCCAGCAATAGCATCACCAACGACGTGGGAATCCTTCTCATCGCTGCCAGTACTTTGCTTCCCGATGTATGGGATGATCCTAGCGATTTGCTTCGCCTCCTCTGGGTTGCTCGCCTTGAAGTGTACCGTCGGTGCGAGACTGAGGCAGCTGGTGATGCCATGCGGAATGCTGTATGTTGCACCAATCGCATGTCCAATGCTGTGACTGAGTCCTACACCACCGGTGTACAGGAAGGGGAAAAGTGAGGAGTAGCAAGCGAGGAAAAGCTTCGTTCGCACTTCGGCGTCGTTGGGGTCGGCTTTCGATTGTGGTAGGTATGTGAAGAGATCTTTGATAGCCTCCAAAGACATGCGTTTCGTAGGAATCTCGGCGGCGAGAGGGTGGTACATCAGCTCAACTGCATGATCCAGTGATCGAATCTGCGAGAGTGTCAGAGACTACTTCTACTTCAGCGCTTAAGTGGTGATGAATATACCCCTGTGCTTGTCCAGAGATTCAAGGGTGTGTATACAGCGAGTTCGCCGTCGTATACCACAGCTGAGCTTGGTTAGTATGAGCTTCTCTGACCGTTCGACTTCGCACTTACCCTTGGGTACGAGTTCTGGGTTGCTCACGGCGATTTTGTGCTTTTCTTCCGTGGTGAAGCCAGCGTTTTGCGTCGTCTCCGCTACACTCAATGTTGTTGGTACGGCGATACTAGGAATCCACTTTCCAGTCTCCTCATGGATGTTGTATGCAATGGCTTTGGCTGAGTCAATGGGCGAACCACCGCCTATCGATATGAGTACATCGCATCCGGACTTTGCCATCAGCGCGGTGGCTTCTTTGATGTCCTGGATCGGCCTTGAACTTGTCAGCCCGTGCTATTCGTATTTCAACATCTCTTCACATACGCATGCTGTCCAATCTTGCTGAATGTACCACCATGTGCAGAACCAAGTGTCTTCTCGATGTTCTTGATCACGGGAGTCTTCTCGTATAGGGAGCGTCCGGTAATGATGAAGGCCTTAGTAGCACCGAGTTCGACAATGACATCTGAAAGCTGGCTGCTTGTTCCTGTGTGGACATGTTAGTTTTTTCTCGATCCATGACCACAGTGTGCCTACCATTTCCGTATATCATAAGCTTGACGGGTGATGCTCTGTACACTCCCTTGGTAGAGGAATCAATGCTGCCATTTTGGTATTTGTTTGGGAGTGCCATCGTGTAATGTCTTGTTGAAATCAGGTTGCGCGTGAAAATGTTCAAAGTGAATGGTCGCGTCCGCATGCAAGCTAGATTCGGCAAGCATCGTTGCGGTGTTGCCCGAGTCGTCACGGAGGGGTCTCGCGCTCCTGCCCCACACATACACGTCGCCCCGCCACAGCTCTCGCCGCAACCACGATGCGGCACTTTCTCGGCCCTGTGAGATCATACAATAGGCACTCTTGTAGCAATGCGACGCGTGTATTGTCAATGTTTATGCCAAAATGGCGTCCTTTAGCAAAGCCGCGCGCAATGTGCTGCAGAAAAGTCCGAACGACGTAGTTTTACTTTCTGCGGTCAGGTCGCCAATCAATCGTAGTTTCAAGGGCGGTTACAAAGATGCTCATCCAGAAGACATCCTGATGCCGGTGAGTCTCGGCAGGAGAATGCACTGCACTGTTGCTGAAGATAGCAGATTATGAAAGCCGCAGTACAGCGAGCTGGAATCGAAAAAGTCGACGTGAACGATGTTATGATCGGAAATGTACTCGCTGAACTCGGTTTCGCGAAGACAGGACGCATGGCGCTCAATCATGCCGGCTTCCCAAATTCGACGACCTTCCACACCGTCAATCGCCAATGCTCGAGCAGTCTGCAAGCCATCACCCACATTTCGCACTCGATCATGGTGGGTCAGATTGACGTGGGGCTTGCTGGCGGTGTAGAGAGTATGTCGAGAAACTACAGCTCGCGGGGCATCCCGACCGATGTCTCACCCACACTGCTTGGGTCGACCGTCAAAGATGCGCGCGACTGTCTTATGCCTATGGGAATCACGTCTGAGAACGTAGCAGAAAGATACAAGGTTGACAGGAAGTCGCAAGATGAATATGCGGTGCGAAGTCATGGTCGCGCAAGTCGCGCCCAAAAAGAAGGTCGCTTTGATTGGGAAATCGAGCCCGTGACGGTTCAGAGGATGGACGAGGCAACAGGCCAGCCTGCAGGGCACGAAGTCACCAAGGACGACGGCATTCGGCATGGGTTGACTTTTGAGAAAGTGTCGACGCTCAAGCCTGTGTTCGGCGAGAACGGCAAGAGTACCGCAGGCAACTCGTAAGTGGACATGACTCAAAGCTCTCGCGAAGCTGACCTTTCAGATCTCAAATCTCGGACGGCGCATCCTCCACCATACTCGCCCGACGTTCGTGGGCCGAAGAGCGTGGATTGAAGCCACTTGGCCGTTTCGTTGGTACTCAGGTCAAAGGCTGCGCACCCGATGAGATGGGTATTAGCCCGATATACGCCATACCGGCATTGCTGAAGTGGACAGGCGTTGGGCTAAAAGACGTTGATGTCATTGAACTCAACGAGGCGTTCGCAAGCCAGACCATCGCGTGTATTCGGGAGTTGGGTCTCGATGAAGACAAGGTCAATCCGAACGGAGGTGCGATAGCTCTTGGGCATCCCACCGGCGCGACAGGGGCACGGCAGACTGCCACACTGTTGGGCGAGTTGCTACGTCAGGATAAAGAGATCGGTATTGTCAGCATGTGTGCGAGTACCGGCTTAGGCGTTGCTTCGTTGTTTATCCGTGAGTCGTAGTACAGTAGAAATACGATAGGCCTTGATGATGAGAATCACGAAAGTGTCGCGTTGGTCACGTGCAAGCGGACTCTAGCTACTTTTAGTGACTTAGCGCGGAACGCAGAGGCTGGCCGCTTCCGAGCTTGTAGGCCGGCATTGTCTTCCCCACACGATCCATGGATGCTGGCTGCACCCGCGTCCCACACGTCCACCGCTTCAGGGCCGCCATGGCTCGTGTACTGCTCGAGCTCTCTTTGGGGCTTCATCTTCCCTTCGTCACTCACTGAGGTGTTGCACCCACTGCAATTCACATCATGTTCCTGTTTCGGCGCGTCCCACTGCGTGCCATCCCCCGGCAAACCACCCTTCGTCTCCAACGGCGATCTCTCGGCAGCGTGAGCGCTATCGACTCAGTCATCTTCCGTACGCTGTTTGGAACCGAGGAGATCAGAAAGGTTTTCGATGACAAAGCATACATCAATCGATGCGTTGATGCTGAGACTGCTCTGGCAAGAGCACAATCGAAGTGCAGTGTCATACCATCTCATATCGGAGAGATTGTGACATCCAAAGCCCGCGAAGTCGAACTGGACTACGATAGGCTACGCAATGAAACCGAGATCGTCGGCTATCCCATATTTCCTTTGGTACGACAGCTCTCTGCATCATGCGGTGAGGAGGCTGGACGGTATGTGCACTGGGGTGCAACAACACAGGACATTATGGATCTGGCAAGCATTCTACAAATGAAGGAGGGCCTCGAGATCGTTGAGCGTACGCTGCGCTCCGTTATCAAGAACCTAGAAGACCTGTCAAGAAAGCACCGGGATACGCCCATGGCTGGTCGCACTCATCTCCAACATGCTCTTCCCATCACCTTTGGCCACAAGTGCGCTATCTGGCTATCTGGTTTCCAACGACATCTCGAGCGTCTCGAGCAGCTCAAACCTCGTGCCTTGATGGTACAGTTCGGAGGAGCCGCAGGTTCTTTGGCTTCACTAGGTTCGGGCGATGATGGCATTCGCGTTCGAAAGGAAATGGCAAGAGATCTGGGTTTGACCGACCCTCCGATCACCTGGCATGTTGCACGAGATGGCGTTGCAGAGATCACAAACTATCTCGCGCTTGTTGGTGGTACCCTCGGCAAGCTTGCTCTAGACATCATCATCATGTCGTCGAATGAGCTCTCGGAAGTGTCAGAGCCTTTTGTGCCACACCGCGGCGCTTCCTCGACTATGCCACAGAAGCGAAACCCCATTTCGAGCGAAGTCATCTTAGCCGCATCGAAGATCCTACGATCGAATGCTGGCTTGGTGCTGGATGGCATGGTATCGGACTTCGAGCGCGCTTCTGGTCCATGGCATTTAGAATGGGTGGCCGTCCCGGAGAGCTTCGTTATGGCTGTTGGAGCGCTGAACCAGGCTGACTTTGCGCTTTCTGGTCTTGTAGTCAACCCCAAGCAGATGCTTACAAACCTCTACTCCACCAGAGGTCTTATCGTCGCAGAAGCCGTCATGATGGGCCTTGCTCCACACGTTGGTCGGTCAAAAGCCCACGACGTTGTCTACGAGGCATGCAAAGAGAGTATCGAGAACGACACCAGCTTGTTGGAAGCTCTACAGACACGATCCGAGATTACCGATAAGATCTCCGGCGAAGAGCTAAGCTCGTTGTGCGATGCGAAGAACTATCTAGGCTCATGTGGACTAATGGTGGACGAGGTCTTAGCTGCATCCAAATAAATCACATCCATGTCATTCATCAGCGCACAACGACCGCCATGCGTAGATATGGAGAGAATATCATATTGTGACTGCTTCATCTGAGTCAGCACTATGTCCTCGATTGGTGCTCTGCCCAGAAGTAATAAAGAACCCCGCAAGTGCGCCACGTCCACATTGCCACAACCTTCATGTGGGAAAGGCTTTCAGACTCTCATCTCATAAATTCCACTAACCCGGTCGCGGCCACCATGTGGGCCTCTCACAGCTCCCGTAGCCCAGTTACCGAAACGGAAACCCCGCTATTATCAGGGTCGGGCCCCGCCACCACATACGATGTGCAGGCCGGGCCACCCAAGTGCGGCAGATGTCGGCCTAGCATTCCACGGCCATGGATACCCCAATATAAGGCTGAAATCTTTACATGGTAAGCTAGATCACTCTTACAATCATCGTCATACGCCTAACATCATGCAAGACTTCAAAGAACGCCAGCTCGTCACCGACCCCCAAAAGGCATTTCACTTCACCGATCTACAAAGACTGAAGCCAACACGTGCAAATGATCCTTACGACTACCAAGCAGGATGGGGAAATCGACACCAGTCTGAGGTTATCCCTGGCACTCTGCCTGTTGCCCAGAACAACCCTCAAGAAGTCCGGTTTGGACTTTACACCGAAGGCATTACGTATTCAGCATTTGCAGCCCCGCGTGCACACAACTTCAGCACGTATATGTACCGGTGTCGACCAGCGGCTGCTCACAGTACGTATTGCTGCAGTTCCTCGCAAGCACTGGCTAACATGTGACAGAGGGTTACATTCCGATTGAGACAAAATCCAACATCACAAATTGCTTCCTGTCCATCAACCCCAAGGTCGAGACGCTTCCCGAACAAGCAGAATGGCGTCCGTTTCCACTGCCGAAAGACGATGAGAAAATTGACTTCGCAGATGGTCTGCATACTCTCTGTGGCAGCGGAGACCCCAACATCAAGGAGGGTCTTGCGCTATACGTGTACATGATCAACTCTAGTATGGAGCGGCGAGCATTCTGCAATACCGATGGCGACTTCCTCATCTGCGCCCAACAGGGTAATCTAGATATCAAGACAGAGATGGGAAAGATCTTCCTGCAACCTGGTGAGATCTGTGTCATCCAGCGCGGTATCCGGTTCTGCCTCAATCTAGCCCCGGGCACGCCAGTGGCGCGTGGCTATATCACAGAAATCTGGGGTTCTATGTGGGAGCTTCCTGATCTCGGCCCACTAGGCGGCCACGGTCTTGCCAATCCTCGCGATTTCCTCTACCCGGTAGCTGCTATCGATGATGATTTGCACGTGGATTGGCAGATTGTTAATAAGACGAACGGTCAGCTCGTGGCGATCCAACAAGACCACAGCCCCTTCGACCTTGTCGCATGGCACGGCAATGTCGTACCTTATAAATACGATCTGACGAAGTTCTCGTCACAGAACAGTACATCTATCGACCACACTGATCCTTCGATCTTCACAGTGCTCACAGCCAAGTCCCGTGATCCCATCACGCCACTCGCAGACTTCCTCTGGTTCGGTCCAAGGTGGGATGTCGCGACCAACACTTTCCGTTTACCATACTTCCACCGCAATTCCGCGTCAGAATTCCTTGCTTGTCTATATGGACAAGGTCTTGGACGAAGCGACGACTTCCAACCGGGTGGTGGTAGTTTCGAGGGTGGCCACACGCCCCACGGTGGATTCCACGAGGGATATCAGCACGGCATGCGGATACATGAGAGCCAACCCGAGAAGATCCTGACTGGTAAGTTCATCCCATCGCCGAGTAGTTGTATACATGCTGACTGGTACTTAGACCAACTGACCATCATGGTTGAATCGAGCCGTCTGTTCCTCTTTACTGAGTACGCCCGCAAGGGTTGCGGAACAATCGAGACCCACGGTACCGATTACAAGGTCTGGGATGCTCTTCCAGACCGCTTCTCCGCCAACAAAAGAGCTCAGGAGTTGCTTGCCAGGATCAAAGACGATAAGATCGCTGAGAAAAAGAGGCTTGCACCATACTATTTTGGTGGTTTCTCACATGGCGCAAATACCAGCGACACGGATGGTGTTCACGCCGAAGAGTTCAGGAAATATTTAAGTCCCGAGTCAAAGACCAACGGGACGAATGGCGTTCACGCCTGATTGGTTCTCCGGCTTCACGATCTTGGTTGTCTCAGGCGTTTCAGCGATGTAGTTTTGCATTTTCCGATATTACATGTACACGACAATACCAATCCCACGCAATGAGCATCGCAAGCTTATGCACAACATACTAGAAACGTCTGTGCATTCACACTCCATACCCTTTGCCGACCCCACAAGCGTCATGTGGGGCAAGAATTTCAAGAAGTTATGCTCGTGTTCTTTAAGATGACTGTGTGTTGGCATGGCAGGTCTGGAGTAAGACCATGTATTCTTCTAGAGCTCTCGCGAAAGCAGCACAACGCACGCACTTTCGACACGCGGCTAGTCGGATCCCGGGTCTAACGTCGCAAACATGGAGGAGGAGCATTGCAACAAAGAGCGACGTAAACAAGCAGATGGTTGAGAAACTACCTTTGGCTGGCATCAAAGTACTGGATATGACGCGGGTGCTTGCAGGGGTATGTAAATGTTACCCCGACGGAATATCATGGTCGCTAACATCAACTAGCCATACTGTACACAGATTCTTGGAGATCTGGGGTAAGCAATGAAAGTAAACTAATACATCACATATGCTGATGAGCGTTCAGAGCGGATGTCATCAAGATCGAGCACCCTACAAGAGGCGACGACACGAGGTCCTGGGGTCCACCAGATGCGCCCTATACCGATGGCATCGAGCGTCAATTCCCTGGCGAAAGCGCATACTACCTTTCTGTAGGCCTTCCCGCACGACTACGTTGTTCATACTGCTGAGATGATGCAGGTGAATCGTAACAAGAAGTCGGTCGGGCTAGCTTTCAACAACCCCACCGGGATCTCCATCCTCCATAGACTCGCCCAAGAGTGTGATGTCCTCGTCGAAAACTACCTCCCAGGATCACTCGCAAAGTACCAGCTCGACTACGCGACGCTTGCGAAGCTCAATCCCTCTCTGATATACGCGTCTGTCACCGGGTATGGACAAACTGGGCCATACCGCGATCGCGCGGGCTACGACGTCATGGTCGAGGCTGAGATGGGCTTGATGCATATCACTGGCGAGCGCGACGGACCCCCAGTCAAGGTCGGCGTAGCGGTGACGGATATTATGACCGGGATGTATACTGCGATTGGCATACAAGCAGCGTTATATTCACGAAAAGAGACCGGCTTAGGTCAGTGGATCGACGCGAGTTTGAGCGACGTGCAAGTATCGGGGTTGGCAAACATCGCCAGCGGCGCACTGGTGACGGGAAAAGGCGATAGCGGACGATGGGGAACTGCACATGGTACGCGCATGACCGAGACGTTTACCAGAATCACACTAACTCCACCACAGCAACAGTAGTACCCTACCGAGCCTACAAAACAAAAGACACCAACATCGCAGTCGGCGGCTGCAACGACCGCCTATACGGCATCCTCTGCGACAAGCTCCAGCGTCCAGAATGGAAAACCGATCCTCGCTTCCTCACAAACGCGCTCCGCGTCAAACACCGCACCGAGATCGACACGCTCGTAGAGGCCGAGCTCATGACCAAGACAACGCAGGAATGGCTGGAGATCTTCGAGGGAAGCGGAATGCCATACGCGGCTGTCAACGACATCAAGGGCACGGTCGAGCACGAGCATGTTCTTGCGCGTAATATGATCGAAGAAGTTGAGCACCCTGCGGTAGGCAAGGTAAAGCTTGTCAATCATCCGGTCAAATATTCGAGAGCAGAGCCGCGGATCAGGAGTCCGCCGCCATTGTTGGGTCAGCATACGGATGAGGTATTGAGGGACGTATTAGGATATGACGAGGCTGGGATTAGAGAGCTGAGAGAGAAGAAGGTAGTCGCGTAGATGGTGGCGTAGTCGCGAACCCTGTATTCCAAATCCCCATCGCGAAAACGCCTCCCAAACCAAACATCCAAAGTACCAAGCGCGAGCACACACGTCCTCACATGATTCAGGCCTTCATCTCCGAGGTCCGATTCTTCCGACGCATTGGACAAAGCTGTCCAAGAGCCAGCCACCGAAATTTCCCATGCCGCGTGTCAACGGTCAGCAAGTGACGTTGCGTGAAGCCCCACATCTCACCGGAACGCCTGGCCCCACATGTGCCATCGCCATGCACCCCACAACGTCCTTCACGCGACGTGCTCTTAGCCATATCGCGGGTGTATTGTGCCCTGCATGTGCCATGTGGCCTAAATGTTGCAAGAGCCGTTCGTGTGGAATAATGGAGGTAGTGGGGATGGAAGGCGTAATGGTAGTGTGGTGGAAGGGCTGCATGGTTGGTAACCGCGTGCTGAACGCGTGAAAGTAGAGAGTACGTATTTTCAATATGGCGACCAAGAAGGTTACCGTTGGCAATGGCAACGATGCAGCACCACTGCCTTTTCGCTACCAGTTTGCCGCTGGGGCTGTAGCTGGGATATCGGAGATTTTGGTAATGTGAGATTGTCTTGGTATCGGAGATCAGAAGAGAGTGCTAAGAGTGTAGATAGGTACCCGCTTGATGTAGTCAAAACACGAATTCAACTTCAGCATGGCAAAGTTGTCGAGGGTGAAGGGTACAATGGTGTCCTGGACTGCTTCCGGAAGATTGTTCGCAGTGAAGGTGTATCAAGACTATATCGCGGCATTACTGCGCCTATCCTTATGGAGGTGCCCAAGCGGTATGACCTGGGCTGACACCCTGTTGATCGTGACTGATTGGAAGCAGTGCTATCAAATTCTCCGCAAACGACTCCTTCACAACGTTCTATCAACGCGTCTTCTCGGTTCCGAACTTGACCCAACCGCTCGCAGTCCTCACCGGTGCCAGCGCTGGCGCAACCGAATCTCTTGTTGTCGTTCCCTTCGAGCTCCTCAAGATCCGACTCCAGGACAAGACCTCCGCATCACGATACAATGGCCTACTCGACTGTCTCGTCAAGGTGGTCCGTCAAGAAGGTCTATTGGCGTTGTACAACGGCTTCGAGGCCACGTTGTGGCGGCATATTGTATGGAATGCTGGGTACTTTGGCTGCATCTTCCAGGTACGGGCTCAGTTGCCTGCTCCGGCGACCTCGAGCAATCCAAGAAGGCAGAAAATGGGGAACGATCTCGTAGCAGGGTTCGTAGGCGGTGTTGTAGGAACTACGTTCAACACCCCGCTAGATGTTGTCAAGAGCCGTATACAGAGTGTTGCCAAGACGCCTGGTGTAAGGCAGAAGTACGCTTGGGCGTGGCCAAGCTTGGGAGTCGTTGCGAGAGAAGAAGGATTCAGAGCGTTGTACAAGGGCTATGTGGCGAAGATATTAAGGTTTGGACCTGGTGGTGGCGTGTTGTTGGTTGTGTATTCCGCAGTGTTGGACATGTTCGCCAAGGTGGCGTAGACACTATTGTAGTCTGACCCTGATGCATGGAAACGGAGGCATCGGTGCAAATAATCTCCGACTCCCCATTCTTGCTCAAAGAGATCGTGTTCGACTCGCCTGTCTTTGACATTTGACGTCGGTGCCTGAGTCTTCACTACATTACCGCAGGCAAGGACTATCGATTCCCAAATGCATGTCCTATGTGTTGGCCAAGCTTCTGATATTATACAGCTTTACAATCTTCTCGAACTAAGAAGTAACATGGCGCAAGCTTGCTATTATCCTGCGCCGTGCTTCTAGTGTTCCCGTCGATTAGTTGATTACTTATCTGAGACGCGATTGTCTGATGTGCAACCCGCTAGCGGAAGATGGACGGAATGAAACGCAGCTAGCTGCTATCCAAAGTAGCAATTGATTGATTTTACGCACCAGATCAAGCAGAGCTCGTCACCTAAATGAGGCGAATGAGACAGTGGATGATTCCAACACGGTCAGCGGTCAGGGGAGGCCCCACTAGCGTACGCCTCATAGTCCCACATGCGAGTCGATCCGGGGTTGGTGTAGGACGAAATTCTTCGACAAGTCTGGTAATTTGAAGGCGATTCAAAGGATCATTTACCTCATCATCCAACGGCCGTGATGAGGCACGGAGCGATCGGTGGTGCTAGGAGCTGGTACGGTGTTTGGCGATCAGATGAGGGTCCAGAGCGTCGGAGGTATCTCCAAGCGGCGACTATGGACCACCAACGTAAGGATCAGCTGTAGTGTTCGGATACGCAGATGTGCGCGCGGCGCAATCTGCAGCAGCAGGATTGCAGGTTTATATGCATTTTGTAGATGAGTTGAGATGAGCCTATAATGCTTAGGCCGAGTCATGGTCTTGCTTTCCCCCGCAGCCGCGATCGCTTGGCGACCGACAGCACCTGCAGACTCCGGCCTGCGAAGGGTCCTCCGATCATCAGCCAACACATCGAATCTTTGCGACGAGCGATATGGCGTTAAAGCAGTGCAGCATGTGCGATCGCACATTCACCAAGTGTACGTTGCTGCTGAATGCGCGTAGAAAGTGTACTGACCCCGACCCCAGTAGAGCACGTGAAGCGGCACGAGCGGTCCCGTTCGTCCATCTCGAACCTCTATCATCGGCAGTGAGCTAAACACCATCTCAGACACACGAGAGCGCCCCTATGAGTGCCCGACATGCAAAAAGCACTTCTCGCGCAGGTGAGGCCCCCAATGAAAAACCTCCGTACTAGCGCCAACCTCTTCACATAGCGATGTCTTGTTCCGGCATTGCAAAGGCCATGCGCAGAATGCGATGAACCGGATGAAGAGCAATGAACAACAAAACACCAACGACCAACAAGAATTTCGACACAACTCCATGGACGAAAATCAAGCATCACGACCATCTGCCTCACGGAACGTAAACGGCCCGACTCCATCAGCAACACCATTAATCCGCGAAGACTCCAACTTCTCGCCCATGTCCAGGAGGAGAGAATCTCAAATACCACAGATCAATGTGAATAACCAGTATAATGCGCATCTATCAGCTCCCACGGATGGCCGTCAGTCTTCATCGCGGTTACAACCGCCGTCACCCGGTGAGGACCGGATCGAAGCGCTGATCAACGCGGCCCAACATCTGGAGCCTGGAGCAGACACACCCTGGCGGTCACCGTCGCCTATGATTATTGCGCGTGCCGAAAATATCCAAATATCAAATCGTAATCCCCATGAGAGCATGGGTCCACCTATCGACCCAGCTATGGAAGCCCTTTCGTTCTCGCCAGCCGGCCATGTCTCGAGTTTAGACCAGTGGGCTTTCGAGCTCGTTCAAAGCAATAACCCAGTCCCAAACCGCACTCCTGCAGACGCGTTACAAACGTGGCTGTTTCCACTTGAGGGTGATATGAACACTCCCCAAGGATCGCATCACCTAGGCGTTGAAGGCTTTTTTGAGCACGGTGCATTCCAAGCACTCCCAGAAAACCAGGCCAGTCCATCAGGCAGCAGTGTTTCGATAGCAAGCAGAGTGCCGCGGGAGCGATTCCAACGAGTCCAAAGTTGTTGGCCGTCCCGGAATCGCAAGTCCTCACGACTTATGCCAGATCTTTGGCAGAGCCTTGTAGCATGTGAATGTACCAACATACTCTCGGAAGTAGGCTCTGGAGCGATGGAGACGCCTATGAGCGAAAGCGAGCGGCGGAACTCGCGATGGGGACTCGACGAGGAGTGCAGAGGCAGACTTCAGAGCGCCTTGCACAACTTACCACCGTCTAATCCACCAAGATCCGAATCATATGGCGACACTGCATCTTCGAGCGGTGATGCAGCAGGAAGCCCGAGCATCGAAGGTGTGCAGTTCCCTCCTGCCGAAATCTTGGACATTGCTCTAGAGATGTATCTCTACTATTACCACCCAACCCTTCCGATTATCCACATACCGACGTTCTCCGCGAAGAATGCGCCACGACCATTACTACTTTGCATGTGTCTCATCGGATTAAGTATACTTGGTACAGCAGGTGCAGCCAAGTTTGTCACGCGCACATTCCCGGTAGGCAATGCGATAACTACACATCTAACATATACTAATTCTTAACAAGGCTGTATTACAACTCGCGTTGGCCGAGCTGCAAACCCTACCAACGACAGATCATCCGCCGCATCGGCAAATGCGGATCATTGCCACTAGCTTGCTAGCCCTGAATCTAGCCTCCATCACCGGAGTGGGTAGCACTCATCGATCATGCAAATCATGAGCTAACGTTCACGTAGCGAAAAAGTCGGATTGCACAGGCAGAGAAGATGTATGCAGAGCTCATTGAGGTATGTGGCCGCTTATACTACGCTTTCGAACATGACTGACTCTCGTAGTTTGCGCAAAGTCAAGGTCTCTTCTCTGCCAACGAGGGCGTGAAGATAGATCCTCTCCTAGATGAGATGGTTGACATCGACTCAAAGTGGAAGGCTTGGTCGAAGGTCGAATGCAGTAAACGCATCATCTTCGGTCTCATTGAGGCAGACTGCTGGTGGGCAGGCTATCTCTCCACATCACCAATGATTCGCCCCGAGACGGTCCAGATTCTGCCGCCATCAGACTACTCGCTCTACCACGTCAACAGCGCGGCGAAGTGGTTCCATCTCGTACAGCGCGGGGCGAGGATTCATTCACAGCGGATAACACCATCGTTCCACCCGACCCCAGGCCTAAAGCTCGACGCATCAAGCTTTCGATCATTGCTGACTCTCCTGTTACTACGCATCTACGAGAGCAATGATAGGCTTGCTCCTGCGACAGGAAACCAGAAGCAGCTTGAGCCTTGGCGGATATACGCCGAAGATCCCCGCAGTCGAGATATCCTTCCCTTGCTGGTGAACCTCTCTGGATCCTCAATCGACGCACTCCGCACCGCGGACCTGAACTCCGCCGTCCTCTGGCATGCCTCTTGTATGGTACTCGGAGCGAATATACGCTACTTCGAACTTGCAGCTGGACGCTCCGGTCCCGAGCCGGCCGTCAATGCTCTAGAGGACATCTCAGTGTGGTGCCAAACGCCAAGCGCAAGAAGGAGCGTATTGCATGCCGCACATATTTACAAGCTACTCTTTGACCGCAAAGTCAGCGATATTGTCAACCCTCACAGCGTAGTTGCCCTCTTCCACGCCGCCCTCGTCCTGGGTCTGTACATCTTTGCTCTCCCACCAACAGACAATAGGCCCATGAGCGACTCTTGCATTGAGCTTCTCGATCTTGTAGACTGGATCTCCGTCGGCCAACTGGGTTTCATCGACACCCCACAATCACCCATAGGATTCGGGGACGCCACTCAAGTCGTCAACTTCATACACCGCGGTGGTTGCTTCAGCATAACGGGCATCGCACTCGAAGGCGGGTATCTTGCTGCTCGCCGCACTCTGCTGCATTGCTCGGATCTTATGGAGGGTATGGGCCGGTGGAAGAGCAGGACGTTCAGCCAGATACTGCATATCATGAGCGACGATCTGACGGATTATGACGGTCGCAACAATGATGATGGGGACGACGAGGTCGACGGCGACGGGGAAGAGGGCGAGAGGAACTCCCGGTGACGGTTAGCGTCCTCTTCTCAACAGTGTCTTTCAATAACTCAGTTGCAAGGCTTGTGGGGAAGAGGATGATCAAGAAGATCAGGAAGGACCAAGTGGTGGTCTTTGGGTGTGGCCAGAGCTATTTTGGCACGCTTCAACAGCGTAGCATAGGGCGGTAATCCGGGTGTGTCAGCCAGGACGGTGTACACAATCTGCATTGGGTGGTGTTGAGTTGCATAGTAACGGTGTTGCACAGCGATAGGCAGAGTGAGGATGCGGATCCGTGATCTCGAAAAGCAATCTGTTCCTCATGGCCATCTACTTAGTATATCATACTTTATTCTAATGATGCAGCGCGTAATCTCTTCTCGATGTTTCCCTTCTTTGGATACACAGTGATAGGCACTACACTCGGACGTCTCACTCGCACTTTTGCAATTGCAAAGTGGACTCTGCTTGCCCAGACCTACTCTACACCTTCAGCCCTGTTAACTTCTCAATAAGCACATCGAATGCTTTGCTACTACGGTCGACAATGGAAGCAGCAGTGGTCCAGAATATAGCAGCTGGTAGCATACTAATGACGGTGAGGAAAGTAGGGTGTTGTGAGACGCTGACGAGCTGCTCCCTTTCTGGATCAGACGAAGTATCTGACTCCTCAACATCCGCGTCATTTTCCTCGTCCTGCTCGACAAGCAAGTTTGGTCGAGGTGGTGAAGGTAGTCTGGACTGCGGGCGTTGTAGGTCAATCCAATCTTCCATCTCGGAGTCCACAGTATCGGATGCGCTTTGGAGAAACAGGGCTTCATCTCTGGCTTTCGCAGGAGTTCCGCAGATGATCAAGTCGCCAGCTGGCCCGCCCTGCATAACAGTCTCTATTGGCGCAAGATCCATGTCCCTAAATCGATGTAGCTCTGCCAATTCTCTCTGTTCCGCCGCTTCCTCCTCGTCCACTCTGGCGTTTCGTGCTAGGTCGGTAATTTCTGTTGGCGAAGAAGCACTGCGGCGGCTTTTATGCTGTGAGCTACTTATGTCTTCATGGGACCCAAAATAACTGAGCGTGTTGGCCACTGGCGTGTCTAGAGGAGTAGCAGAGGGCGCGAAGTCGATGTGTCTTCCGTGAGGAGTTTGAACGACGGCACGAGCAGGAGATGGGAAGGCGATGAAGGAAGCTGATACGGGTAGTGCATCTTCAGACGCACGGTGGACGTTCTGAAACGAGCTATGCGGTCGAGGTTGGTCGCTGTAAGTTTCGAGAGACTATCACACATTTAGCATGCGTCAATCAAGTTCATTGTGGTGAGTACCCACACTAAGCGCCCTGGCGGTCACCTTCTTGACTTCCACTGGATGCATCCCGATGTCTTCTTGAAGAGTCCTGAGATCACTAATCTTATCAACGGCCAACGCCTGACATGATGCATCAAGAATCCTCGCGTCCGTATCAAAGACGCCGTCTGTTGCCGCAATCGCCTGTGCACGTTCCTGGTGACGACATTGCTCTTTCAGGCCTTCTTCGATCGAAAAGCGACAAAGCTGCAGTCCCTCGGTTCCATCAAGCGCGGGCTGATCGTGGGCACAGAGCCTGATGTAGTCACGGACAGGCGCAACCGGTGCAGTCTTACCAGGAATATTCATAACGTCCTCGATTGTGTCCCCGGCTTCCTTTCCGTCTATACCGAAAGCATCTTCGCCATCGCTCAGTTCCATATTGTCGTCTTCGTCTTCATAACCTTGCTCTTGTTCATCACCACGACCAAGGTCTTCCTCCTCATGGCTAAGCTGCTCTTCGCCGATGTTACCAATAGGCGTCACAGTCAGATTCAACCGCCTCGCGGGTGTGTTGTTAAAGTATGACGTTCTGGATAGAGATGAAGGGCTGCGTACGTCATTGAGAATCTTTTGTAGGGTGTGACAATCGGCTGGCGAGAGTTTGGATCCGGAAGAGTTTACGGGAGTTGAACGTGAGCTCATATTGTCGTTTTCTTGCAGAGATGTGTCGTCGTCGTCTAGTGAGGCTGGGCGGGGTGGCGTCGAAGGCATCACGGTCGGTGGTGGCTGCGGAACATCTTGGGGCTTGTTGTTTGGTAACGACATGATCAAAAAGGTGGAGTGAGATTTTCCCAGTTGTAGCAGTCGCGTATTGGATGAGCAGTGTTGACCGAGGAAGGAAACACAGAAGGGAGGAGCGCCTACCCTAAATGGAGATGACAAACAACAAACAAGCGCAACGACCAAATCAGGCTATGGCAAGCACGTCTGAACAAAGTTGGGATGAGCGATAGCTACCAAGCCACAAGTGGTAGTGAGATCAACATGCCTACGATCTAACACCTTCCTCACCAACACGGACACCTCTCAACACGTACCCATCTCTCCTAGCCTCAGTCGCTTCTCTCAAAATCGTCTCTTTGGTCTCCTCACTGCGCGCCTTCCATCTCACCAGATACGGCTTCGCCATGGTAGTACTTCCGACCGCATCAAACGCTTCGTCGCTAGTATCCACCTGCACTTCATTTCCCTGTTGATCAAGCGGCGGCAAAATGTCGGAAGCCCATAATAGCTTCGCCAGCACAATGAACATACTGTTCTCGGCCAGATGCACACCTGAGCAGATCCTGCGGCCTGCACCAAAGGCCCAGTGATCACGGCTCGCAGCTGGGCCGGCTGCATAATGTCCACTTCCATGAGGGTGGTTGAGATATCGCTCCGGTATGAAGCTATGAGGGTCTTCGAATACATTGGAGTCGTAGTGTATCGGGTATTGTTGCAGGCATACGACTGACTTGGCAGGTATGTGGATACCTTTGTAAGTTATTGGCGCAGTCGTGTAATGTGGCGTACCGATGTTGGTGACGGGGCGTAAGCGTAGAGTCTCTTTCACGATGGCACGGATATAGGGTAGTCTTGGCTCGTCTTCAAATGTCGGTGATCGGGAAGGCGGAACGACACCTCTGATTTCGTCGATAGCTCTCTGCCGTGCGTTCGGGTTCGCGCTGAGGTAGAGAATGGCAGTATTGAGTGCCGCGGATGTGGTCTCACTCCCCGCTTCGATCATGCTGCCAGCTAGGAACGCCGCCTGCAGCTCACTTATACCTTGCTTCTCGTAATCGCTCTCGATGACTAGAGGTGTAAAAAGTCAGCATATGTCTCACATACAATTCGTACAGCGACGTCACTCACATTGCTTGACGAAGCATTCGGGGGCCTGTTTGGTCTCCATCTGAGTTTTGAGTGTACTCCAGAAAGACATCCACAAATTGGCTTGTTTATCGAAGTAGGGTTTGAGGCCTTTGCGCCACCACTGTAGTCGCGGTGGGAGCTTGCCCAGAAACGGAAGCGTGTCTGCTAGGTACGTTCCTGGTTTCGCGATCGTGGAGAAGTCGTTCATTATGTCGTAGATACCGTGCACTTCGTCGCAATCCTGCCACATGTTAATATCGAAATTCTCGCTCGCTCACAGGTGTTACTTACCCAATTGGGAATGCGTCGCCCATACGTGCTGGTCATGATGACGCTCACAGTGTATCTTCGGATGGCCTTGTAGCTAACTCCGTTCCCTTTCGCTGCATCTGCACCCTTCAATATTTCTTCAAGCAACATTTTCGCCTCAAAGTCTTGACTTGGCTTGAATGTCGCACTAACAGCCGGGGTCAAGAGCTTATGACTGATACCTCTCAGCTTCCGCCATTCCGGTCCATATTCCATGAACAGGAATCGCATACCACCACCCAGTGCATCACCAGATACCGGTAACGGCGTTCGAGAGCTTGTGTGGGCAGACTGTTTATCCAGAATCTCCTTACACGCTCCGGGTGAGCAGATCATGTACCAGTTGTTCCAGCCCAGACGAATCTTGTAGATTTCGCCATATTCGCGAGCCCAAGCGGTAATTTGCTGGTGCGGTTGCTTGCCTAGTTGATGTGCATTCCCAAGGATGGGAAGGCTAGCGGGACCAGGTGCAGTTTTTGTGCCAGATGGTGGCCTGCTGTTGTATCGCGTGTACAGTATAACGACTAAAAAGGATAGCAGGAGTAAGGTGATGGTGTACATGTGGGGCTACTTGGGGGCGATACCGCTTAAGGAGTATTTGAGAGGAAACTTGAACAAAGGTATGAACGAGTAGTGCGTTTAACAGCCCACCTATCTTAATGATCAGACATGCGCAGATATCCCCATGGTATATTGACGTATCGCGAAGCGTAGAGTGTTTAACGTGCCATTATGCAGGTTCCCCACATGTTCGGGTGGATGAATCCTAGCTGGGTATCCTATGCATCCTGGAGCGGGAGGGGGGATGCGGAGTAAGACCTGGAGCCATGCTGGTGAGCTTGTTTGGAACATGTGCTTTACTCCAACTTCCGACGTATTCGGCCCGTGTACAAGATTCCGTACTGGCGTTGGGGAAGCTCTCATAGCGCGTGCTTTCAGGATTGCGCGGTCGACATCCGTTATGCCGTTCTTCCAAAGACGGTTGCATACTACACATAGCCTTCCACTGAATACCATACGCAAGATGATGTGAATGCATTGACTGAACAAAGTGCGCGACGGAGGCCGAGCGACCCTTGATCCGGAACTCCTGCTAGTCCTTTAGTCAGCCGTCCCTGTCGGCTCTTCGAAGCCACCGAGCGCATCCATCGTTCCTCCAAGAAGCCAGAAAATCGTGTGTCAGCCGCACAACGAGCTCACGAAGCGCGTCATAAAGTCTATTCAGCTCTACATATAAAGGCTTGCGTGCAAAGTATCATAGCTGACATCGTAGGATATGCTTACTGGTCTCACAGCTCGCACGCCTTTGCGCTTCCTCGCATCCAGCCTGTATCTGTCGAGTTTGCGCCCGTCAAACTTGCGCCCGGCCAACCTCCAAACGCTGAACCTCCCGAATCCATTTCCGCGCACGATGTCTACCTCTACCTTCGCACTCGACCCTACAATCTTTAACAGGACCCTGTACAAAAAGATAACAGACATATGGTTCCCTGGCGTCGACACAAGTGGCAAGGAGTTTGATATGAGCATCGCAAAGCGCTGGTTCGCAGGCAGTCCTGAAGAGCGACTTGCCCTCGACGGCCAATGTAGAGATGTCTGCGCCAGTGCACTTGAAGCCGTTGGCCCAGAAAAGTTCCCAGAAGCGAATGCGCAACCCTTCCTAGACGAGATTGCGCGCGTTGCGGAGGAAGAGAACAAGGCAAATGGTGCGCCAGGAGAAGACGCTGCATGGACAGCACTGAGCTTCGCACTCCTATTAGACCAGATGCCTCGCAATATCTACCGCACAGAAGAAGGGCTGCGCCTAGTGTATGGGCATTATGATCGCATGGGCGATGCGCTCGTTCGCAGCCTTCTATCACCCTCATCGCCCATTGGTCGCCCTGATGAACATCCTGCCATCCGTCTCTCTGCAGCGCATAGGACCTGGCTTTACATGCCGCTTATGCACTCTGAAGATTTGTGCGCACACGATCTCGCCGACAAAATAGTAGCGGAGTTCGCACGGGAACTCGAGGGGTTGGATGGGTACAACGGCACGAAGATGTGGATTGAGAACTACCAGAAAGCTGCAAAGGAACACAGGGATATATTGGAGCGCTTTGGTAGGTATCCACATAGGAACGCTGCCTTGGGTAGGGTTAGTACAGAAGAGGAGCGCAGGTTTATGGAGGAAGGCGGAGCTACATTTGGTGTTGCGCAGACTCAGAAGGATAAAACGGCGAAGCTAGATGAGACGTAGATAATCTAGTACATGTTGGAATACTGCTATCCTCGCAATGGTCTTTTGACGCGTGTGCGTGTGAGTGTCATTGAAGTTGTTCCTGACAAATGTGTTGACAGTATAACACAAACATAATACTAAATTATAACCGCAATGCAGGTATTGCCTACATCACAATATAGAGTATCACATCGAGGCGCAAAACTGTCTAAATAACCTACCTAATATGCAAAAAGAGTGTCTGCTGCTAGTCCTGGTCGTTCTGACACCGTCAGAGCCTCTAGAAGAGCAAAAAGATGGGTCTTACCGCGACTCGAACGCGGGGCCTCTCGCAAGCTGTGCTTGGGTTTGCAAGCATCCGAAGATGCTTTCCCTAAGCGAGAATCATACCACTAGCTGTTGTGTGTTAGAGATTGTTGGACAGAAGACGAATGCTTGGTACATACACCATAAGACCATTGAGCTGTTGCAGCTGTTGATGGAGAAACGAGGACTAGATGGGAATATATTCTGATGTTAAAGCTACCTAGCTGCGTTTTGCTGCCCCGCTCTGCGTCACAAGCCTACCGTAATAAGAAAATAATTGGTCGAGTCAGTGAAGCTACGGCCCAGTATCGGGCGGCTGAAGTTCGCCCATGTGGGGACCACAACACGAAGATGAACGATGGAGGGGTATTCTGACTAGCTTGCAATGGTAGATAGATGCATACGGATGATCCCGGATTGATCTGACCACTGGTTGTTGAGATAATTGGAAGTTCGAGTAGCCCAAGTTGTAAGGTTGGCATGGTGTTTTTATACACAATCTACTTTTTGCCACCCTAAACTGCTAAGTTCAATCAACGATGCGTACAACGCAACATGCAGTATCCTGGAGATCTACAGAATAATCTCAATATTATTTCACATTCTAAAAATATTCTCGGGTGCATACGTTTTGTTAACAATTTACCAGTGAAAATAATGGTAATGCAAGGGTATTCCAAGTACGATTGTCGCAGCGGATGCGCTATCGCAAGGGTCGCTGCATCATCGCCTCGACATCATGGACGCGCTCCTCGGAATCTTGGAAGTGCGCGTACCTCCCAGAACCTCCGTCTACGCCGCATCAACATCGCAACATCAACCTCCGATGGCGATCGCGGCTTTACCTCCACCTTTGCACACTTTGGAAAAGTCCTAATCCACCATGGTGCGGTTGCTGGTTCCTGAAGGTGAGTTACGCGACCAGGTCTAGCTCAGTATCCTAACACAATCCAGGCGAGAGTCAGCATGCCATCACCGGGAGACCACCTGGCGCAATCGCTACACAACGCGACCTTATCGCATCGCCTTGGAGATCCTCGATCGCCGCTGCAGCCGTCACTGGCGGCTTCGCCCTTGTCGGCCGCTCACGACCTGGCGTGTTCCTCAAGTCCGCCGCGTTGTTCAGTGCCATAGACCTCACATGTACCGCATCGGGAATATATGGGCGACATGAACTGCACCGAGGAATCTTCAAGATGGAAGGGATACAGGCCAAGCCCGGCAAGCTATGGGAACGGACAAAGCACTGGACGTGGGAAGATGCGACACTCGGGGGAGGAGTGGTGGGGGCGTTTTTGGCATTGAACCCGCGTGCTCTACCCGGCGTCTACGGCTTCGCGCGATTCTTCGGGGCGGCTACAGTTGGATGTGCGCTCGGCTACAAAGCTGGACAAATCTACATCGTTCGCCTGCCCCCGCAACTCCTCCAGCTCTTCGACCACACGGTAACGGCAAACCGACGAAGAGAGTACGAAAAGTTACAGGATAACGAAAAAGCGAAAGCGTCCCTTTCTCGAATCGGCAAACTCGCACTCTGGTATCACACGTCTCAGACGATGACTATTCTTCGGAGTCCTCTACAACTTGGCGGTATAGGAGGAATGGGAGGATTTGGCGGTACTCCTGGTGGTCAGCAGTCACCGCATGGTAGCCAGTTGCATGCACTAAAAGCCGAGATGGACAAAGAGACTGTCTTTCAGACCGAGTTCAAGGAGGGAGAAGTTGCAGGACCCGATGTAGAGAATGGCTACCGCGCGTACAAGGACGACCTCAAGTCAAGAGATGCGAGCAAAGTACAAGACTGGCTGGAGCAAGTTCGGGAGCTCAAGAACAAGATTGGTTCGGAATGGCAATACGTCTGGCGATACCTTGGGCAGAGAGAAGACGAGTTTTACCACCACGTAGAGGATGATAGGGAGAAGGATCTCCTCCGACGGGAACTCCAGCTGCTGAATAACATGGCCGCTGATATAGTTACCCGATGTGCAATCCTCGAGTACCACGAACGCGATGCCCTGAAGCAACTCCGGCAAATCGAGCAAACAGAATTAAGCGTAGGGTCCGATGCAGTATCTCAAGCCACCACGGCGCCGTACGAATTCCCACACGACTCAGCAGAGGTTGCTCAGATCAACCACCGTGGCCCACGCATCGTCACCGAGCGAATCCGCACAACCTGGTCAAGACAGAAAGAGTTATTGCGACACTTAGATCACGCCGCCTCCCGTGCTAGTGAGGTATCCGAAGCCAATAGAGGCTACCATGTTGCTGAGCACCTCAAGCATCTCAAGCAGGATGCTGATCAGATGCGGATGAACGTTGAAGCCACTGAGCGTTTGCTGCGACGGTTTGAGGATCGGGTTCGCGAGGCTGATGAGGAGGCGAAAGAGAGCCCTCGCCAAAGCGGAGGCGATTCGAATAGTGAGCAGAGACCCACTTGACATGGATCTTTGTCGCGCTTGGTTATACGCTCGCTTTGCTACAAGCCTGCTGGTTGAGGTCAGGCGTTTTAGGTTGCTCGGTCAAATAACTTGCAACGACTGATATCATGAGACTATTGGCCTGTTGGTGTGTACATCATGCATGGAAAGGGCGAGCAACGAAACGTCACCACATCACAAAGTGACCTTGATGGCTCGAACACATGCGCGAGCATACATAGCTAGAAATAGCATAACAACCTGTCTGGGCGGCGACACCTGGGCGGGAAGATGCTTCCTACGCGAATCCGTGGCCCCATCTTCGAACAATTCTGTCGGTGTCAGTGATGCACTAGAAGAAGCTGCTCTTGTTGGAAGGGACACTGTATATCCCTGGGTGCATCAATGAAGTCGAAGCACTTTGAGAATTGCTTTCGAAGTGAGCTGTTCAAGGTAGCTATGTATGTAATCAAAACAGTAGAAACACCCAGACGGCATATCACACCTGGGCCGCATGCAAATATGGGTCAGGCTTCAAGATGGTGCACAATACATCTCGCAAAGCTTCGCAAACGATTCTAGTGCAATTGGGCTAGCGTTTCTCGATAGTTGCCGTGGACGAGAGACGGCGATGGATGACGTAACCATTCGGAACTCGATGCGGAAATCTCTCGCCTCTGCACTTCTAGAAGACTCACAACGACCGTTAAACTCACCACCACATCGCGCATCCTAAGCATCACCCTAAATATCTACTAAGATCTCAACAATGCGCTCCGTACGTTCGTCTGCCGCGCGCAGAATCCGCGCATCTCTCACCGAACCCACCACCACTTCGCCATTCCGCACGCGACAAAGTGCAACACCGTGCATGCTCTGCGCACATCGCATACCGCCCCAGAAGATATCACGGCGGTTCCAATCTTCATCTTCCAGCTCCAATACAGTCGAAAAGCCATTCGAGACACAGCAATCCTCCACAGCGCAATCATCGCAGGTCCCACAAACACACTACTCCTTCTTCCCCAACTCCTTGCCAAATGGCCCACCCCCACAAGGCCCCTTCGCCATCGACCTTTCTGCGCTGAAGAAGGAATTCCTTCAACTTCAAGCCCGCGCCCATCCCGATTTGCATCCCCAAGCGGATAAGAAACGAGCCGAAGCCCTCTCATCACGCATCAACGAGGCCTATAAAACACTGCAGAATCCTCTTTTAAGAGCGCAATATCTGCTATCTTTGCGCGGGATAGAGGTGGCAGAAGATGAGACAGCAAAGGTAGACGACCCGGTGCTGTTGATGGAGGTATTGGACGCGAGAGAGAGCATAGAAGAAGCAGAAAGCGAAGAAGATTTGGTGGCAATGCGGGAAAGAAATGAAGAGAGGATAGCGGAGAGTACGGAGATAATCGATAAGGCGTTTAAGAGGGACGATCTAGAGGCTGCGAAGAGCGAGGCGGTTAAGTTAAGGTATTGGGTCAATATCAAGGAGAGCATTGAGAACTGGGAGAAGGGTGTTCCGGTTGTGCTGCAACATTAGATGGCTTGGTGAAAGATACACAGGCTCATGTACGATACTACGGCTCGATATGCTTAAGGGATACGGTCACCCATCACCCATCCATCTTCTCTTCATCAACAGCTACAACAGCGCCATGGTCGCAATACATCTACTCTAGACAGGAACAGTAATAGGGTTCATCACCCCCGCTCCCCCATCCACCCTCAACTCAGCGCCCGTAATATAACTACTAAATCCACTCGCCAGAAATCCCACCGTCCTACCCACCTCCTCCGGTCTACCTGCCCTCTCCAGCCCAATCGTCCTCTTCTGGCTCTCCTCTCCCTGCAGCGCAGCAGGCGGAAATTGGCCCTGCGCCATCTCCTTCACACCACAATCCTTCAAATCAACACCAACATCAATCTGCCCAGCTGTGATGGCATTGATACGCACACCCGTCCCCTTGAGCACCAGAACGCCAGAGCGCACAACACCAAGCGCAGCATGCGACGCCATGGTAAAAGCAGGAGCCCAGCATCCACCATATGTCCCCGCGACACTGGTCACGACAATGATGCTTCCATATGGAACATCCTTGGGCGCGGCATTAGGATAGCTCCCTTTGGGCGTTGTCTTCTGCATAGCGGCAGGCGCGTACTTGAGCGCGAAGAACGCCGGCATGGCATTTGTGTCAAACGCGGCGTACAGATCCTTCGGACCTGTCTGGTTGATAGACGGCGGACCTAGCAGACCAGTAGAAGACGTCCAGACATCGAGGCGGCCCCATGAGTTCAGTACGTCATCGATGAGAGCGAGAGTGTCTTCTTCCGAGTTAATCTTGTATGGGTAGCCGATTACTTTAGTGTTTGGGTATTGCGCGTTTATCGAATCGGCGAGTTCGGCGTAGGGTTCTGAGGGGAGCGAGGAGCAGGCGTATATGCATGCTGCGCCGTGTGCTGGAGGGTAGTGTTAGTAAGTAGTTGGGAGTGTAATTTGGGGTGCAATGTACCGGCGAGTTCAGCGACGATTGCTTTTCCTACGGGTTGTGTTGCGCCTGTTACTACGCATACGAAGCCGTACTACATTGGATTGAGATGTTAGCCACTCTTCCGTTTCTTTGTGCCGTCACGTTCTCTTGGACTTTTCTTGCAATGCGTCTCGAGTCATAGGAACTCACCAGTTTTCCATCCGCTCTGTACGGCGAAAAGTGCTCTGAATCCGTGATACCAGCCTCCCTAACGCCAGTTCCGTTTGTGTTGTTGGCCATGGTCGTCGGTATTCACGGGTCTTTGAAATGAAGTCACAATGCACAAAGGACAACGTGGAAAAGAAGACACGCGCAGCGGCGCGTCTATAGTACATCACATCATTGTTGGCTATTGATTGACAGCTGCTTGCTTGGGCAGGAGGTGTTATGTCAGTGTACATATCCACGGGGCGCGGAGATGCGGAACAGGCGTGCGATTGCTGGCTGGGTTGGCAGCTTATCGGCATCTTATCAGGCTGCATGGTGGCTTCCGCGGGGCTCTCGTGGGGCAGGGACAGAGTCAGGTAGCTTCAATTTGGGACAGCTCCAACCAGTATACCTAGGTACTCTTGATAGATGTGTTGTTTTGGTAGACGATTTTCAATGTGCACATCATGAGCTTTGCGGCTCTGTTGTATAGCATTGTCCATATGGTTCTGACAACCACTCATCATTTGTACTCATACACCTCCCACCAACGCCCCTTTCGAGATGCTCAAACCCCTGGTATCTTCCTCACAACGCCGCCAATGCCTACTTCCCGTGACACACTCTATGCGGTCTTCGCTTTGTCGTCTTCCTGGTTCTTCCTCAGTTCCTCCCTCGGTGGCAGCACGTCCGGCCCAAAGCTGAGCGGAAGCAACTCGCCCATTGTCCTCACAATCCACTTTCCTTCCTTGTTGAACATGAAGATGGGTGTCTCCAGCTTCAAGAACTCGCGCAGGAACTGTCTGCACATTCCGCATGGCGAGCAGAAGTCGTCGATGTCGGTCGTAACGCCAACGGCCTTGAAGCTTCCGATGCGGTGGCCTGCAATAACAGCAGTACCCATGGCGACACGCTCAGCGCATGTTCCAACTGGATAGGCTGCATTCTCTACGTTTGCGCCGATTATCGTGTGGGCTGCGGATGTGTCGGTTGCGGAGGAGGTGGTCAGGAGGAGGGATGCGCCGACGCGGAAGAGCGAGTATGGGCCTGATCAAGCATTCTGTTAGTACCAATCTCTGATCTATATATCCTGCACATCTTCTGCGACCATGCGCTGCACAGGACAAATCTGGACAACATACAATAAGCCCTCGACCTCGCATCGAAGCACTGCTCGCCCAAAACCTGCAGCTCCTGCGCCGAAACGCCATGGATCAACCCATCTTTCTCTGTCACAGCTTCACCAGGGCTAAATTTTGGTACGGCGTTTGTTGACATGGTGGGAAAGGAAAGGAAGGAAGAGAGTTGTGCGACGCGTCGCGGGGATATTTGGGGAAACTGTATGACGCCAGCCGAGGTTTGCCGTGGGGCACTGAGCTACGGCGACAAAGGAAGGTTCGGCCACCTCCGATGCATTATACAAGACACAAATGTCGCTCAAACTGCTGACTGTTGTCAGATAACAATTGTGCCAGTGTACGGGTACGAGCTTAGCTGCTGCTGACGATAGCAAACCTCGTGTTATACCCCTACCTAGGCGGCTACAGTTGTTTCCTTGAGCTCGGTCGATTGCTTTCCTGCATCACAAACGACTACAAGACGTCTCGCGCACACGCTGAGCATCAACACACTACAGCAAACAATACACCCCGATGTGATCACTCAGCCATGGCAAAAGGTGGCAGGACTGCTGTTTCCAAATGCGTTCTAGAACGTGTTCTAACCACCCCACTTTCTTTGTCTCACTCTCTTTGTTTTGTCAATCCTTCGTCTGTGGAAGGAGTGCTGTCTCGTACTCTAACAAGTGTTTGTTTGCGCTGCAGTAGCTTCAACATTCAGCAACCGTAAAGAAAAGGTTTCCCGTCCTCTACCCACCAAGTCATACGCCATCTGGTACATCGCACGCCCAACACCATCTCGTCTGAAGCGTAATCCTGTCAGCTCTTCGAATCCTCACTTCCGACCTTTGCAGTCTTTGAACCAAGACTCGTCCTCACGTCTCTTTGCATCTTCGGCCTGCTTCTTCTGGTCTTGTCGCTGCTTGTGTTCTTCTCGGTCTACAGCACCAGCTACACCTATGCAGTGCTTGCATCTACCGTTGTCATAATAGTCAACGTTGTGTTTCTCGCATCGCGCTATATGCTTTCGACACCGGCCAGTCTTACCGCACCAGCAGTGGTGCGTTACCTTGGAGTTAATTGTGCGTACCATATTTAGGATCAAGAAAAATTCTGTAAGTTATTCGGTTGACTACTAGTGTGGGCGAGTATTCCCCTGTTGTGTCTGCTGAGCGAGAGAGCGCTCTGCCCGCATTAAGTATTGATTGGAAGCCGCTGAGTATTGAGTGAAAAGCAGTGTGCTCACTGCTGTCGACAAGTGCTCGTTCATCATCTGACTCGCACACGGAAAGCCTTTCGGACTCAACGTGGTTACAGCAACTACTCTGTGAAGGTTTCTGTTCCGACATTGTCGGCTTTCACACAACGCCCATGAAAACCTTTATATCGCCAAACCCAGCTACAACATTGTCTCCATCTTTCAGCTAGATCCAAGCAGACTCTCAATCCGAACAACTATGTCGGACAATATCAAGTCACCTAGCGTCGTGGCTGAGCATATTGAGCCTGCACCGGATGCTGAGAGCGATGCAGCTTCCATCAAAAGCTCTGACAACTCGACCACTTCGACTGAGGAATTCGGACATGAGCCCTTTGACACCTTCCAGTTCAAGGCGGTGGAGCTATGCGAAAAGCAGTGGCCGAATCTCTCCAAGGACGCCTTCACAGTCACACATATGGATGGCGGCTCCTACAACCGCGTCCTCGGCGTGCAAGTTGACGGCTCTTGGAGGCAGGCGAGCTGGCTGAAGCGTCAAGCACAAATGCTTCTTCGCACGGCCTGCCCGGGTGTAATCCGGAAGACAGAAATTAGAGATTACGTCCTGCGTATACCACGCATGGAGCATGCGTGGGTTGAACATGAAGTTTCTATCCTCAAGTTTCTCGCAGCGACAAGCCTTCCAGTACCTAGGATTAAGATCTTCAGCCTCTCAGCGGAGAACCCAGTCGGTAGCCCATACATGATCCAGCCACGTCTTCCAGGGAAGGCCGTAATTGAAGTCTATCTTGAGCTGAACACGCCCCAACGTGTTTCATTCGCAAGAGATCTGGGTCGCGCACTGAAGAAGATGGGCGAGATCCAATCCCCCTCTCCCGGCACACTGAATCCTGACAGCATACTCGCCGGATCATCAGAAACTCAACTTCTTCGCTTACAGTGCCCACCACGGAACGCATTTCGCCAGTCTGAAGACGCCTCTGTGCCATCTACGCCTCAGACTGTGTACGAATTCTTCATGTCGCAATTCGCTCGTCAGCGCGCATACGATCTTACCCTCCACCGCGACTACCTGAACCCATGGAACCCTTTTGAAGCCATTATCCGACATCTACATACGATGGGTCACCTGGACAACAACATCTACGTATTGACACACATGGATCTGGAGCCCCGAAACATGCTCCTTCACGTCACATCACCTACCACTGCCTCCTTGTCTGCAATCCTCGACTGGGATGAGACGGTCTTCGCTCCAGCTTTCACAAACTGCCGGCCGCCATTCTGGCTCTGGGACTCTGAAGGCAACGAAGACGAAGACATGGATGAGGCCGATGCTCATATTACACCCAACGATGCTGATCGTGCGGCTGTGAAAAAGGCATTTGAGGACGGTGCTGGTGAGGAGTATTGTAAGTGGGCCTACACGATAGAGTATAGACTTGCGCGAGACATTGCAAAGTTGGCTATCACGGGCTTTTTCTCTAACATGGACTATGATGTCGCCGAGAAGGTCGTCAAGGAGTGGAATGAGATGTTCCCACACTTGAAGGTCTGTGGGATATCTGATTTTGATGAAGATGAGTAGGGTCGTAATACTTTGCAATTCCGTCACAATATTCTAGGGGAGGTGCCACAAAAAGTACAGCAATAATACGCCGTGTATAATGCGCCTGCGTACAACCTCTCTATTCTTGTTCTTCTTCCAAATGTTCACTATCCTTCTGTCAGCAGCACTAGAGTTGATGGGGTCAATGCGGTGTGATGAGAAATACATTCGGCACAGTTTATGTCTGCTGATGCCTCAACGGTCATTGCTTCTGATACTTCGAAGTCTCACTCCGATCGTGGATCTAAAGTCCCGTGAACCGGCGCTTGGTAACGAAGGCACGACAAAGTCGGATTCCCCGTCCACAAATGCAACTCGCTTCGAAATCTACATTGAACTTCAAGTTGGCCTTTTTGATGACATAGAAAACACTCGTAGCGCTGCTAGTTAACTATAAACCTATTGGACACACTTTTCATAGTGAACGACTTAAGTCCTAGAAACAGCTAATTGCACTATCACCCGTTGTCGCACTATAGTACATAGATCACCAGCTCGAGCCGCGCATCTCTCCGCAGATCAAAGTAACCTCACCATTGATCTTGAGACATTGAGGGGTCATGATGTGCATGGAGACATCCCACCTTTGAAAATCCCCATCTAGCATCTCTAGGCAAGCCACATTCACGGCTGATCGCAACCTACGCGCATCTCCGCAGTCTATTCTAATCGCTGATCAGACATCTGACCAAAACTCATCTGACGTGATGCTTGACAAGGTTGCGGGCGGCTCGATCCAAGCCCGCTGTTACTGTAACGGTAGCGCTAGCCGCAACGCTAATGTTGGGGTAAACCTGGGGAAGCGCGCGTGGCGTTGCGGAGGGTGTCCGGACGGACGTTGATGGTTGGTCGCTTAAAGACATGCGGGAAAATGGCGCACATGTGGCGGAGCCTATGCTAGAGCTGGGCCCTGAGCAATATTCCTCTCGGTGCTATGAGTCCGAAAGACGCGGGAATGGAGATCGAGCTTAGTGAGAAGCACGGGGAAGGCGGGCAAGTGTAATTGTAGATGATGTGATGGTATCATAATTCATAGATGATGGATATATACAATGCTGCGCTATCAAGCAAAATCAAACAGCTAGTCGGGTATTTACAAGTGTGGTAGGGAATCTCTCATAACTCTTCATAAACTCCGTGGAGTAGATGCTTAGACAACCGTCTTCTCGGGGTACTCGGTGTAGGTAGCGCTCCTCTTGCGGGAAGCATCAGCCTCGATATCAGTAAGGCTGGCACGGCGGTTGTCGGCATGCATGTCCTGGACATCCTGGAAGGAGATGGAAGGAACGAAGCCAGGAGACTTCCAGGCCTGGGAGCACTTGCCGTAAAGCTCGTCGACCTGCTCGAGGGAAAGACCCTTGGTCTCGTAGATCATGGCCCAGACGAAGAAGATGCAGACGAAGCAGCATCCACCCCAGACGAAGAAGACCTTGGCACCCATGTTGGCGTTACCGGGACCGTCGTTGACCATGTAGGGGGTGGCGTATCCGATAGCAAAGTTCAGAAGCCAGTTCGATGCGGTCGTCATAGAGAGGGACTTGGCGCGGACCTTGAGAGGGAAGATCTCACCAGTCACAACCCATGCGACAGGTCCCCATGAGCAGGCGAAGAAGAAGATGTAGATGCAGACGAATGCGATCAAGGCCTGCTGGGCGGCCTGGTTGTCGATACCAGCAACGGTACCGGTAATGGCAACGATGAATTGACAGACGGCCATACCGATGGCGCCGAAAAGGAGAAGGTTGCGGCGACCCCACTTCTCGACAAGGTAGAGACCAGGGAAGGTAGAGGCGACGTTGACGCAGGAAGTAATCATGGTGACGACGAAGGGGTTGTTGATGCCGGAGTTCTGGAAGAAGGATGTTCCGTAGTAGAAGATAAAGTTGACACCAGTGAGTTGCTGAAGGGACTGGAGGGCGCAACCAGTGAAAAGGCGCTTGCCCAAGTTACCGCGGAAGCAGTCGAGGTAGGTGGCCTTGCCAAGGGACATCTCATACTCGTGGTTGGCAGTAATCTCAGCCAACTCCTCAACAAGAGCCGGGTCGTCAACATTGAGGCGGCGAAGGGTAGAGAGAGACTTGGCAGCCTTCTCTGGGCGGCCCTTCTTGATGAACCAGCGAGGAGTCTCAGGAAGCCAGATGCAGCCGACAAAGAGGATGATAGCCCAAGCGAATTGAACAGCAATAGGGATACGGTAGGAGCCAGTGTCAGCCCTGTCCTTCGTGGAGTTGTTGACGATAGCAGCGAGTAGAAGACCGATTGTGATAGCAAGCTGGTAGCAACCAACAATGGTACCACGAATCCACTTGGGGGCTGTCTCGGATTGGTAGAGCGGGATGGTTGCACTGATCATACCGACTCCGTAGCCAGCGAAGAAACGTCCAGCGACGAACATGGGGATGGCAGTGGCGACGGTCTGGAGAATGACACCAACACAGAATACAACGTTGCTGACAACGAGACCGAGGCGGCGACCGAGGAAATCAGCAGTGGGTGCTGCGGTGAGAGCACCGAAGAAGGTACCGGCAGAGAGGATGGAGACGATCAAGGAAGTCTGTTCGGCGGTGACATCGAGCATGTTGTCCTTCTTGTTGATGTAGCCAGTGCTGAAAAGCTCTCGCCAGTGGTGCATTCCCAGAATACCACCAATGGTACCGGTATCATAACTATACTTGTTAGTAGAACTCTTGAGAAAAGATCAATCGTACATACCCAAACAGAACACCACCAAAGGCGACGAACAGGCCGACCAAGATGGCGGGCGCGGTCGAGCCAGCTACGCCCTCAGGCTTCTTCAACATCAGACCCATGATTGGCAACTGTCTGAGGAAGTAAAATGGGTATAGAAGGAAGACTCAAGTCCAGAGAGATGGTTGAGTACTCGGATGAGGATGGTTATCACTCCAAGGCGGGCTGCCCATCTTTAAGTACGTTTGGGGAACTGTTCACACGAGCCTGGGGATCTCCATGGGCAGCTGTCTAGTCTGGAGACTGGAAGCATGGGGTGAGCGCGCTAGTCCCGCGGCTGGCCAGCAGGCTAGCGAAGTAGGTCCGAAGTGACTGGGGTAGCTTAGTGGATGGTCTTAGCCATGATGGTTATGGAGCTAGAGCAGACCAGATGCTGGCCACTAGCACGTCGCAGGCCTGTGGATGCCATAGCGTTCAAATCATCGTGAGCCAATTCTAGTAGATTTGGAAATCAGGGAGCCGAGATTCAGCTAGCGCAACGTTATCCAGCGGTCCCACGTTCGTGTTGCTGGAAAACGATGGCAAATATCATCGGGTTACGTGACACACATGGCCAGTCTGCTGGCACATGCACCCAACAGTGAGATGACAGTCGCGTGCCGGGGCGAAGACGTGGCGTAGGAGCAGCTAGATGATAGGACACTAGGTGGATAGCGTCACCTTTAGCCGTCATGCATTGTCGAGTCGGGTTTGTGTAAGCTATGAACCACTGACCTCATGCTGCGGAGGTGCATGCTGGTATGCAGGCATACAGCGTTCATCGCCTCTGCTTGATAGACGTGGTCGCGGAGCAAACCATCAACTGATGTTCGTCTGCCGTTGATCGTCAGACAGGCACAGCGCATCACTCAACGAATCCATGATGTTTCACTGGACAATGCAATCGCCAATTGGCAACGCGTATGCAGACAAGCCTTGCCATGCGCGATTGCTTAGACACACGGCATCCAGCTGTTTGCAGTATGGTCGTAGAAGGATTCTGGAATATCGCGACTCCGGTGCTCGGTGTTGCTAACATTGGCCGAAGAGCTGGTACCAACGGGTAGTCTGTGGGAAACCAAGCGCAAATCGAAGAGGTGGGGAGATGAGTAGCGTGCAGGATTTTGCTTCTGGCCGCGCCAAAGTCGCAGAAAGACCTCAGGGCAAACGGGGTGCATTAGTTCCCACGACGCTCCGTGAGGCTCAACAAGCATGCTTGATCGCGGTAGCGTGGTCTCGGCCAACCAGATGGATCGGCTACGGTAGCCTCGAACCATGCACCCAGCGCTTGGTCGAACTGTCGGGAGGATTTTCTTGGCCTAACCGATGTAGGGCTGGCAGTCCGGTAGCGTTTAGCTGCGCAATGCATCTGGAGGCGAAAATCTCGTATGCATGGAGTCTGGCAGCACCTCCGCTCAACAATCGGGGTCCACTTGAGACCTGGTTTCGGAACAGAACACGGCCGGTCATGTGGTCTGAAGAGTGAGGTCCACCAAGGCGGCTCCGATATGGGAAGTCTGGAGTGTAGCGCGGCACAGAGAGGTGAGAATGTCGGAGTCGCCTCCACTATGCATGGGGCGCGTCACACCAGCGTGACTCCCCATGGAGTACAAGTTTCATGGGGATCACGAGACTCGATTTCCATCTGCCTCGTGACATGTATGCCAGGGTGATGGCGTTTTTGCAGAGATGACGGGTTTGTGCCAAAGTCTCAGGTCAGGTCAAGCTCGTGGGGTCCCCGTTCAAGCTTGGGAGCCAAGACGGCTTGGCCGAGTCACGCTGTCGCCAGGCCGGAGCGTCGCTTCCCCCGATCCGAGAAGTCGGAGGCACTGACCCGCAATGTTCTCGGTGAGCATGTCATTGACATGGTCTCTTTGGTGGGGCATAGCCACACTCTCATGAATTATTGCAGACAAGGCCATGTCTGGGATAGAACACTCAATCGAAAGCGTACTCGTCGTATCGGTCTATGCACCTCCACACTACCCTGGAGACATGACGACAGCATCTGCAGTCTGCACAGTGCGGACATAAATGCGGGGGATCGACGCAAGCCACAATCGCTCCGCCACTGGTTGCGAGGTCACGAGAGATACCACATCAGCTGAAGGGCATTGCGCACGCAGCATCAGGTCTACCAGAAAACGCAGTGCTCGCTTGCGATGCAAATGACGAGCCTTGTCCCGGATGTTTTATTGAGTACATTCAATGCGCATATACTCCCATAAGCGATTGCGACTTTCTCTCGCCATTAGCAGAAAGCAATGACGGCCAGGCAAGCGACCTCCTTCATTTTGGCATGAATATTATCTGCTCCTGGAGTGCGCAATTACCGCTGCATCAATTCAAGCTCAATGCGGTTATCTGTCATGGAAGAAGAGTCTCGTCGACTTCGGGTATGAGTTCGTTGCTTACAGAAGGGTAACAACTAGTCCTAGGATCCAGCATTTGATACAGGCTCTAGCCCAGAACATATCGTAGTATCTCGTTGTAGCAAGCAGCAAGACCTCAAGCAAGTCATAGGGAAGTAGAGGAGTCCTTACTGTCGACAGACGCAATTCGCACGTTCCTCGCCAACCAGCCAATGACGGCAGACCTTAACGCGTCGTCTCTTCCCCACCAAACGCGTCCTTCACCCACCTTCACCGCCCCTCCAAACAACTCAACTTCCACCCTCGCAAAATTATGTCAGACACCCCAATCCCCATCCACGAGCCGCCGTCTCTGCCATCGTCACCCCTCCCAAAGCGAACCAAAGTCATCGACCCCACTCCTCTCTACCACGCCTCCACTCTACCACGGGGAACAGACTCGGGCGCCGCTACACCCACACCCTTGGCAGCTTCACATCTCCCCAGCCACGACAACATGGCAGCACTACAACCTTCAGCGCCGGTTGGTGCGTCGTCATTAGCTAGTGCAGCGGCGGCGGAGCAACAATTGCAGGTACAACTGCTGAGTCCGAATGCCAAGGCGCCGACAAAGGGAAGCGCTTTCGCTGCTGGACACGATCTGTACAGTGCAGTCGAGATGGTTATTCCAGCGCGAGGGAGAGCATTGGTAGCGACGGATATCAAGATCTCGGTGCCGGATGGAACGTGTATGTATTCTATCTCATACTCCAATCATTGACAAGGCTGCTGCAGACCTTCTGCTAACGACCTTTCAAACAGATGGCAGAGTAGCACCCCGCTCCGGCCTCGCCTACAAACACGGCATCGACACTCTCGCCGGCGTAATCGACGCAGACTACCGCGGCCCCGTTGGCGTCATCCTCGCCAACCTATCCGAGAACGATTTCCCCGTCAAGATCGGCGACCGCATCGCCCAACTCATCGTCGAGCGCGTCGTCATGCCCAGCGTAGTTGTCGTCGACCAATTGGAAGACACAGTGAGGGGCGCTGGTGGTTTCGGCAGCACAGGAGGCTTTGGCGCGGCTACAACCGTAGCAACCCAGGCGGCGGAAACTGCGACAGAGGCTGCCGAGGTGGCAGAGGTAGCTGCAGATAGTGTAAAGGCTTAGGTTGCTGCGACCATTTTTGCTGTTAGCATTGCGAGTAATTCACGAGGGGAATACGCCGCGGATACCCAAGACCCCATGCTCGATACGGCCGCAGATGGTATACTGTCTCTCCTGGGTGAGGGGAACTGCGAAGGTATACACAGGGCATGGCTGAGGCAGATGGTTCTCCTGATTGTGGATATTGGCTACTCTAGCGATTCTAGGAAACTTGAAGAGCAAACGCTTGCTTTGTGGTCTGGGTTGGATAGCATCTTCGGCCGTTGATAGTGGCAACGAAATATTGATGATCTGGCATCCATAGAGCTCAACGTATAACGTCTACACAATCAAATATCATGAATCACCCGCGTCCTTCTTCTCTCCCTCTCCAACAACCTTGGCCTGCGTCCCTGACTGTAGCACCTGCATCGCCCCACCATCCTTCGTCCCAACGCCCAAATGCAGCACATTCAACTCATCCGGCTTCCTCTCCCCAACATTCGCAGGCACACTCTCTCCCTCGGATACCGCCCGTGGCCTGAACCGTTCAAGATCCGGCGGATCAATCATCTCCTTGACATACCGCGGAACCGTAACCTCACTCGCATTCATAAGCGCCAGATACCTTTTCTTGCTAATCTCTTCATCCGCTTCATCACCCTCACCACGGCCTTCCTTCGCAGCACGCGCATCATACGCAGCCATCTTCTCCTGACACGCAGACGTCGTGCGAGTCAGTATAGCTTGCATGGACGCAAGCACCTTCTGACATGCCTTCGCCAAGGGCAGTTCCTCCGCAGCCACATCATCGGGTGAGCGCCAGCTCGGTTTTGCGGAAAGATTGAAGTCAGGTGAGGAGGCATCGTGTACGGCTTCGATGAGGCGGGGGATTGTGAGCGCGGCGAACATATCTCCTGTTCCTGAGAAAAAGAGCGGGAGTTGCGGGGTGTCGATACGGAAGAGGCGGGGTTTGTAGTCGGAGGTTGCGGTTGAGCCGATGATTGTAAGGTTTTCGACTTCGTTCAGGTCGATTTGGGGGGCTTGTGATTGTGACCATGCTGAAGGGTGGGATGTTGATGCGTCGAGGTGCTGAGGGTCTGAGGGAGTATGCGTGCCAGTGCCGGCTTTTGACACTGGTCTCGAGGGTATAGTCTGGTTGTCGCGTGTCAAGCGTAGAGACGTTATGATTACATGGGGGACTTGGTAGGTCTTGTGGAGGACTTGGATGGCAGCTGCGAGGGACTTGAGATCGGTAATGGGTGTATCGGATAGTAGTCTGTGTCTCTGTCAGCAATTGTCGCGCGTCTGCGATATGGCCCCCAGAGGCACTCACTCGGCCTCGAACTGGTTCGGAAGTATGAGATCCGCCTCGCGCAACAGTCCCTTGTACTCCGGTACTTCATCTTCCGGAATATACAGCTTGCCATTGTCGCCCATGACCGGATCGAGTACTGTCTTTGTCAGTTCTGCCTTCTGACACCTCACATGTGAACCCACCCCAAAAGAAGCTGCCCGGTTTCGTGCCGGCATTGAACTTGATGTCTCTGCCAATCGTCCCTATCGTTTGTACGGCCTCGGCACTGGGCATGTATCCGGTCAAGAGCACGTCGAAGTTGGTAAGGTTCGCTTGCTGTAGCCCCTCGTAGAGTTCGAGGATTTCGCTAGCGGATGTCTTTGTGCCTTTGACTTGCTTGTACGCCGTGTGGTTGCCTGAGATGTTAGCTATGCGCCGGTCGACGGGAATGATCTACTTACTGTAGTGCACAGTATTGATCGCAGAGACGTCGCAACCTAGCGATTGCATGACAAAAGTGGCCATTTTGTTCCCAACATAGCTCAGCTCAATGTCAGTGTACTGCATCTACCGCGACAACACGCGACTCACCCATGGACCACCTATAGCATGTTAGCAAGAAATGATGTACCGCGCGTGAGTCTTACATGACTGGCAATCGCAAGCACGCGCGTGTCAGGTATCAGCGTGTCGGAAGCCATGTTGTATGATAGTAAGAAGTAGTCAAGTAAAGGAGGTGAAATAAAACGCGCAGACGGGGTACGTTGTTGATTTACTGTTGATCTCCTTATCTGAAATTCCGCGACATGACGTGAACCCGTTGGTGGGGCAGTAGCTTTCCTTTTGTGCCTAGGGCGCGGAACACACCACGCGGCACCGCGTTTTCGCCAATGTCGCACGCCAGAACCATGAGCTAACAGACGCTCGATGCATATCGAAGCCATTGCGCCGCAAATCCCCCACATCTATCCTGGAAACATGCCGCTTGTGTGTGAATGAAGTCATGATGCGTTTAGTCCTCGTCGCCAATCTGTTCATATTAGCAATGTGTTGGTGTCCTATGGGATAGATACATACCTTGGGTGCGAGGTAGAACCTCAGGTAGCTGGACTCAAAGGGGTATTCGACAAGCAAGGGAACCTCGCTAGATAGACAGAGCTTGACTGAATTTGACAGGCCACTCGCCTTGCAGAAGTTGATCAGGTACTTGAGAGAGAAAGTGAGTGAGACAGGTTCATTCATTTCAACCGAAACGTTCTCCTCTGGCTTCTCAACGTTGCTGGATGTCTTGAGGATGACGGAGCCAGAACCAATGTCGCCAGAGCATGCGAATTTGATTCCATCCTTGGTGCACTCAATCGAAACTGGAGCAAAGTTAGTTTGTTGCATGGTGTGCTGTCGCGCTGCTGCCTTTGGTTCGGGACGTACCTGACTCGGACAATGCGCCTAGGTCCCTGCAGATGCGCTGGAACTCAGCCGATGGCATCGTGACTGTTGCCGCGTAGTCCGTCTCAGGGATACCAAGATGTTCCTGGTCGATATCCATGAGCTTGATGTCATATTCGCTCAGCCTCGATGTGGTGCTGGATTCGAAGAGCAAGTTGACGACATCAGGCGAGTCCTCAGCCTTGATGGTAAGGGCGTCATCGTTTCCAGCGGCACGAAGCACCTTTGTAAGAGAACCGAGATTGATTCCGAGCGCGATGTTGCGGTCGCAGCGGAAGGGATCGAAGGCTTCCGATTTGAGCATCATGGAGACAAGGGCGACGTGCGAGTTGTCCATGGCCTGGAGCGCGATGCCCGAGTCATTGCAGTCGAAGTTGCAGTCCTGTACGAGGTCCTTGATGGCGTCGACGACCTGTTGCTGTCAGAATAGCTTTTGCTACGCTTCCCGCGCGAACGTACCTTCTTGAGGATTTGGGCCTGGGGTAGTTTTGCCTCGAGCACTGCAGACGGTTAACTTTGTTGGCCACATGTCAAAGAAGATACATACTGTTGACTGTAGATTGGGATTAAGAGAGTACGATAACGCTGACGGGGGTATACAAAGCGTGGTTGAGCAGGAGACAATTGCGGTAGAGGCAACAATCAATGGAGGGGAACGCGAAAGTGGTTGGCGAACGCGTCGGCCACGCGCTAACTCAGCACAGGGCATAAAGTACCGCCAAGACCATACCCTTCGTGCTTGACTGGTTCCAGATTGCTGTCGAAAGCATGGCTTTGCGATTGGGTACGATTTGCCCCTGACAATGATACGCCCATTGTTACTCGAGTGTCTGATACGGCAGTGTGCTTCTACTAAAAGGCTTGCAACATTTGAGAAGATGCGTAATCATATCAATCGGTTTAGAAATTATACATCGCGAATTGATGTATTCAGGTGGGTATCATGATGAGACAACGTGGAAACAACCCATCCTCGTCTTGAGAGCACTCGTCGCCCCTCCGATTACTGCTCGCTCACTCGACCAGCTGCGCTTACTGCACAGCCTCTGACCTGCCGCAGAGTGCTTCTTTCCATGGCCACATGCTTGTATCTCGTGCATCTGTCACTTGCGGCCGTGTCCACCACGCAAGCGTTGAAGCCCAGCGCTTCTCCAAGCCATCGATATTATACCATTCATGGTATCCAAATACCCTCATTCCGATTGTCCATTTACATCACAACATCCGGCTCTGCCTTTTCATGCTCTGACCAAGCCGTAGAACAGCGTCCAAGTAAGGACGAATCCACTCAAACCCCCAAACACATCGCCCAACCACAAATCACCCAGCGGCCGGTAGAAGTATGCGCCGGGCTTGCCATTTGTCTTGAGCGCAAATAGCAGCGCTGATACCACGAGCGACCCGAGGAGGTAGAATATGAAGCCTGTGTAAGACTCGAGGCCTAATGTGCCTGCGGCGACGCCGAAGAGTGATGCGGTGAGACTGCGGATGTTGGAGATGACCTGTGTGGAGCTTATGTTAGTCCAAGAAGGTTGAACAGGGAAGAAAACAAGATTGATGTCGCGCAATGATGGGGCTTGGTGGTGTGCGTACCTGGGTGTTGTGCTGTACGCTGCTTGCGACGATTGGGTGGATGGCGAGTTCTCGCTCTTCGTTTAGTGCCGATGCCGCCATTGTGTATGTGTTATCGCCTTGTCCGATCGGAACGTCAGACTCCGACTGGATGCTCCGGATGTATGTGTTCGGTCAAGAAACGGGTGATGAGTTCGGCCGTATGGTTGCTGCTTCGTCCGGAACGGCTCAGTGCAAGTTCGATTGTCACGGCGTGAATACACGCAGACGATGGAGACGTGTTCGAGGTATGTGGGTTGTTCGAAGCGTCTTGTAGATGCGCGCCGATGCTGTGCTGGCTGCTTGGGATAGTCGTTGTGCTGGCTGGACCTTCCGGCGGGAGTGGAGTTGAGTGGAGGATGGCCCGTGCCCGAACCCTTCTATCATCCATGGATGGGCCCGCGACACCAACGATCTCCGAACACCTGTCATATCACCTTAAATATGTTTGACAGCGCGGGTTATAGAATTTACATTCCGTTATAGATTTCTAGCTGGGTCTTTTTCAGCTATGCCTACTCATACATCGTCATAAAGAGGACCATATCCCTCGAGGTACCTTGACATGTCAGCCTAGTGCGCTGCTTTATCATACAGGCCAAGCGCTTACCGTTCCAAATGTGGAGCTAAGAAGTAATTCGGCATGTCTCTTGCGGCTCGCAAATATGCAATCGCATGCTGAAAATATCGACTGTTGGCTCTGGGTGATGTGACATTTCCCAGACTCAAGAACGATTCGGCAGCCTGGGCAAAGTTAGCGAGAGAACGTATCAACTGTGGCTTAACTTATTGTAGACAGAAGGAGACCCGTAACAACTCCCTGTTCGGTCGCTACGTATACTGCGCGTTGGAGATAGTCGGTAGCTGGCAATAACAGTCCTCTGGCTTCGACATAATCTGGCTCACGCAGTCGTTCTTCAGCTTCGACCGAGGACCTTGATGAGCTTGTATCGCTGCTCAAAGACATCCTCTGCGCTTGGGAAATGCTCGAAAGAGCCCTCTGCGCTCGCAGTAACCAGTTGCGGCCAATCACTGCAGCAGTCAGCATTGCCTGATGTCATCTGGACGGACTCACGAGTTAGGATCTCGACGTCGTCTGGGTATATTTGTAGTAGGACCAATGACTGACGCAGGCACCAGTCTGCTAAGTCTTTGACAGCACCAGTATCAGCATCGACAAAAGCCACGCGCTGGAAGACGCTGATGAGAGGTACCTGCCAATGCCTGCGTGCTTCGTCGGGAGCTGTATCGTTTACCTCGAAGGAAAAAGTAATGTTTTGAATGGCTGGCAGTTGGTCATGCCACGAATCAGGTGATCTATCAAGATTGGTATTGATCAGGTCCACAGTAGTCAGTAAGCTTTCGATCATACTGTTGTCCATGCTGACAAGAAGATGATCAAGGCTAGGTGGGGAAAGCAATGAGGAAATGCTACACATAATCGTGACAAAGACGATACATAAAGTATAAAGTCAAGATGGATCGCTTGCAGAGACAGCCTGCTTGACAATCTGTGGCGTTTTGTTACCCTGTCACTGTATGACTCTCCAGAGGCGCAGCCTTGTTCTTGATATCCGGATACACTGGAAGACGAATGGGAGTTGCCGAACGTCGTTCGTCATTGCATCGTGTAGGTGTAGTGTAAGCTGACCGATTAGTCTGCAATTCAGTCACATACTCGGACAAATCTTTGCATCAAGCACATGAGCCGAAACAGGACTATGCCGCGACAGTTTCATGCTCATGGCCACAGCAGTTGTATCCGGCCAAGGAGGCAGTGGCGGCGAGCAGTTAAGGGTGATGCTTAGGTGAATCTGGGATTTGGTCGATTCATCATGTTTAGCACATTACCTGCGGTCTCGTTCCGCCTGCAACATGGAAAGTACCCACGGGAGGCGATACACCAGGCCGCCGTTTGGTGCTTTGTAAGCTTGAGGCTCACGTTTCCATTAGCTCCCGAGGTCAGCACGGAGAATTTTGATGCGACCTGGAGGTTGCTTTTGCGGGATCTGCAAGCCACATGCTTTTGGAGATGCGATGCTGCAGGTACGTCATTGATAGCGTTATCGATTATCCATGGACAGAAACGGCCGTTTCTTTGGTTGTACCAAACATTACAGAATGCTCAGGTACCCAGGCAACGCTGCACCGATAAAGCATAATGCGGGTAAAGTTTATACTGGAGGCCAATTCAAGCGGTACTCGCTTCTTCGTGCATGGCGATGTTATTGTTGAAATGGAAGGCCGAGTGCATCGCAGCAACTGCGCGATTGGTGTTCCGCCGGTGCCAATACAATGCGGCGGAGATGGGTATGGACAGATTAGTCCGGAGCATCAGTGCGACGGCTAGGATGGCATGTCGGAGGACGTGCGGCTGACTCGCAGCCTCGATATCGGAGAGCGAGTTGAGCGAAGTAATGGTTAAGAATGCCGTTAGATGAGTCGATGTTGGTGTGTAGCCAGATGTTAGCAGGGGAACGACGATGCACAGCATGGACAGGCACATGACATGCTCGTCATCCGTACGTCGGCCTCGAGGACAGAGCAGGCGCGTATGCAAGGAACCAGGGGCATGTTTGTCGAGGGATGCGTAAACGAGCGAACGTTCCCCATGATTGTTTCACACCAATCACGAGTTCATTTCCGGACCCTGACCTATACCACTATTACTACTCGAACCACTCACACTCACCTACACCTCGCATGTGTCTCCCACGCTCCTTTACTGCCACCAGACACGTCGTTACCCGTTGACAGCGCCCACGATTGGATCCCACGCACAACACGCGCCGGCCCCTGCAGCAGCCATCCCCGCCATTTCGATATCACGGGCACCTTCCCTCCCTAGCCTAGAGCACCCGCAGTCATCACAGGCGTTGGAGCGGGAACCTACAACAACACACGAAATCGCACCATGCGGCGGTAGCGACATGGAGAATATCATATCCGACGGCTCGCCTCTTGCGCAGTTACTTGAAGGTGCGACCCGCAGCACCACGACGATGACGATATTACGCATACTAACCGCCGTGGCTTAGGTCAAGGTACTGGGTCACCCGACAACTCCCCATCCCAATCCCCATCGCAGTCCGCCTTCCCGCAGAGTTTCGCGCCCCGGGGCCCTTCGACGCTGCAATCGCGGATACGAGACAGGCTCCCACAGCCACTGCGCATCCACGCCCGCCATGGCTCCATCGCCCGCATACACACGGCATGTTCGGTACGACTGCGACATCCCCCCGGCAACATCTGGATGCTTATTAACATGACTTAGAAAGCCGTCAACTCTCGCATTGGGCGCGCCGACAACGAGCGCTTTCTGGAGCAGTTCCGCTACCTCATCGTCGCTTCCCAGCTCCTCGGCGAGCAGGGAGGCCTTCGCGCATCCGCCATTCCCAGCTTCGCGGCCAACGGACGCCCCGGCCCTCACGAATTCAAGGTCGCAGCAATAAACCCCGTCGGTGCGGCTTTCATTGGCACGGCGACCTTCATACTGGCATGGCTGGTCCACTGGTCGCGACGCCAGCCTGCGTTCAGCAAGAGTAGGACCCTGCTGGTCATTCTGGTTTTCGCTGCCATTGCTACGGCCGGCTACACGTACCTGCGACGGCAATGGCTGCAATACCTGAGGCAGGAGGCAGTCAAGGGCGCGGCTGACCTGGTTGCAAACCTGCAGGCGTTCGAAGCCTCGACATCATCTGCCCTTGCATTGATCCAGGAAGTCGAGCTCGTCTCTCGCGGCTATCGATTGTAGGTCACCAATCAACCAAACTCCGTGGTACTCGTACTAACACCGCGCAGGAGCAGCCCTTTGCCGCCCATCTCGCGCATCGAAGAGAAAGGACAGGCCCGCCGTTGCCAGCGACTGCGTCGGAACCTCCGCGCTGCATATGCCGACATTGTCCCCATTCTCGCCGAACAGTGCCGCAGTCTGAAGCAATTGATACAAGAAGATGATTTGGAAAAGTACCTCGACGTGTACGAAATCAGCAATCCGGACATGCAGGAAGCCGCTTTGAGCTACAGCGAATCCGAATTCGATGATGCCGAAACGTTGAAAGCGCTGCGCATTCTCCAATATCGATTGTCTATTCTCCGACGAGTGTACCTGTGCTCCCTTCTTGCTATGGAGGCAGACGGCGGCAAGCCTGACTTTGCGCGATGGTCGACAGTCGTGGACTCTATGCTAAACACGGCTCGTCCTGTTGGAGAATGGAGCGAGAAGTTCAATCGCGTGCTCGCCGAGGAAGAGCAGTTCGTACTACCATCGCCCGCCAAAGCTGCACCCACGCCTGGCCGAGAAAAGATACGCAATTCCGTGCGCAAACTATCAGGCTTGTCGAGCGGTATTCGAGGCTTGCAAGCCAAGATGCAGGTACTCCGCGAAGAGACCAACAAAAGCTTAGAGGACACGGAGGATGTAACCGATCTCGGCCACTCTCTCCTAGTGCAATACGACTCCATTGGCGCAGACCTCAAGAGTTTGGTACAAGCTTGGGAAGCCGGCAAGAACGCACTGGCTCTAAATATCGATCGCCATGAACGCAGGATCTCGCAAGCATCAAGTGGACTACGCTCGCCAGTTCCAAGCCTAGGCGGCCTGACTGCTGTAGATGAAGGCAGTCCGTCTGATGCTCTGCGCGCCCTTAATGGTGACTTGCTGAGTCCCCATCAGAGTGCTCCGTCGAGCGATCAAGGCAGCAATTCCGACGACGAAGTGTTCGAAGCTATTGCTATACCCAAGACACGAGCCACTATGTCGAGAGAAGAGCGGATGCAGAAGATCCAAGAGGACCGCGTTCGGCAAGCCTCGCTACGTGAGCAGCGAGATGCGAGCACCAACATGCTGAGAGAGTTAGAGTCTGTCATCAATCTCAGACCACATCGAGTCTCAGCGCCCCCGGCCGGCGCTCAAATTACGAGCCTTTGAAGCACCTTTTCCTTCTGTTTACACGTTCAAACTAACGACGGTCGTTAGATGCCGCCTTTCTTTCGCTTGCTTTACTTCTTGGCGCGCATTGGGTCTCAATTTGATTTTGGGCATTTACGCTATACCACTGCCGCGGTCGCATTTACTTTCCTACACATGTCTTGGAGTCGAAGGCTTAATGTCTATAACGCATACCTCGTGGTCAGAACATCCACACAGAATAGTAATGACAAATATCAATACCACCAAAGCGAACCACAGTCGGGGTGCTCACAACGCCATGTCGTCTATTCGGCACTTGAAATTTCTGGGCCATGGCGTGTCGACGTGGCTGACGGGTGTTGGCCGCGGAAAATTGACCATCCCTGGACCTCACGGTAGCGAGATGCGGCTATTGGCAAGCTATAGTATACACCTTTTGGGACAACTTGCATATGCGAGGGCTTGCGGAATCTCTTCATGCACTCAATACGTATTGTATTGACGTCAGGTACGTGGTACTGTATGACGATGCGAGACGCTGTCCCTTGCTCTTGCGCAAATGGCGCTCATCTTGGTCCGATCTTAATCCACCAACATGGGATGCAAGACGGATGACCCCAGCAGTTGAGAGCGTGGTTTATCCGTGCGCAGAGTCGAATGGACAATGTACCACTACCGGGTCGAATACTATGAGATGCTTCGGATGCTAGTTGCAAGAATGCCCGTGACGTTCCGCTTTGGGGGTGATGAGGAACAGCTGAAACTGGGTTCACGATCGACTGCGACCGATGGACTAACCGCTCTTGCCTAAGACGACCGGGTGATCCTTCCCGTTGGGCTGCCCAACGACTCAGTGCCCCTGCCATGAATCTCAGACGCCGTTCCTGCAACCCTGGGAACCATCGTCACTTCACCCATCGCTTCACGCCAGTCATGGTGGGCCCCATCTTGAGTCTGTCATATTCAACCATTGTTCTATAACTCTTGCGGATGACCAACGCCCGACATGAGTGCCTTTTCCCGGACCGCGGCGGAAAGCGCAGCTGAACACACTGATCTTTATCGATTATGTAGACCGTATGATCGCTCTTTCCGTCATCAACACCGACATCTGCATGCAACAAACCCTCCAAGACATTGTCGATATGACACGAGAATTCAGGGTTGACAGATGAAAACACGAAAGAAACGGATGATGGAAGAGCCACGACCGGCGAGCATACAAAATGTCTTCTTCCAGAATGGCTGTATCGGGCTGACCTGACCCACCACACAGACGACACCGCCAGCAACCCGTTCAGTCTCCATCCTCATCAATCACGCCATCGGCCCTCGGCACAGGTGGTGGCGCACCATGTCGTCTTCGCATATGCACTCTCAACCCATCCGAACGGGCATACTGTCTTCCGCATCCGTCGATGGGGCATGGATAACGAACTTTAGCCCGACTAGATCCTGGGCAAGCCTGGGTCTTGAGGTGGCGCGTCAGGTTTCCCAACGCATGTACACCTGTCAGAACGGTGCCGCAGCGATACGGGCAGGGTACGCTATACTCGGCGTCGATGTGGGATCCCTCAGGGACCTGTACCGGCGGCATCGGGTACATGGCAGTAGGAGGAGATGCCGGAGCTACGTAAGGATATGTTGGGCCCTGGCTTCACAGCAATATCAGCATAAGCGAACGACCTTTGAGGAGACCACATACTAGTTACCAGTCATGGAGGTCGACAAAGGCGCATGGGTCGTTCCCATGTCATGATACCCTTGATGCGTATCGTGTCCTATTGGTGGATAGGTACTCACGTAGCTATTACTAAGTCAGCGGGCGGGCGACATTGGTCGTTTTCCAGACACATACCGGTGCCCACCAGGGAAGGTGTTCTGTGGTGCGTACTCGAATTGCGCTATGGGACTACTCTGCGAAGCGCTTACTGCGTCAGTATATCTTTGATATGCATTACTCTCGACAGTATTGTGTCCTGGCGATAGAGGTTGTTGATAACCACTATTCGGATAATAGATCCCATAAGGCTGAGAACATCCGCCGAGTCCGGATGAAGGTGCGGTTACTCTCAAAGTCTGCTCAGCTCCAGTATCGCAAACTACTGTCGCTGGGAACGGGGCTCTTCTTCTATACCCATCGCTTCGCTGCGACCACGAGCCCTCGTCGCCACCCTGCGTCTGGTCGTACGCCATGCGGCCAAAGCTATCCAACAACGTCCTGGTCCAAGGTGGAGCAAGGTTTGGCCACGAAGAGATTTGAAAAGGGATGATCTTTTCAGGAGAACGATTCTGACGACGCCCATGAGATGACGCAGAATTTGTCCGAAGGCTTTCAAATTTCACTGAGTCCAGCGAAGCACCTCCGTGCGCTATGTCTCCGTCAGTTTTATCACACTTCAGCCAAAGTCTACCCTACAAAAAACCAGTCTTACGAACCAGAGCCTTCCAGATCCAAACAAACACAATGAACGCAGGAGCGATTTCGTTAGTGACCTGGGGTCCGCACAGTGTTTATGCCGCTATCCGTATCGAACGGCGACCGATTCGATTGGGGAGGAAGGCGCGCTGGAGCCGATGGAGGACCCTGAGCTGAGACACGACGGTCGGCAAAGTCGATGCCAGGGCATGTCGCGCCTCACCGCGTGTTCGAGTGTCGAACCGGAACGCGGATCAGCCCTGTCGACGTATCTGTGTCTCAACTTAAACGGCAAGGGATTGTGCGACATTCGTTAGTTGACAATACACCAATCAGATACGCAACAGTAGCACTAGATGCGGCACAGCACATGACACCTGTTGGTCTTTATGCGATGGGCTTTGCCGCTCAATGTGTACTACGGCTGCGGCTGCTGCAGCGGGACGCTTATCCTCGAAGACCACCCCAAGAAGAAGGCAAACATACCAGGAAAGGCACATACGTTTATTTCCTGCCGGGGTACCCTGATGCCATGTGCGCGCATGGTCATTCATATCTGAATACCAGGTGTAGACCATCGGTTTCCCGCCACTAAGGCTCAAAGCGCATTGAAAAGGCCAATGCTCATACGAGTCTAACCGACAATCATATCCAGCTGTACTCTAGAACTTGTATGTTCGTCTTGGCATCTTCTTGACTGGATAGCCGTAATGGGCTGTCAGACTAGTTCAAGATCTGATGGTCATATTGCGGGTATAGGCAACAAGAGCCAGGATGGGCAGAACGGACGAGTATAATGTACGTTCTAGCCTCGGTCGCCTATGCCTGCTTCCTGCGCGTCTTACTCGCAGCGGCACTGTGACGAATACCAAGCCGCGTGGCGTTTCGCCAACATCTGGTGTCTATCAAGGGCTCTCCTGATCAGGCACGCATGTTTCGACATCAAGGACGGTCTTTTCGAAAAACAGAGTGGGCTGACGGAACGGCTCGTGACCGGCGCAGCACCGGCTATTAGTGGAACGCGTTCTCGCACAATCGTGCCTAACCGATCAGCACGACCGGCCCGAGACCCTTCTCATTCGCAGGGAGCAACTTCCCGCATGATGAAGCATATTTCCATTCACTGTCTGTCGGCAAAGGCGTCACTTCGAGCTACAGCAGGCGACTACAGATTTGTAGTCATATGCTTACATTCGCTGTCCCAGTAGGGTCGCTACTAAGACACAAGGAACTGCGAGGACCCGGGAAAGGAGGAACGAGAGGGGAGCCTTTCTGAGAAACAGTCAACCCATTGAAACAGTCTCTTTCACTGCCGCCGCGCACGGTATACCCGGCTGCCTGGCTCCATAGTAATGGATGCGACCCAGGCCTGCGGAACAAAGAAACCCACCGCGCTCTACCATACACCAACATTTAGATTTACCGTATTACTCGGGCGATGACGAAGATGGCTGCATAGCCACACGATCCGCGGCAAACAAGGTTTGGGAAGCGGGAGCGTACATACACCTAAGGCTTAGGTCGAAGAATGTATGACGGCCCGAATCACATCTCGTCGCACTTCGTATCACCACTACGTGCAGCTGTTCAACAAAGCGGCACTATAGTGAACAAGTTTCTTACTACATAGTGCGATATGTGCATGTATACTCTGCGTGCACTGATTGACACTGGTTGAAAGGATTACACACGCGAGTAGTAGCAACATGGCTGCATTGCTCTTGGCCTTTCTCCGATGGTTCTCACCTACCAAAATAGCCCCCACATTCGAGGTCCATAACCTGCGATAAATTATGTCGGGGTGCGCATGCAAAGGACCTCGCGCAAGAAAAAGCGGTGAAGCCGTGCTATCGTGGACATGCAAGTTTGCCTTCTCTGCAAGCTGCACCGGCTGAGACCCTCCTCAAATGCAGCGCCTGCGAATCTCGAATGTTTGAAGATGGCTCCTCAACCGGCCATGCTCACCGATCAAGTCGTCGAAGCTGTCAATGCGTCGGAGCATTTGGCGGCCTTCTGGCCCGGGGCTGCGCCCTCGCCACATTGGGCAGTAAATTCATAAGAAGACTCATCATCCATGCACGCAACGTGATGCATTGCATGTAGAGCTCGAGGCGAATATCAGCAAACTTGCAAACCACGACACTCTAGAGCAGCTCGTAGCACGCTGCGAGATGAATAAGGAGCCTGGCACATGCTGTCCGACAATAAGCATACGTCATCACACTGCTCTCGATGGCTGCTTAAGCCTCTCTGCAGTGCCAGCATGAGACGATGTCAGTCTTCGCTAATTGTATGAGTAAATCCAGTTCGAAGAGTCGATAACGTGCTGCGAGACTAGTTGTATGTCCACTATCGAGGTTATTGGCATGCATTCTTGTAAACTATGATATCACAACCCCAGGGAAGACCTTCTTACACGACATTTGTATCAGGTTATGTAAAGTGCGCCGGTCGTACCATCGGTCGACAATCAAGAGGTAACGTTACGCTAACTTTATTCTAACAACATGAGACTACAAGGTGGTAGTACACATGACGGACGATCCTATGGAGTCTATGAACACTCATACTCGGTACATCAACTCTAATACGCAAGACTGGATGGAAGTCAAAATAATGCCTGAAAACACCACCTGTGAAGTCCTTAACATATCCGACGATAACGCCGATGAAGTATGCAAAGCAGGCACATCGCGTCTTCGATCTACTCTTCTCTCTTCCGCTTCTTCGCAGGCGGCGTGTTGAGTTCTGGATGGCTTCGCCTGAGGTGGACGAGCAGTGCATCTTCTCTTCCAAACGTCGACGTGCATCCTGGTTGCCCGCAACGGATATGCCTTTCACTCCTGGACTCAGCGCATGTGCCGTGCTTTTCCATGTGGCGGTTCAGGTTTCTCTGGGCGTACTGGCCAGTAAACGGGGGTTTGTCTACGCACACTGAACAGCGTAGACTTGTCTTCTTTCTGTGTACGAGTCAGTATCGTATATCGCCGAAGTGTAATGGACCGCTTACTTGACAGCTTTTGGTCGGGCAGACTCGTGCCCGTTGCGATAGTCGGAAGCTGAAGGCCCAGCGCAATCTTTCGCTGAGCTTGATCCTCCAACTGAGTCGTATGACTCTTCAGTCGGGGTTGCGGTAAGCTCGAAAGGAATGTTAGTAGATTGTCTGAATGGCAGAGACGCCGGGTAGGCATATTGCACAGCTTCACATATGGACGGCGGCCAGAGGTCGAAAGCGTAACATCCTGATCGCAATGAGTCGGAGTAGTAGTTGTGTCCAAGCGTTTGCTCGTTAGGGACGCCTGGATGGTCGTACGTCTCGTTTCGGTAGTACTCGCTCCGGTAGTACTCGTTTGGACCATTCTGCGTCTGCTTTAGCATGATCATTACCATGATGAGTTTTGCGTCGCTTTACTAACCATACCGCCCATATTGATAGAGCGTCTGTGAGGTTGGTCTCCCCGTACAGGCATCATGGCCGCATCGTAGGCCTGATCTACCTAGCAAACGTTCCAAGCTCCGCAGGGAAGGTTAGAGTACAAAAGATGAGGCGTGCTGTTGTAAGTACATCCAAACCCTGGAAGTCGGCCAGCCAACGATTTTTAACCAGTCACATCAGGACCGCCGGACTAATTGTTGAGAGGGCACGAAGAGCCGCTGGCGTCAAGCAGAGATTTTGGGCACGACAGCGCATCCTACCTGCCTTGCGTCGTGGACAACGCATCGCCATGGGAATTATGAGGCGAGTGATGTGGTTGAAACGTTGCTGTTGGAACGGTTGCCGGTCGCCCTAAGCTGACGGCAATGGCTGCCCTGTCTTGACGATGACCTGGCGACTGGTTGCCTTCTTTTTTCACCGGTCCTGCGACATGCATGGACGAATGATCGCCTCTTCTGAGCATGGTGGGCGGCACTGATGCTGGCATGGCCGACTCGAAAGGGCGGCCTCAGGAAGCAATGTCGATTTTTCTTGGCGCAGGCTATGTGTTAGCAAGTCCGACGTGTCCTAAGAAGACCTGACGTCGTCCTGGAGGTCAGGGATGACCCTAGAATGTCTGCCTTCTCTTCTACTTCGAGTCCACGTCGCCCGAGTGCAGGAAACGCTGTCAGTCCTGCAAGGCATACTAGAGCGATCTCGGTCATTCTACCCATGTTTGTACTCCAGTCAGCGAATAGACATGTCGTAATACCAGCACAGGAGGCATGGATAATGGCGGACACCCCAGCGCCTGACAGCTCTTCGACCGTGGCTGAGTGGATGGTAATCGACAAATTGTGGCGGTACGACAGCACTTCGTTGCGCAAAGAAAGCGTGCCCCACAGGGCACAATGCATGCGAGACGGGAGCTAACATGAACCAGATTGCGCGAAGATGCGCCATCTTGATATACGATTCGACACTGTTGGGCATCATTCTCATCAAGTCTGCGTCGCCCAAACAGTGAAGCGGACTATGCACATTCGCAGATGTGAAGCTTTGCTATTCCTCCGCTGCAGATGGAGGGCGACCCGTGAGGCCTGCTACGTCACCAAAGACGAGGCGGGGTGGTCAGCCTGATGCGAGTATACCACTGTGGGAGTGCCACGTCTGTTTGAGGGCGGGAACTGGGAGCCTGACACGTAGATCACTTCATGCATCGTCTGTGTGCTTCGATGTTTAGAGTTCAAGGTGACTGACGTGGTTGTTCTGCCTGCTTGGCTTGTTGGCGTCAGTGACGATGGTGATTGCGGCTGTGCTTGGTGGTGGCGCTGATGCCTGCTCATGCAAGATCATGCAGTTTGTGGCGTAGAGAGACTGTACACCATACCTCTAGGCAGACACAGGCTTCGTTAGTATGGAAGTCATTTCGACAAGGTGTTACATGCGCAGCTGATAAGCCTGGTATGAGTTCATTATGTGTTTCATTAATTATCGACAACGACAACCGCATTAATCATCCGTACCTTACAACACAGCCCTCACCTCTCCATTACCTCTTGCCCCAGCCCTCGTATCTCTCTCAAAGTCTTTCCACTTCTTCTCAACATCATCTTCACAGACATACGTGATAAGCCAGCTACCTACACCACCCCATCTCCATGCTAGAGGGTCATCACCAACCTTCAGTCCCTTTTCCTCATATTGTTCCTTGGTTATTCTCCCCTTACCATTGAACTCGCCAAAAGCGCGGAGCGTACTATCGCGTTCTTCCTGGATCGGACCATCGTGAACATGATAGAGATATTGCTGACGGTTACCACGCGAAACGACGCGTTCCGTACGCTCACGTCGACAACGTTCGTATACTGTTAATGCACGCTTCTTTTCTGCCGTGGATTTGCTCTTGATCTTACCCAAGCACAGGCCGAGAACATGTCCATCCTCCAAAGACATACCAGCACCCGACGCGAGGTAAGGAAGAGTGGCATGTGCAGCGTCGCCAAGTATAGTATACGCGCCAGTTTCATGAGACCAGGTAGGATCAAGACCAGGCCGAATCATCAGCCGCCACTTGGCCACCTCCTGGCAGAGTGCGAGCAACTTAGGTATCCGCGGATCCCAGTCTTTGTACAGGGCACGCATCTCTTCAACGTTTCCGGCCAATGTATTCGCGCCGGCGGGCATATCATCTGGCACTAAGAGGACCATGTTGAAGAGCTTGCCACCACGAAGCACGTAGTTAACGGCATGGGCATCTGGGCCTATCCAGTAGTTGACCTGCGGGTCTTCCACGAAACCTCTGAGTTCAGGGTCTTTCATCATGTCTTCAGTATTGAGCAACAGCCGGTAAGCCAGGTCGCCAGTGAGCAGTGGTGGATCTTCATGGCCTAGCAGTATCTCTCTGCACTTCGAGTTGATGCCGTCGGCGCCAACCACCAGATCGGCTTTGTGTCTTGTCCCGTCCTGACACACGGCGATGGCTCTTGTGGCGTTGTTCTCCACATCGGCCTCGTACTCAACATCTACTACACGCGCCTTTGTTGTGAGCTTCGCGCCAAGCTCTACCGCCCTTTCCAGCAGTCCCATGTGTAGGTTTGCCCTGTGAAAGTCCCAGAATGGTGTGCCGCATTCCTTTTCGTATTCGTGGAAGTCCATGTCGCTTATCTTGTTGCCTTTCCAACCGATCATGTTGCACAGCCGCGGCGAGGTAGCGTGTTTCGAGAGGTATTCTTCTAGACCCCAGGATATGAGGACGCGTGAGGAGTTGGGTAGGCATTGTATGCCAGCGCCGATTTCACCGATCTCCGAAGTAGACTCGAGGATGTGTACATTGTGGCCGGCGAGTAGGATCGATATGGCAGCCCCGAGACCACCTAGACCAGCGCCTACGATTATGACCTAGCCATCCACATTAGCTGTAATTCTCCAAGAATGTTAGAGGAATCTTACATCGAGCTTGCTGGACTCGTCTCTACGCTGCTTCTGGATAACCTGCGGTTTCACACCAACCATGATGTCACAAGAATAGTGATCTCAACGAAAGAAACTAAGCTTTGTACTGGATGACCAAGGAAAAAGCAAATGCCAGCGTCACACTTGTATCGCTCATCAAGTATGTAAACACATCAAGCACGCATTCCTACTCAGACCGTGATTGAACATGGCCATGCTCACCCACCTATCGCGATTGACACGCGTGACAGCTAGTTAGCTGGCAATCACTGGACCGATGCGGGAGGTCAAGTCAGTGGCGCTTATCGAGCTAGTCCAGCGTCCGAGGACCTGGTGCAGTGGAGGTTCAGAATGGGGGAACCCTCGATTGGTGGGTATGAAGGTGTAATCGCATCTACGGATGGGCGTTTGATGCATTTGCGCAAGAGTGGGGGGAACGTGATGGTGGGAACATGGCTGGCGTGAGGGGTATGCAGTAACGCGGTGGCCATAGCTCCAAGCTGCGGAATCGGTTTCCGATCATTCCGAAATAGGCCCGCGCGGATGGGTATCCTATTCACAAACATGTAGACGGCAAACATCAAGGTTAATGAAGTTTCGCACGATTATGGAATTGATTTAGCAATAGCACTATCTGGTAACTACTCTGGCATAGGACCATCGTAATCGAGCAGAGAGTACGCCTTCCCTTGCTTCTGCAACTTCAGGATTTCTCCACGCGGCGACGGCATCATCGCGTTCTCGGGTACCTTGTTGTTCTTCTTGAAGTCGTCCGCCATCTGTTCCATGGTCACCCACTCCACGCCTTCGTGTTTATTAATATGTTCGATTATCCTATTACCTCATTAATGAATTTGTTCACATCCTACGTTCTCTTTGGACGTACCTTTCATGCATGAGCACAACATGCGGCCTCCCACTGACGTCTGGATGTATTGTCATCGGGAAGACAAATTCGTCGTACTCACGATAGAAGTAATCGAAGTGGTCCATCCAAATCTGTTCCACGTCTCTCGGATTGACCCATCCGTGGCTGTTCGCGCTCTTCTTCATGAACATCATTGGCGGCAGGTCGTCGATATACCAACTGCCTGGTATCTCTACAAGACCCGTTTCTTTCCCCTTGGTAAGAGGCTTCATCCATTCTGTCGCCTTCTTGGTGTAGTCGATCTTTGTCCACTCATCGCCCGTGCGCAGCCAATAGCAGCGGTGGTCTTCGTGCGACATGGAGTGGTCGTATTCGATGCCATAGCTGAGCAGGAGCTCGGTACCCTCTTTAGAAGTCTCCCACCAGGGTGCGACGGAACCTCGCGGAGGCTTGCCATTGCAGAAAGTAGTGAGTTGCTTGTAGGTCTTGTCGAGAACATCGCGTTGCTGCTCAAAGGTCATGTCGGCGGGGTTCTCGTGCGAGTAGCCGTGTAGCCCGATTTCGTGCCCTGCATCGCGTACGGCAGCGCAGTCTTCGGGGAAGGTGTCGAGAGAGTGGCCAGGCTATGAACTGTCAGGGCAGCAACCAGGAATTCGGGAAGCTTTGGAGCTTACGATGAACCATGTTGCCTTGATTCCGTACTTGTCGAAAAGCTTCAGCAGGCGCTGAGTCCCTATTGTTCCAGCCCAGAGACCTGCGACGTGTAAGCAGGGGCCTGATATCTCGTGCTAGGAAAGATACTGACCCCGACTAATGTCACTCGTGGAGTCTTCACCTCCATACGAACCAAGCCAGCCCGCAACAGCCTAGAATCGCCCAGTTAGTATGTGCAAGAATTTGCTGCTCACAAGAAGTCTTACATCGATGTCAACCCCATAGCTCACGAGAACCTTCTTCTTTCCCATTGTGTATGGTATTCCAGACGCGACAATGCTGCAGTATAGTGGAGGTTGACGCGATTATACTGACAAGCGAAATTGGAGTGAGATTTACTGCAAACGCGCAGCAAGAGCGACGGTCGCATAGCTCATGATAGCATGCGTAGCTACCCCGCTTATTCTTCGTACCGCCAATGCTGGGTAGCCCATCTGGTGGAGCTGATTGCTCGATCGGAAGGTGGGGTGATGCTATGATTCATCGTACCTGCCGACGGCTGCTACTGAGCTTATCAACGCGTGCTCGCGTGTACACGTGCATTAGCGTTCATCCTCCAAGTTTGCATTTTTGAAAAGCAACACATCCAAGGCAGACGATTGGAACGCGAATTTGGACGAATTACACGAGCAAGATAGATTGGCGATGGCAGAGACCTGCCCTAGACCTGCTTCTTCAATAGGCTGTCGATAGCCGTGGCCGCACCCAATGCCTTCTCCTCCTGTAATCTTCGAGCAACGATTTGTATACCTATCGGCATACCATCCATCGTGTCCAAATCAAACGTCTTCCAGTTCCATTCGTCTAGTGTGTTCCTGGGCTCGTACTCGCCCATATTCTTCGCGGCCTCACTATCAAGCTGTTTCGAAACTTCACCAGCTGGCAGGACTACTGCCGGGTAGTCGACAAAGTTGAAGACTTTGGTGTATCCGACCCACCTGCACTTCCTATGAGGTACAGCAGAGTGAGGCATGACAGGTGTGAGGAGAACATCAATTGGGTTGCCAGAGCTGGGAGATTTTGTCGAGTTCCAAAGGTCGAGGTAGCGCTTCTGTAGCTCAAGCTTCTTCTTGTTCAGCTGCCAGTAGTCGTAGACGGAGATGGCCTTTCCCCGATTGACGAGGGCTTCTACGTGCGGAATGAATGGTTCTCCACCCGCCGCAACATCTCGCCGGATGTCTTCACCACCGTCTGCTGTGTAATACTGATCCTGACTCTGATCAGCTCAGAACGTAGAACCTGTTTCGCGCACTTACCATGATATCGATACATTCTTGATGAAGAGTGCCCGGGGTCCATGTTATTACCTCATGTCCAGCCTTCTGAAGCTTTACAGCGACTTCATCTAAAACGCGGGTGATGGGCGGATGACATCTCACAACTTCATCATCACGCATGATAGCAACTACCAGCGGTCGCGTACGCGCATCTTCGAAAGCTTCAGATCGCCATGGTACCGGGCAGCACTTCGGGTCCTGTTCCCAAGGCTTTGCATCAATCACGGCTTTGGTGACTGCCGTAAGCGAACTCATGTTTCGTGTCATCGGTCCAATGACCGAGGGAACGTGCTCTTGGCCGTCGGTTGATACGGATACACCTTGATATGGAAGACGAGTGCTGCTGGGCTTGAGTGCGTATAAACCGTTCATATGTGAAGGTATTCGTACGCTGCCTCCAATGTCAGTGCCCCATCCGACCACAGCACCTTGAAGCGAGAGAAGCGTAGCCTCTCCGCCAGTCGAGCCACCAGGCGTGAAACCGGTGTTCTTTGGATGGGTGGTGAGGCCCCATAACGGGTTGTCGGTTTCGCACCACTGGCAGACATCAGCATCGCCTTACCATACGCGAAAGCTCATCGCAGGACGTACCATGATGCTCTGTGGTAGGTTGGACTTGGCAACAATGATAGCGCCCATCTCCTTCAACAGCGATACCAGTACGCAGTCTTGCTGGGCAGGTTTGAAGGCGCGCCCAACATAACCAAGCGTACTATCGTAGCCGTTGACATCGAACTGGTCCTTGAGAGTCATGGGTACCCCATGAAGGGGCCCTAACAATTGAGCAGTGTTTTCAAAGTGATCGTCCAACGCTTTGGCTTGCTTGATGGCATCGTCAAAGATGATCTCGGTAAGGCTACGTAGATCAGCAAGTGCTTGCGGGAGGGCTATTAGTCGGGCACGTGCCAGTTCGTCTTGAGAGATGTCAGCAATTTCCGAGGTTACAGCATAGAATACTGTGGTGGGGTCGTACTCGTCTGTGGGCGTCTATGGCGCTGGAAGAAGTGGCGTGAGAATGGTACGATGCAAGAGCGAGCCGTGGACCTCACCGGTTGATGTAGGCGTTCAGCAGCAGCGATACCGTCACAGCACGCGACATTATGGCCTCTGGGATGAGTCGGGCATCGTCCATGGCTGTCACATCTTGATTACTATGGGATCCGCCGACTCCATTGGGTTGCTGGCGTCGTCAATGTGTGTCGTTGGCGTGCTCGAGTGTGAAGTACCTCGGCCGGCGTTGCCTGCGCATCGATGAACTTTTGAATAGCGTCGTCCCGTAGCTTTCGCTTGTAATTGACAGTTTGCAACCACTGCGGTAGCTCGGAAGTCGTCATGTTGGGCGTAGTTTTGATGCTGGTATGAGGGAGAAGCGTGGAAGTTACTCATGTACCCATCAACGGCGCTCGCGTATCAACCGCAATCGCACGCCGTCAGCATGGTAAAGATAGCGGCACTTCCAGACCCATCGGCTTTTGATCTCTCTCAAAGGTGCATAGTGTTGCTGACGTTTGAGGCGCAGGTGGGGGAGATGATGCAGGGATGCCGAGGTGGACGGGAGCCCGCTTCCCACCCGCCGGACTGAACGCGTGCACGGCGCAGTGCATGTGTCTGCTACTCCCCCTTGCATCGCATCACCCCATCGAAGCAAACATTTTCGCGTGCAGCAGCATGTTGACGTACTTTGCAGATGCCATGGCACTCTTTAATGGCATGAAAATGGGCAGATGTTTGCCAGAGAGTCAAACGCTACCCCTCCATCCTCCTCCACACGTACATCCGGACCCCCATCTTTGCCTCTAGTGGCCCGTCATCAGTGCAGACCAAAGGCCTTATAGCATGGCTCCTTCATTATGGAACCTAATGAAGCGCTCAACGTCCAACAGCCCGCCGTCGTCGGTTAGACAGAAGATGGCTCCCGGTATTGCGATGCCAGACTCTGAGTCTCGTTCGACGGGAAGCAGCTTGGAGGCTGCGTCGCAGGTCTCTTATACCAGAGATGATGACTACTCAAGCTTCATGAGCGATGTCATGGTTGTTGGTGCAGGACCTGCCGGTCTGATGCTTGCGTAGGTAGACTCAGGCCAATTGAGCAGAGACCATCTAACAGTGACAGCGACAACCTAGTACGATATGGCATCAAGACGCGCATCATCGACGACCGACCCGACCGCACCTCGACCGGACGCGCTGACGGAATCCAACCAAAGACTATCGAGACTTTGCGACAGATGCGTCTTGCGGAGCCGCTGCTACGAAAGGGTGTCAAGATTTATGACATTGCTTTCTGGAAGTCAACGGCCGACAAACCACTTCATCGCACTGGTCGTGAGATTCACTACCCACCGGTAGTCGACTTGCTTGATCCATACATCTTGCTGGTACATCAGGGCATGGTCGAAGGCGTCTTGGAAGACGACCTGCGGGAACGAGGTGTTGTCGTTTCTAGGAACACAGCCTTCGTCGACTTCAACTACACACCCATGTCTATTCGTCCACTGACGGTCAACTGTCAGCAAGACGTCAATCATACAAAGAAGACTTTCGCCACACGTTACATAGTCGGCTGCGACGGAGCTCACTCGAAAGTGCGCCATTGCATACCAGGAGCAACACCTGTGGGCTCATCGACCGATGCTGTCTGGGGCGTGCTCGACGGTGTCCTCGAAACCGACTTTCCCGATATCTGGAGCAAGGTCGTCATACAGTCAGACGCCCTAGGCTCTGTCTTGATGATTCCTCGCGAGAGAGGTCTGACCCGTCTATACATCGAATTGCGACCGGGATCGACAGAGGCGGTGGGCGCACAGCAAACTACCCAAGAGTTTGTACAAAAGCGAGCGCAGGCTATACTACACCCATACCGACTCGAGTGGAAGACAGTCGAGTGGTTCGGACGCTACAAGATTGGACAGCGAGTCGCAGCGCGTTTCACCGACGACGAGCAACGAGTCTTTATCGCTGGCGATGCCAGCCACACACATTCCCCCAAGGCAGCGCAGGGCATGAACACAGGAATGCATGTAAGTGACAACCAATCGAAGTAAACGTGAGACATACACTGACTTCGTACGTCTTTCTCTGTAGGACGCTTGGAACTTGGCTTGGAAACTCAATTTCGCGACGCGCGGTCTTGCGAAGCCTGCTCTCCTCGAATCGTATGAGCAAGAGCGACAGAAAATTGCCAAAGATCTAATCGACTTCGACTACGAGCATGCGAATGCTTTCCATGACGGAGACCCGGTAGCGCTTGCAGCAAACTTTACCAAGAACGTCGCGTTCATCTCTGGTTACGGTGTCAGCTATGACCCCAATACTCTCAACGTGCAAGCGAAGGGTTACAATAGAGGGCATCTAAAGCCGGGCTACCTGCTGCCACCTGCGAAGGTCACACGCTATATCGATGCTAATCCGGTCGACATCCAAACCGACATACCCGCGCTGGGTCAATTCCGCATCTACTTCTTTACTCACAATGTCCATGCATCCATGCCATTCTTGGAGAATGTGTGCCACTCACATATAGGAAACAATTCGTATGTCGGCCGCGTGACAGCTGCTGGCAACGCCTCATACACCATGCAGCCACCTCTCGCAGCACCCCACGACCAATTCGTCTTGCCCGAGCGGTACACGCCCGTCAGCGGTGTCTTCACATATGCTTTAGTGACCGACGAGGATCGCAACAACTTCGAGATCCGAGACCTACCAGCCGTACTTCGCGAGTCCGCCTTCACACTATACCTTGACGACGTTTCAGATAAGGACACTCGGAAACAGACATGCATGGACAAGTGGCTTGATGGTCTCGATGAGAAGGAAGTCGTTGTTGTCAATGTACGTCCAGATGGCTATGTTGGTACAGTGCGGAGATTCGCCGACGGCTCCAAGGAGAGCGGGGCGGCTGCTGTGCAATGGATGGATCAGTACTACGAGCAATTCCTACGAGATACTTAGAAGCGCATAGGTTTGGTCACCTCAACAATTTTGAGGGTTCATGTGCATGGCTTTGGAGTTCAAGGGAAATTCAAGGTATCAACCCAGCAGGAATAGATTCATGACTATAATGATCGTTGTTCCCTGCTATCATGCGCCTTCCGTATCAGCCCGCAATTCATGCGCGCATCATGGCAACGAAGCTCTCGCCCACGCAGACTCGTAAAGATGATTGGCAAGACCTTCTATTGCGGGTTTGGTGTCAGCCAGACGTACGCTTATCTACTGCATATACCCGCTACAGTTAGTCAGTCTTCTGCGCGTGGCTCTTCCCCCACTCTTATTAACATCTCCTCTTTGAGACTATCGCCTTATCAATAAAGGCCAGGTTGAGTGCGATCCTTCAGCCCCAAATATGCAGTACGCACGTTATAGACCTTTTACACGCTACGATACTGATCTGTCCCGTGGCGCCATGCAAGGGAGACGCATGTGCATTATGTTCAAAGATGGGAGGCTCAGTAGCGTTGCACATGCGTATGTGACAACTTAGAACAGGAGAGCATGCTACTTAAACCCATCGTAGTTAGATGAGAGTAAGATGGATATACTAGTCAGCCAGCACCTTGTATAACATTTTCTCTTCTCTCAGTTCTACAATTGCCTCGGTGCACCTTTTGCAATGCCAGCAAAGCAGCAGAAGGACACCACCATGATCGAAGAAAAGCCCCGGAGGCTATCCGGTTCCAGCACATCGAACGAAGAAGCCGGTATAGTCGTTGACATCGTCGAAGAGAACATTGAGAGCGCCTATGGTACGTTCTGACCTCGTCATCGTCAAGTAATATACATATATTGACAAGTCACGTAGTCCGGAAGCTCGACTTTTACCTCTTGCCGTTCCTCTCGCTGATGTACTTCTTCAACAGGTGGGTTTATCCTCCTTGTAATCTCATATTCATGGTAGACTGACTCGACGCAAGTGTTGACCGATCGAATCTGGGTAATGCGAAGACAGATGGGATGGACAAGGACCTTGGGTTTACCGGCGAACAGTACAGCCTATTGATCTTGCTATTCTACATCCCGAACGGACTGTGCGATCTTCCACTCAACATGTTGACGAAAAAGTGGAGTGGTAGAGTTATGCTCCCGACTTGTAAGTCTGTCTTCTCAGATCACCCACCGTGAGCTGATGATAAACTACAGTAATGGTAGGGTGGGGCGCAATGGCTCTCTTCCAATGTGCAGCACATAACTTCGCAGGCATGCTCGTCATTCGTCTTCTCCTCGGTGCTTTCGAAGCCGGGTTCTTCGCTGGTGTCGTCTTTTACCTCACGCTATTTTACACGCGCGGCGAACTCGGCTTTCGCATCGCACTTTTCTTTGGCAGTGCACTTCTTGCCGGGGCCTTCAGCGGTCTCATCTCCTTCGGCGTCTTTCAAATCGAGCATGCCAATATTCCCGGCTGGAAGTTTCTCTTCATCATAGAGGGCGCTCTTACCGTGGTCCTCGCTTTGATAGCGTATGCCTGGTTACCAGCGACTCCTCAATCGGCGTGGTTCTTGAACGAGACTGAACGGAGCTTAGCCGAACGTCGCACACTCCGCGACCTATCCTCGTCCGGCTCCCACGAATTCAACATGCGAGAATGCTTCAAGGAGTGGAATACCTGGAAGATGCTTCCCTGGTGCATCATCGCCTTCACCTACCCTGTAGCCTTCAGCACAACATCGAACTTTCTGCCTCAGATTGTCCAGAGGCTGGGGTACTCCGTTATTAAGACCAATCTCTGGACTGTAGCGCCAAATGCGGTTGGGTTCGTCGTCCTGCTCTGCATTACGTACAGCAGCGACTACTTCCGCGAACGCACGTTCCATATCTGCGGCGCTCTCTGCATCTCTCTCGTCGGACTCATCGTTCTCGCAACCATTGACGTCCTCTACAACAAAGCCGTGGCATACTTTGCTTGCTTTTTGCTATGTGCGGGAGCGTACGTACCTTCCTGTCTCGTACACTCCTGGCACAATAACAACAACCTCAATGAGAACGCTCGCGCTGCTACAACGGGCCTAATGGTTGGACTTGGCAATCTTGGAGGTATCGTCTCCGCTGCGACTTTTAGACAAGAGTATGCGCCAAAGTATCTGCCGACGCTTTACGCGACTGCGGCTTGTAATATTACGTGTATCTGCTTCACACTGTGGCTTGGAGGCTGGATGAAGCTGGAGAACCGACGGAGAGACAGGGTGCAAGGTGTCAGAATAAGGGCGGAGGACGTGAGGACTGGCGAGTTGGGTGATGGGGAAGAGAGTGAGATGTGGAGATACTTCACTTAGGCAGGGCTGCGATGTTTTTTGTCGGCAGAACGAATGACTCCTATGTGGTATCTTCTTGACTGAATTTGAGAGGTTGCCTATGCGAAAAAAATGTATACACGAATGCAACCTCAGTTCTCCGCAGGGGTCATCGCTTGGATTGCTTCGCGTTCCGCTATCCCCACCCTCAAAAAGTGGCGTAAACACCGCCCAATGCGGTAAGCCCAGCCACTAGCACGCACGGCCTTCTTCTGTCCACATTTTCCTTTGAGATAGTAGCACCAATCGTTGTGACGTTGTCGTCCCCTCTACGCATTCATCTCAATGGTTCATCGCAAATCTTATATCATTCATGCACTTTGACACTTTCTGGCGCAGTCTTGCACTCGGCTCGCACGCAAGTTGCCGAGCATGGCTTGCTTCGCGGAGTACAGCAACGTCATCGCTGGGACAAAGCTGGAACACCAAGGTTCTAGTCTCGCGCAGGCCAGCAGGCATATATTTCTCGTCGTCAAGGTGGTCGTCGCAAGGGTTGCAGAAGCGAGATGGTGAGGAAGAGACACGTACCACCCAGCAACATGACCCGTCAATGGGCGATGGGAGAGCCCTGGATACAAGTACGAAGCATGATGCAGATGTTGTACACGAAGTGACACCAGAGGCGAAATCACGGCATGAAGCTGCAATTCATTCACTGAGCGCTGCGATCGATGACGACAAAAGCTTCCCGACCACGATGCCATGGATGCATTACGTCAAACTCTTGCCTACACCCTCTGATAAGAGAGCAGCGGCTCTTGCATTGTTGGAGCTCTTACGGCCTCATATCATACTAACGAGATCAATCTACAAGCGCACATTGCCAGAACAAAAGGTACCACGGAATCGCCTAAGGCGCCGACTCCGGCTCTTGTGCAAGCATAAAGATCATATCGTTGAATATGAGAAGCAGATCAAAGCAAGCGGTGAGACTCCTGGCACATACCCTGAGGAGAAGGATACGACTCCCCGAAAACCTTTCACAGAATCAGTTGAGAGATCGCTTGCCAATGATGAGTACATGGTAAAAGGTTGGTTCATGCGCGTCGCTCCAAGGCTGCCGCCCGATGAGCAAACGAGGCTCTTTCGTGAAACGACCGCAATACTGTTGGCGAAGGCACGTGAATACGGGCATAGGGGCTCAACAAAGAGTCTCCAGAGACGCTCGATTTCAGCACTTCTGCACGACATCGACCAATCGTACCGACAGCTTCGAATACTTGGGCATGCATCTATCGATACTGCGACCTTGAGGCGGCCCCGAAACCCTTTCACGGGAGTTTCTCACCCTACCCTAAAAAACGAGATCGAAGAGATGGAGCGTTGGCGCGCAGCTCACAGTTCGCATTACGATGAAACACTAGAGCACTTGCAGCCAGCCACAAAGCTTGACGGGATGTCAAAACACATCCTTGAAAAGCAAGCCAGAGTTACCAGCCTTAAGCTAATCTTTGCAGACGACTATCTGCAGAGACTCCGCGCAAGAGGTACGCCTACATCATCAATCAAGGCAGAGCCAGATGCGATAGGTCGGCTGGCGGGTGGTTACAGTAAAGGGTCCACTTCTGCTCGTGGAGTCCCGAAACCCGTGACGGTGCCGTACCAAGTGCAACACCATATTCTGGGTGACACCCACGAACGGTTCAAACGAGCCATTTTCGCATTTGGCCAACGTCATTTTCCCGAAGCAATGCAAGAGAAGAACTTAAATGACCCTGAAGGGTTATCGATCAAGGACTTTGAATGCCTCCTGGAGGAAGACGAATTTTGGCGCGACCTGTATAAGATCATCCAGAGGAGGCTTGAATCACTTCGCTTCATCCGAAATGCGTATGCACACGAGTTCACGGAGATGAATCTGGACCGCCTCGAGGAGTTGCTAGCTGATGCCAAGAGCATTGCTCGGCTACTTGAAGATAGTTCCCTTGTCAATCTGATGCAAAAGTACAGGGACATGCTAGCAGCATATAGCAAGAGATATGTAAACATGTGCGCTGGCCCTAGGCGGTTGCTCTCCCGGAGATTTGCGGCTGCATACAGCGAGCGTAAGATGGCGCAAAGTCGATTAAACGCTTCCTGTATAGCAACCCATACGAAAGAGTATCATGCAGAGAAATTACGCTTTCAACGCAAATGCGAGGAAGCAAAGGCTTCTGCCAGAGCCGCGTACCTTCGATTCGAGCTGACATTGGCCAGCGAGCTGAAAGCTTTTGCGCTTGGTTCGTCAATTCGATATCGCTTAGGGTTAGGAACCGCATCTTGGGCTGCTAATCTAGTGAAAACGCTTTATGAAGAATATGCAACCACACACAACCTGCAAGATGAATCCTCAACGAAGGACCTCCATCGAGACTCAGCCATTGCGAAGCGGCAGGACATAGAAGGACAAGGCCAAGACGCGATCGTCAGCCCGGCCAGACCAGCAAAGGTGAATACACAGACACCATCCAAGAAACCTGCAAGGACTCTTGGCCACCGCCATCGTTGGCTTGGAATTACGCGGTGAGAGGAAGGGGACTAGGTGCCGACCCAATAACGACATTTCGCGTCGTCGCGAATCCAAACACTCAATGCAATCCAGTTAGAAGAGCAGATTGTCTACTCTGTTACCAGAAAGTCCGAGCGACGTCGATGACTCAACCCATACATTATAAAATTGATTTTGGCTGGCGGCGGGGGAAATAGATGCCGCTTTTGAATCTCTGGATCTTGGCGGTTCATAGGCCACCGAGTCCTCCACTACCACCGACTAAACGCCACTGTACAAGTCCTCTAAGTACCATCATACCATCATGCACGACAGCCCACCGCACCTTGCTCAGACACTTGCTCACGACAGCTGCGAGCCCATTCGTCCCCCTCCTCCCCATACCGCCAGCGAAAACGCCTTCACTGCCAGCTTCCAGCAGCTTCTCAGGCTGAGCTACGAGAATAGCGCCAAGCAACGTCTTCATTTCCGCAGCGGGATCCCAGATGATCTCATCTTCGTCGTCTAGGTGCTGAAGATGCTGCGGCAATTGGTCTCCAAAAGGCGGCAGTGGAGTTGGCCGAGCATACCATACACCCCATACCACCAACGTGCCGAGATACACAGCCCAAGGGTGGTGCCAGAGTCTCCCTCCACTGATGTCTGAACAGCTCAGGTCGCCATCGAGAACTTCCACGCCTTCGCTGACGAGAGCGGCGGCGTGCCAGACCGCTTTCCCGGCTTCTTCTGTATTCTCCGCTACCCATTTCTTGACTACGCGTTGAGAGCGTACGTAGTCATGACGCGCGACTGGGCGGCCAAGGATATGCCGTGAGCCAGCGTAAATTTGGAGGTCCAGGAAGGGTGTGTGGAGTAGGACGTGCGCGGAGTGATATAGCGCTAGTGTAGCAGTGCGGCAGACGTGGAACTCTTTAGCGAGGAAGGGCGCGGATGATGGAAGCGACGCAAGGTATGCGACGCAGAAGCTAGCGTAATCTGCGTGCCAGGCTGTATATGAGGCTGCGAGACGAGCTTGCCAATTGCCGATTGGGTTTGACTCAATGACGCCCAGCGATGTCTGATCGCGTCGTTGCATATCCCATGCTACAGACATTAAGCCGTGTAGAAGTAAAGACCGAGACAAGGCGTTTAAACTCCTGGGAATAGTCGCAGCATCGGGATGGAGATACATCTTCAGGCACGACAGAAACAATGGGGTCGTTGGCTGCTTCTGTCGCAACTGATGCCATGTCTCGGCTGAATCAGCCTCCCAGATGGCTTGATCGCATGGCATGTTGGAACGGAGTTCGAAAGCGGACATGCAGAGTGACTGGCAGAAAAGCACTGCATGTTGCGTATCCCACATGAAGCATAGGAACGCTAGCCTGCGCACTTTGAGCTAGATGCCGTGAGGGTTCAGTCGACGAATACATACCTCTTCTTCTGCTCTGCTTCGCACCATGTCCGCCAGTCGTCTTCAAGATCATCCGTGGCTTCTTCCGGTGTTGGTGGCCGGATACTTTGGCAATCGCTCCGCCGGATGAGGTTGATGAGTAAGCCGTGAAAAAGATGCGACATGTCGTGTTGCTTTTGTCCAGCTCTGCTTTTACCGAAACACTCGACCAATAGAATAGTTTGAAGAACCCAGAGGTCTGGCTTCGCCGAAAAACCAGCATTGGCAAAGATCTGCGGCCGCAGTACGTCATGGATGCATACCTGATTCGAGTCAGTTGGAGCTTGAATACCATATTGCGTGTTCACTTACTGCGAGCTGGTGTGCGTCTTTCTCCCCGTATGTTGCGCCTAACAGCAAGACTGATACAAGGAGAAGTGTGTCGACCTCTGATGGGTCAAAAGTAGACATGTGGATCAACGGATACGTGGTGTTGAAACGCGTGAAGAACAGGTCGCAGTATGTTTGCAAGCACGATAACGAGAGCAGCGGATGGTCTCGCATGACTATACTGCCATCTGGTACAGTAGGTTGTACAATGTCGATGAGGTCAAGTAGCTGCTGACGAGCTAGCTCATCAATGATCGGTAGGCTTCGCGGTGGTTGCAGCAAAGACAGTGGTCGCTCAACATCCAGGGAAGCATTATTGTCTGTCGCTGATCCGGAGGGCTCGTGATTTGACGTCGAACCAGCTGTTTTATTGGCCTCATCAACTGGCGGCGTGATCAATGGTGCAGGAGGTGAGTGGTGATGCTGGTGATGAAGAGGCTCATTTGGCTGGGACGGAAGTGAGCCAAACTGGCCGACCGTCGATAGCGAACTTCCCACGTCCACATGTTCCAATTGAAAATCCAAACCCTGAATCGATTGAGATACCGTGCTGTTTTCGAAGGGCAGTGCAGGGAATGGGTCTTCTATGATAGATTGTTGACTCTGATCGTTGCTCGTCCAGTTCATATCAAACAGCCAATTGTAATTACTCATGGTTGTGAAGGGCGCATTGAAAGAGCTTGCTGTATCTGGGTTGAATATCTCGTCAAATGGCGCATTGTCGAAAATCGCAGAAGCAAATGGTTCGGCTGATGACTGCGCGTTGTTGGCGGACCAAAAGCGCTGATGTGTAGGCGAATAGGAACTAGACGAAGGGATGCTATTCGGATTGAGGTTTGTTGAGGGGTAGTTGATTCCTATGCCAGAGTCGCTGTCATCCAGTGAATGAGACAAGGAAGGACCATTCGATGTTGGTGGTGATATGGGAAGGCCCTGGTGTGTTGCGAATCCGGCGAAGTCTGGCATTGATTGCAGTAGGTCCTCGGTTTGCGAAAGCGATAATGGCCCAGTCTTCTGAGCGTCGTTGGATAGATTGGGCTTCTTCGTGACTATTTTGCCTTCGGCGTCTTTCCACATCCGCTTTCGGGTATTCAGCACTCCACAGCCCTCAGCGCCGGCTTCTTCGTCTTTTTGGCGGTGGCGACTGATGTGCCTCTCTGCGCAATTAGATTAGTGACTGCGATCAATACTGTAGCAATGGCATGATGCTACACATGGGATGTGAGACCCAATAAGCAGGTGTCTAGATGCAGTACATAATGGTGCGCTCTTTCATCTTGTAGCAAGAAAGGAGCGCCGCATCTTGATGAAATGCAGTTCCGTGTGCCTCAGCCAAGAGGAGCTCATGGACGGAAAAAGCCATGCATTATTCAAGCCAAGAAAAGAGCGCATCATTCTTACCAAGAAGATCTCTCCGCTTAAAGTGAGCCCTGCATCGATCACAAGTGTATTCCCCCGTCGAGTGGTTCAGCAAATGCCTTTGCAAATGCTCGGCTCTAGTGAAGGACCGCCCACACCCGTCATTCGTGCAGACAAACTTCTTCCCTTCATTCTTGCTCAAGTTCTTTCTCTTGCGCCCGCGGGTCCCTGAGCTCGCACTGTCGACAGTAGTGGATGCCATAGCGCAGAAACTGAGAGATTGTCTCGATGATCTGATCAAAGGATGGGGGCACTGGAGATGAAATGGGGTGAAGAGAGGCTCAAGACTCCGCTTCACGGAATGCTATACGATATCGCGTCGGATAGAGACCATGCTTATCGGGGTCGAGAAGTCCGACTATCGCGGCCGAGTGTGGAGTTGAGTTGTGCCGCTAGTGGGCGGGGTTAGGCGTGGTGGCGTAGCCTTGGGAACGCATTTCCAAGAGTGGGGGTGAGGTTTCCCATCGCCATCAACATCCATCATCAAGCGCGTTCTTTCCATCTCGATTTTCGTGTGTTGGCCTTGCAAACGGAACAGGTACGTGGACTCCGGTCGACAATGCTGCTGATTGTCAGGCTCGTCAGCGGCAAGTCGCGTAGAATTTGCGTTTATCCCCGCCGCGCTTGGTTCGCATGGGGATAGAGCAGGGTGGCCTCATGTGGAGCTGTCATATTGGAGGACACGGAAGTTGTAGGAACCAGTTCAGGCAAGCCGCATTGATGCAAGGGGGTAGGATTGGTGTTGGTAGTTGCTCTATCGTGACCCGACGCGACTTCCTTGACACACTGCCGCGCGCCCATTAGTCATGCCACCGCTGAGGTCATCGCTACCGGCTTCGCTTTCCGATAAGCTGCGCGATAGGCATGTCTCGACCGACGGCCACTGTGGCGAAGGCCACAGGAAGAGAATGAGTGCATTTGCCAAGGTAAACACTGGTAAGCGCGACAGCAACGCTCTATTAACAAATGTCCTCAGCGAGCAAAGACTAGAACCCGTTCATGGGACGCGTCGCGGATCATGCGCGCCATGTACAACGAGCTGGAGAAGCGTGTAACCAATACGTGTTTTATACCGGATGATGGGTGCAATCTCTCATGCCCATAATTATGCTACAGCAACCAGAAAATCACTCTCTCCCTCTTTCTTTACCGTTCTCGCTCGGTCAACAAGATCATCCCCAACCGCCAACCTCAACCTCTCACACGTTGCCGGGCTATCCAAATTCCACCCCTGGTTATCTCTCTTCCCATTCATCTTCCTTGCCGCCAACACCGCTTCCCTCAGCGCGAAGAATACCGTTGATCCCAGGAAGAGCGGTGGCTCACCGATACCCTTGGAACTTTGGACACTCCTCAAATGGTTCCACGACAGCGGGTTGCCGTCGTTATCGTGGCGAAGCATACTGGCATTGAAGACCTGTGGGATATCACTGAAGCCAGGGATCTTGTATGTACCAGGACCCCGAGTGAAGAGCTGGCCGTTTCGAGTCCAGAGCGTTTCTTCCATGGTGAAGAGACCTTGGCCTTGGATGAATGCGCCTTCAATTTGTCCATAGTCTATCGCTGGGTTGATAGAGTTGCCGACGTCCTACAGCTTCATTAGTATTTCAAAATGGATGCACATGGAGTAGCGCTTACCATCATGATGTCGGACCGTAGCACGGTGTGGTCGCCAGTAAGTAGGTCAAGTTCGACTTCGGAGCAACACGCTCCTTGGGTCCAGTAGTAATACATAGGCTTGACAGTCTCGAGATTTGTATCGCCCCATGTATACCCAACCTTTGGCATCTTCCAAAAGCCATTCGCAGCGAGATTGACGCGATCGACATAAGCGGCATGCGCGAGCGCCTTCAGTGGCGCATCTTTTCCTAGCTTCTCACGATATGGTCTCAAGCGTTCGTTGATCTGATCGCACGCATTCTTGACAGCCATGCCGTTCAAGT